AAAAAAAAAAACCAGAACCCAGAAATCAGAATCCAGACCCCAGAACCAACAACAATACCTAGGTAGAGCCCTTGTCTTGTCATGTCGTACCCCCCACGCCGTCGCCGCCTCACTCAGCCGCTGCCTCAGCCGCCATCGCTCCAGCTCAGCTGTGACGGGATGTGATATCGATTCGACGTATGTACGTATGTAGGTAGGTACGAGCAGCGCGCCCAGCCAGCCAATCAATCAACCAGCAAATCAACAACCAGTACCAACCCAATGAGCACCCCAGCCCAGCCCAGCCCAGCACACACCAACCACAGCACACGCAAGCGCGACCCGTCCGAACCCGGCACGAGATGTCTCCGCCGAGAGAAGGGAGGGAGCGCACGCTACGCATACACACAGTCCACCTTGCCACGCGGACTGGACTGGCTGCACTGCCCAGCTCAGCTCGGCGAGCCCGACGCCGAGTCCGAGCCACGTGAGGCTGTGGCGTGGCGTTGTGTGTGTGTGCTTCTTGGACCCCCACGCGCGTGGGTTGGTTGGTGGGTGAGCAATCTAGGTACGCAAGGTAAGGTAGGTAGGTAGGTTGCTGTTCAGCTGCTAGGAGAGAAAGCGGGAAGGCAGGGAAGGAACGACGGCGACGGACCTAGGTAGGTGGTCAGCAGCCAGGCAGGCAGCCAGGCAAGCAAGCAAGCAAGCAAGCAAGCCTCCGGTATCAGGCATCAGCCACCCGCGTACCTACCTACCTACCTACCTACCTACCGTACCCGCCCACCACTCACCGAGCATCCGCCTCTTCCTCGCCAACCATTCCATTCCATTCCATTCATTCGCTAGGTTAGTTGTTGTTCTTGCTCTCGACGCCCGCTTGCCGCCCATCCAGCCAGCTACTGCCATTATCACCCCTACCTACCTCAGCGTCACGATATCGTACGTGCCTAACAAGGACATTACCGTCATCTCCCAGTGCAATGCAATGCACGGCGGCACAGCATACGGACGGGACTAAGGTAAGTCGGTCCGTCGCTCCCTGCCTTCCTTCCTCGTGTGCACCAGGCAGTCAGTCAGTGCCAACATACATACAATACAGGCAGCCGGCACGTGGCGGAAGGGAAAGGCAGAAAAGACAGACAGACGAACGGGTCTCCCTGCCCACGAGGGTGAAGAGCCGAGAGGACAAGCAAGCAAGCCGAGAGAGGAAACAAGCCGCGAGCCCACCCAGATCGGCGTAATCGGCACGGCATCATCAGCATCAGCAGCAGCATCATCCACGCCCACGTGGGTCCCAGTAGATCATCATCGACGTGAGGTCCTTCTCTTCTCCTTCGACTTCCTTCGCCGTTCGACGCACTGACTGGCCTGTCCTTACCTTACCCCAGAGATGAATATACCCCCCCCCCTCTAAGACCAGACCAGGCCAAGCCAGCATAAACCCCACTCAGCTGAAGCTCCCACCCCCACCCCATGCATAGCATAGCAGATGAGCGCCCAGAAGAGATGAGGCAGGCAGGACAGCACCACCCCCACCACACCCACCACGCCGTGCGCCGCGCCAGCCCCGTCGTCGCGGGGGAAAGAAAGCGAGAGCGAGAGAGAGGACTCGAGGACATGAGGAGAGAAGAGAGAAAAAGAAAAGAGAGAAAAAGAAAAGGGAGAAAGAAAGAGAGAGAGGAGAGAAGCGCCCTGAGCCTGAGCGCGACAGCCAAGCCAAGGAGTATTGTGCTTGTATTAGTATGGGCGTCACTGCCCGCTATACCCCCGCGCACGAGCGCCCATCAAGCGCACGTTGCACGCACGCATGCTCTCACGCACGTACGCGCGGGGCGCGAGCGAGCGAGCGAGCAAGCAGACTAACGAACAAACGAACGAGCTCTGGAGCCTCAGGCGTGAGCCACGCAAGCCGCCCATCTCCCGTCTCGAGACGGCGTTGCTGCCGTTCCGCTTCCGCCTCCGCTGCCGTGCCGCTGCCGTTGGCGCCGCGGCCGGCATCAGCAAGCAGCCGCGCCAGGGCCCGGCGCGCGCGCGTGCGTGCGTGCGATATTGTTCACGAGCGAGAAAGTGAGCGACATGCCCGCGTGCTGCCTGCCTGCCCGCACGTGGGCGCTCGAGTGAGGTAATGCGTGTACATCCCCCGTAAACGGTAGTTGGTGATAGTCCTTGGCTGCTCCATACGTACCACCGTAGTCTCTCTCTACGCGCCAAGGCTCCCAAGGCACTCCGCCTAGCAGTAGGCGAAATGCCAATCACGTCCAATAGGTAAGGCCTCCAGGGCACCCAGACACGACAAGGCGCGACAAGGCCTCGCCAATATGGCATGCCATGGTTCGCATCTCATCATCCCCCCTGGTGGCCCTCGGACCGCATGCGAGTGATGGCCCGCCAGGACCACCGCGCGCGACAAGCTTTTCGCGCGGATCTGCGCCCGCCCGGCCGCCCAACGTCGCCGACCTCGCATCCGCAATCCGCAATCCGCAGCCCCCTCGACGAGGCTGAAGCCGTCTCGCGCGCTGATTCGCCGCCATGCCGTCATGCCTGCCGTCGCGCAAGCGGGAGCGCCCCCGTTCGGGTCCGCGCTAAGCCTGTCGTTATGCCAGGGCAGGCCAGGGCTCCTCGTTTGCGGGTTGCCGTGCCAAGAGGGCCCAGGGCAGCTGCTCCAGCTTCAGCTCCAGCCTCCAGCTCGCGACTCGACTCGCGACAGGGCGCGCCGGGACGGGGAGACAGGGGAGCCGTCGTGTGGGGAGGCGGGCGCGCGAGCGTCGCTCGGCGACTTTTGCTTATTACGCACGCCGGTGCTGGGCCTGCTGCTGCTGCTTGCTGGGTCGCCGTCGTACGTACGTGCCGACGACGACGCGCACTGCGCTGCGTTTGGACGACGGGCGGCAGACGGCGAACTGCGGACGGCGGAAGCGTGGTGCCACTAGCCCCGGATGACAGCGGCAGCAAGGGGAGGGGAAGGGGGGATTGATGAGAAGGAAACCGTTTATTTACTTTCCTTGTCTCATCAATATTGTAGCAGACGACAATATGGCCTTGGGGAAATTCGATGGCCCTAAGTCATGGGCGAGCTGCGCGAGAGACAAGCTGCTGATGAGAGAGCAAGAGAGACTGATGAGAGCTGTCTAGGCAGGTAATTCCACGCGTGCTGAGAGTCGGCTGACATGTGAAAGCAGCACGTACTGCTGATCATCGCACCTACCGGGCTCAGCCTCGCGGCCGGGCCTCCGCCGACGAACTGGTGGTACGTACGGAGAAGAGTTGGGTGCGTGATTGCGCGGTGGCCGCGGCGACCATGATCGGCCGTTAATCTCGTCAAGACCTGACGCCCCATGCCCTGGCGCCTGCAAGGCAAATTTGCCTTCTAAACTAGCAGACGGGCACGCCGTGCGGATCTTTTTCCGCGCTCTTTCTTCACGGTCCAGCTCCCTTCTTTTCTCGAAGGACGGCGAGCGGCCCCGCCGAGGCGGAGACGGAAAGGCCCACGCCCTGCGAACGGATCACTAGGCGGAGCCCGCACGGAGAAACCGAAGCTAGGCCGTTTCGTTGGTGGAATTGCAATGGTGCGAGTCCGCTCCTGCTGCGGCGCAGTCCCGCTGCTTGGGTGCGTACGTCGTAGCCATCGCTGGGTAATGAGGTCATTGGCTGCCTCGGAGCGTGCCATTGCTCGAGGATGAAAGGGCTCCACCAAAGAAACGAGAAATAGACAGGTCATAAGTTTGTGAATCAGGTCCCTGAATGGGTGGAATGGGACAGTGTACTCCGTACGATGGATCGTCGTCGGGGGACGCGGGCTATGTCAAGGCTAAAAGTTCGCCCCCTGTTTGACTCCCTTCGCTAAGACGCAGGTGACAGAAACGGTGTCGTGGGTGCCATGGAAAGCGCCCGGTTGGCTGGAGCGGTCCATTTGTGCTATCGTCACCGATTAGTGGTTACCGGTCAACGGTCACGGCTACGCGCGGACTGCTGATGGATGGTAAGCGCTGTAAATCCCGCTTCTAGGCGTTCTTCGACGACCGGAGGAACAGGCGTAGGGGAGGATGGTGCAATCCGACACGGAGTAAGTGACGGTCCCCATTTGGCTCCTCCGCATCCTGACCGGCAAGATTAGCAGAGCTAGTGACGGATGCGGACAATTGAGCATTAGGTAGCCTGTATTGTCAGCAATATGTGGCAGGGATTAGGTATTGGGTCGATGGGGGCGCTGGACACTCGCTGACGCTGGCGTCAAGCGAAAGGACGTGAATGACGCCTGCCAACGGCAGTCATAGCTGGAAGATCTCGGTTGGCGCTCGAAAGCTGGCACGGCGAGCTCGCTAGAAGCTGGCAATCCCCTTCTCGAAGGTCGAACTGGCAGGCCTGCCCCTGAAGCGCGGTTCAAGATCTCCGTCTGCTCTCTTTTTGCCGCCGCCGCAACCTCGCTCACGCCCAAGGGAAATGTCGTCCAGCCGAACGGTGCCAAATTAAATCACACGTCGACTCGATAACTCACGTCCGAAACAGGAAGGTTCAGGTAGTTTATTTGGAAACATGGACGCAGCAGGCGTGCTCTTTGGATGAAACTGCCCCACGAGCTAGCACGCCCTGCGAGGCAGTGATAGTCCAGCCAGAAGCGGTGTGGGGCAGCAGGCTGACGCTCAGGGATTCGGGCTATAGCATGGCGAAACTAAGGCTAGATGATCGGGTTGTCGGTTCCTCTGGAGCGCGTCGTCGTCTCTCATCAGCCATGATCGCTGGGCGTGTGTATCTCATGGATGACGCACGTGCTCGCGATGGGCAAGTAAAATAAGAGCGGATATCTGAAACAATAGATTCCGAATCGTCCCCCTCCCATGGGCGCGGCGGCATGGGGGAGGCAATCCATACGACACTACCTAACGTCCGTAAGCTTCGGCCAGGGCATATGAGGTATTTATAGCGCACGGGCCAGCATGGTCTGTAGTGGTGCTCGCATCTGAACGCGAGAGGATGCGGGAGCCTGTCGCAATGTCCGGCGCCGCTGCTGTGGCGGGCGGCGGGCGGATGTCTGGCAGGTTAGGCCCATGCGCCCGGGGAGACGGCCGGGCAATGCCCATATATAGACTCGACAGGAGAGGGAAGCATAGTATAGGTGCGCATGCCCCGCTTGGCCGGTGAGAGGAGGCTTCGACTACGCGCATCCCCGAGACTGGAGAGAGCAGCTTTAGGGCCATGCGCGGGATGAGTCGAGACGATCGGTTCATGCGACTCCTGAGGGCCTTCGGTGGAAGAAAGCGGCGGGCGTGGAGAGTAGGAAGGTTTGCTTAGATGGTGGTGGTGTCGGGACTGGACCTGCTAGAGCCAAAGGGGTTTAGGCAGCGGTTTGCTTGGCAAAATTTAAAACCCCTTCAGTCCGCTGCTGAGGCGCGGCGCAAGTTGGAAGCTTCTCATCAGAAACTGACGTCTTTCTCCCTCCGTACCAAAGCCGCGTTTTTTTCCGCCCAGTTTCGCCCGCCCGCTTTCCTGCATCGGCCGCCTCGTTACTAAAACGGTCCATTCGGCTATCCTCGCTTCCACGCTCAAGCGAAAGCAACTGGCTGTTAGCGAGCCGTCGACTACGACTCCTTCGAGTAAGCATCTCTCTATTACTCTCTCGCCCTCTTCTCTCCCGCTGCACCATGCCAAAGCACAGCCACCCGCGGCGCGTGCTTCCTCGCCATGAATGCCCGCTGATCGCAGTAGACCCCCTTCGACCCTTCTGCCCTGTGCCACTGCCCCCAACCCGTGATCGCCGGCCGGCCTGCCTTTTTCCCAAAGCCTTTCGCCTCCATCTCGCCTGCATCTCACGCGAAACCTCTCTCCCAGTGCGGATCTCACCTGGTCGATGCTGCCTTGTCCCTTGGGGAAGTGAATCCGCGAAAGAGGAGAGGCTAATCTCGACCCTCTCCATCTTGCGCCATCGAATCAAATATGGCCGACCAACAGTCTTCTTCGACTCCGCAGCCGCGGCAACAGCCTACGGCCTACCCTTCACCACACTCCTACCCCTCTCCGTCAATGCAGCCCACCTACGCCTATCCGCCTCCTGCCGGCGCTGAGCCCTATCGCGCCTCGCCAACCGGCTCCAACATGTCGCTACCCTCGCTGAACCTTCCTCCGATACGCGCCATCGACGGCCAGCAGCAAGCGCCGCAACAGCAGCATCCGGTGCAGGCTCAGGCGCAAGCGCAAGCTCAGCCGACGGCTGCCTCGCCGCTGCCTCCTCCGGTCGCGACCATGGGCGCCTACTACCCGCCTCCACCGCAAACCATCCCGCCGCAACACTCGATGGCCATGGCAGCCGCGCCAATGGGCATCCCGGCCAACATGGCGGCGGCGATGCGCTACCAGCTGCCGCCGCAGGGCCCGGATCAGAGGATAATGTCGGGCGGCAGGCACAAGAAGGAGATCAAGCGACGCACCAAAACCGGGTGCCTGACGTGTCGCAAGCGCAGAATAAAGGTAGGTGGAAAATTTCCTCTCGTATCGACGGCGGCGCGCGTCGAGTCGCATCGAAGTGAAGGGGTCGCGTCGCGTCGCGTCCCGCTCTCGCTTCCTCAGGCTACAGAAGCGAGAACTTTACCTCTCTGCTTTCGCCTTGACCGACCCCACCTCACCCCATCTTTCTACTTCCCACTTTGCTGACCGTTGTCGCGTCATCACACAGTGCGACGAGGCGCATCCCACCTGCCGCAACTGCCAGAAGAGCAAACGCGAGTGTCTCGGCTACGACCCCATCTTCAAGCAACAACCCGGTCCCGCGCAAATCCAGCCAGCCCCCAGCGCTGCACCCCAGCCCGTCTCTGCTCCGGCACCCGTCCCTCCTCCCTCCGCCCCCGTCGCATACTCGCACGTTCCGCAAGGCTACGCCCCTGCCGCCAGTGCCAACTACGCTCCCCCCATAGGTCACAGCGCAAGTCCGCCTGTGCCCGCCCCCGATCAATCCTACGAGTTTTCTTCGGCCATCGATCCCGCTCTTGCCGGAGCAGAGGCAACCGCTCCCATGTCGGTCGCGCCCGTTTCCTACGACCCCTCGCTTCGCATTGTCAAGCAGGAGGGTGCCGAGAGCAGACCGGCCGACGGCCAGCCTCTGAAGGGTGAGTTTTGAAAATTGGCTGCTGATTGGCTCGTGCGCTGACACGACGTTCTTCATAGCGAGGCGGATATACATTGACGACCTGTTCGCCGTCACCGGAGCACCCCCCAACCCGCTCCCTCCGAGCACCGGCCCCGTTACCGGCCCCATAGTCGAGGAAATCAAGATGCTGTATGCCAGGGATTACGCGCTCGGAATCGATCGCTGCATCGAGACTTCTTGGTACTCCACGAAAGGCCTCGCCCGGTTATTAAACGACCAGCAGACCATGGCTTTGTTTGCATTCTTCGTTACCCAGATTCGCCTGCCTCCTGATTACGAAGGCAGCAAGAAGATAACGAGCTTGGAGGCACAGCTGGTTTGGAAGCTGATGTGCTTGGTCCGCGACCCAGCGCCCGCTGGGATGAATGGCGCCAGCGGCACTGCACCTGGAGGCGAAGTCGACCTGCTGCAGAAGGAAGCACAGCTTCGTTTGGACGTCTTGGAGGCACTGCTCACGTACCAGGTGCTTCCTTACAACCCCCTCATGGAGCTTGTGTACGAACAGCACGTTCCGCCGATGAAGCAATTCGAAGTCGACTTCTGGCGCAACCTAGGCCAGTTCGTGGCCCTGCGCGACATGAACGAGGAGTCGTCGCGGGAGATTGAGGCAACGCTGGGCACATGTCGGAACATTCTGGGCATGATTGAGTCGCGAGACGTCATCTACTCGATGATGGTAGCACGACACTACGGAGCGCGGTTTCCGGACCTGCCGGACAACATGCACCAGGCGTACACGAACGAGCAAGAGGACGACCGGTCGAAGATGTTTGTGGCGAAGAAGTTCCTGGAAGACGAGGCGTCGGGCAAGGGCATGTCGCAGGTGATATTCCGCCTGGCGGGCATGTCGATCCGGTCGTGGACGCTGGGCTAGGAGTAAGAAAGAGATGAAAAGCACACACACACACACACACACACACACACACACACACACACACACACACGCACGCACGCACGCACACACGTACGCAAAAAAACTGCAAAAAGGGGAGTTTTCGAAGAAAATAGAGGCCGCTTTCGTCGTCGTCGTCGCCGCCGCCGTCGTTCGTCCTGGGTCTTTTGGTGCATTGTCGGCTTTGTCTGATTTCAACATCGCGTCTCTCTCTATCGCACACATCACAAACACACACACATATCTGAGCGTTTTGCTGGGGTTCCGGGGGGGTGGCTTAGTTCTTCAGAGTGGTTAGGTAGTCGGGTCTCGGGGGAGTGGGAGTCAAAAGGGAACAGGGCTTTTTTTTAGTGTTTTGTTTTTTCTCGACTTTTAATTTCCTATACTGCTTTTTCTTTTCCTCTCTCCTCGTGCATCATCCGTTTTCTTTTTATAATTGCCCCCTGCGTTACTACCTCTTTATTCTTTTTTTATTTTTTTATTTTTTTATAGCTGGTTTCCTCCTGCTCTCTGCTGCATCATCGAGCATTCTGGGGTTGCTGGATGGAGTGGGGTGGAGTCGAGTGGAGTGATGGGATGGGATGGGATGGGATTGGTGCTTGCATCTTGCTTGCTTGCTTGCTTTCTTGCTTGCAGGCCATGGGCGAAGACGCGGAGTAACCTACCTAACTGGTGGACGGTGAAGGTGAAGGTGAAAGGAGTCCTGCTGGCTGGGGGTTTTCTTTAACACACAAAAATACTGACGGCTGCGTTTGGCTGGTTGTCTCTTTGGTTTGCTCTCCTTGTTGTTGTTGTCATCGGCATCATCATCATTGTCATCATTTGTCTGTCTGTCTGTCTATCTCTGTGTGTGTGCGTGTGTACGTGTGGGTTTCCTTGCCTGCTTCGTTTTCCTTTTCCTTTGCCATTTCCATTTCTATTTCACGTCTATTGTATCTTGCCCTTCCCCTTCCCATTTCTTTTCTTTTCTGTTGTAGTTGTCATTGCCGTCGTTGCTCCACCGCGCGGTCCCCTGTACTGTATTGCCTAATCCTGCACGCATGCCATGGCATTGCATATCGGCGCTTCTGCGTCTTCCTTCCTTCTGTCCTTCTAGCTATCCTATCCTTCCATCCTCCGGACGGGACGGACGGGACGGACAGGACGGAATAACAGCGACGTAATCAATCATCCGGACAGACTTGCTTGACCTGGCGAGGTGGGGCGGGGCGCGGTTGGGTTGGGGTTTGCTTGCTTGCTTGCTTGTTTTTTTACATCAGAAGCAGAAGAAGCAGCAGTATCATAATGTCGTTGTCATTGTCATCATCATCGTCGTCGTTGGAGGAGTGTAAGGTTGACTGTTGTGTGTATGCTGTGTTGCGTTGTGTTGTGTTGTGTTGTGTTATAGAAGCTGTAGCCGGTGGGGGTAAGTAAGTTAGCAAGTTAGTTAGTAGGTAGATAGGTAGGGGGGAATGAATGGAATTGAGAACTGGATTGAGTTGAGTTGAGTTGGGTGCGTTTTCTGTTGAGCAAGCATTGTGTGGTGTGTGGACTGTCTGTTTGCTCTTAAAAGGAGCAGCTAGACAGAGGCAGGGGCCACGGGAATGAGACAGTTGCACGCATGCATGCACATACGTACCTACGTACGTGAATGGATATGGAGATGCTCTGGCACTGAGGAAAACGGGGTAAGCAAGGCGCAGCACTGTGCGCAGTGAGGGAGAGAGCGGAGGAAAGGGAACATGTTAGTTCAGTTAAAAGTATGCGTATATCCAAAGATGTTACAAAGAGCATATAAACAAGCTTAACAGCAGCCGCAGCAAACCCCATGCGCGCTCTTCACCCCCCTCTGCTCCCCCAGACATGGCGGCGTCCTCTTCCAACAGCCAGCTCCCTGCTCCTCCTCTCATCTAACCTATCCATCCCCGCCAAAACTCGACGCCCGCACCCGCTTGCTCATATCCACGCCGTTAGCCACAACCCAGCCCCTCTTCTCGCCCACGCCGCTGTCACCACCACCACCAGCATCACCCCCACCCTCGAGCACAGGATCAAACGGCTTCCTCCTGCGCACAAGCTGGTACCCGCGATCGAGCTCGACCTCAATCGCGCAGCGGACCTTCAACGCGCCCACAGCAGGCCAAACGCTGCGCTCGCCGCGCAGGATCCACGCCTCGATGCTCTGTCTCGTGGGGTTCTCGAGCAAGCGGACGAAATCGCGCGCGCTGAGCTCGGGCACCAGCGTCAAGCTGACGCCCTGGCCAATGTTCTCGTCGAGCAGGAAGCGCCGGATGCTCGGCGGCAGGCAGCCCATGCTGTCGAGCTGCGCGAGCCGGTGCTGCACTTCCATGACGGCGAGGCGCAGGATCGGCATGCTGAACCGCCATTTGCCGTCTTGGCGTGGGTTGTGGTGGTGCAGGTCGGAGCGCAGGAACGGTGCCAGGTATGGTCGTGCTTGCGATACGATGAAGTGGTTCACGTTGAAGAGCTCGGCGATGCGGTTGAGTGGGCTTTCGCGGTCCGAGTACGCGGCGTGCGTCCATGGTCGGAAGGTCGCTTCTTCGGCTGACGCCCAGGGCTCGATGGTCCCGGAGGAGGATTTGCACATCAGGGTTACGGGGTGGTAGAGCGCCGTGGTGGAGGTGTTGGATGCCAGAGCCGCGGACCAGATGAGCTGGGTTGGTTAGCATGGTGGGAAGTGCGTGGGTGAGCAGGGACATGTGATGGCTTACCACGTTGGGAGCTGTGAGGTAATTGAGCAGGTTAGGTACGCCGCCGCCAGTGCTCGCGACGGTGATGTTCAGCACCCGTTTGGTTTTGGCATACGCCTCCTCGAACGTGAGGTCGCCAACGTTGGCGCGCACGCATTCCTCCAGCACGCCCACGTCCAGCAGATAACCCTTCTGGATAAAGCGGCCGAGCCGGCGCAGAAGCGTCGTCAACCAAAACCCAGTGGGCGGGTCGAGGTGGCCGTTCTTGAGCTTCTCGCTCTCGGCGTTTCTGGCATGTTTGGCAAACGCAGTGAGATCGATGCCCTCGCCCGTCAAAAAGTTCAAGAGCTCGTCCTCGGTGTGCACGCCCACCAACGCTGCAATCAGCGCGCCTGTCGCCGTTCCCGCGATGATGCGCGGTAGCAGTCCGCGGAGATGCAGCGCCTTCACGACGCCCAGATGGCAGAGGCCAAAAATGGCTCCGCCCTGCAGCACGAGGGCCGATCTCCCAAACGCCTGCCGCGTATCATGAAGCACGTCCAGCTTCGCCTGGTTCGTCAGGGAGGAATTGCCCCCGGGCGTGGTGGGGTACGTCGTGACATATTCGATAGCGAGAGCCACCTGCGTAATGTAGTCCTCGATGAGGAGTTTCGTGCCCGCATAAGCGCGATTGAAGAGGCGGGGCGCAGTGATATTGCCCAAGTTCCGTACGAGGCCCGACCGCAGCAGGTTGACTAGGCCTAGGATATCATCGTCCTCGCGCGCCTCGATGATGGCCTGGAGCCGCTCGTAGATGAGCCGGTAGTCGTAGTACTTGCTCGTGGGGTTCTGGCGCCTGGTCGCACGTGTCAGCTGTCGTACCCGTATGGAAGACACTGGGGGTATCAATCTACCAAAGATCGTATCCGAGCACTTCGTCCAGCTGGAATGCCGATGCCTCCCACTCCTCAAAGAGGCGCGCGTCGGTCAGCGTCTCGAGGAGGGCATCCCGTGGCGACTTCCTCTTCCACCACGCATACAAGCGCTTCGCTACATTAGCCATAGCGAGGGCAACGAGAGACGAGGCGGCAAACGCACCAACTGCCAGAAAAAGGCCACTTCGACAAAGAGCTTGAAGATGGCTTTGAGGATGCGGAAGAGAGGGTGTCGCTGCAACATGTCCTCCACTCCGCGTTTAGCGCATCTTCGATTGGTACGAGAGTGTCTCAGACCAGGCTGTATCGGGCTCCCACGGCTGAAACTGTCGCCGCCCGGTGTGCGTGGCTGTCGAGGGATAGTCCGAGGGTAAGAGGTTCAGAGCTTGCCGCGTCGCCGCTCATTGTTGACATGTGAATCGGAGATTGCGGGGAAACATGCGCGACACGTCGAGGAAGATTGATCATCCGGCCACGAGCATCCATATCTCATCACATCGCGTGCTCTCACAGCCTGACGAAATGCTTCGTATAGATACTTGCGTTTTTTGTATGCGGCACCAATCGACGTTCTCGTTTATACTTTTCCCGCACCCTCCACGCCAGGCGTCACCGATTGCCATTTCCGGTCCATCCGACAACAACAACAACAACAACAACAACAACAACAACAACAACTTCTTACCTAAGAGGCCTTTGGGTATACATACTGCCTGAAACGCCCATCGGTATGTGCCATCAGCTTATGCCTCCATCACTCATAGAAATCCCTCCCTAAACTTTCCTCCGCCGGGGGCCATCCTTCTTGGGCTCGTTGCCCCGCTGGTCGAAGCAGACCGGACGGCGAAACGAGCTTTTTCCCGCCTTAGGTACTCAGCATAAGAATCTTCACCCCCGTTCGATGCTCCCCATTGCAGCTGGGATTCACCGTCCAGTTTGTCTCCCGCAGACCCCCTCCCATTACTCGTACCCGTGCCGCTGAAGTAATTACCTCCGTGGCTACGATAACCATACCTAGGCGGGGATGAATGCACGTTCAATGAGCCTGTGATGTTCTCATGCTCGACCATAACCACCATCCACACGCCAACTTTCTCGTCGCTCCCCAGTAGCGGAGTGCAATGGATCCAGCGGGGTTTGCCTTCGAGGCTGTTGCTCCGGCTATGGCCGTCTTTGGTGTTTCCACTGCTGGCGACCGTTGTGGTAGTCGTAAGCCAAGATACCTTTGCTGTTACGCGGACACCGTCGGCTAGCGCAGATTGTATGCCTTCCCGGATGTTATGTGGACCACCGATGCGATCCAGAAGGCGGGATTGCGTAAGCCCTGGAATGCGTAGGGCGGCGGAGGTGAAAATTATGCGAAGAGAAGGATACGGACGGACTAAAAGGAACTGTATAAAGGAAATTAACACCTGCTCCGTGTTGTGGTGCTAGGTGACAGGTCCGGTGTTGCTCTGGAATGAACAACTCACATTTTGATATACTCCTGGCAGCCTTCCAGATTTCCCGAAAGAAGTCGGTGGCCATATGTTGATCGCTGCAGACTCATCCACGCCTATGAATCGCCTCATGGAAAGGGATGGTGCGGGTGTCACCGGCCTGGAGTTATTTTGGCGTCTTTCCTGGATTATTTCCATCTCTTCCGCATTCAGAAGTAGAGACAAATCCCGGAGTGCTTTTTCCGACTTCTTTTGCGCGTTTACACCGTAACGATTTGCCATCTTGTCTTCTTCCAGTAGGATCTGAAATGATTCGAGGCCTTTACCCTCATCAATGAGGTTGGTGATGTCGATTTGGCAACCTAAAAAGTAGCGTGCATTGCCCTTGTTGTCGCATAAAGGAGACAGAAGAAGGAGGTTCAAGAACGCACTTCCGTCACGTCGGTAGTTTAGTACGGTTTCACAAATCTCCTCTCCATGCCGCATCGCTTCACCCAGGCGGTGGATTGAAGATGGCGCGGTCTTTGGCCCTTGAAGAAAACGACAATTACGTCCTATCACATAGTCCCGGCCGTACTGTGTCGATCTGTAAAATTCTTTTCTGGATATGAGCATACTTTCTCTATTTATGAGGAATCTACTCTCATACTTACCATCTGATGCATAGATGATGGGGCAATCCGGAAGTGAAGGATCCGCCATGCAATACACTTCTGCAAGGCCCGGCACGAGCTCTCTCATGATGGGGGTATTGTTCCCAGTGATCTCCTTTACCAAGACCTCAGTAACCATTTGTGTGAAGCGATGTGTCAAATACGCTGGCAGGGCCTCCCTGAGTAGTGTGTCTAGTGCATGTTGGCATCTAGCTTCGAAGGTGCTGGTCGTTCGAGCTGCCTTTAATGGCGGATTTGACTGGTCGTGCGCTGGCGACAACTGTTCCGCGGTAGCGTTTGCATACTCTAGCGCGAGAATTGCTTTGCGACACTCTATATATTGTATGAATGTCGGGGCAAGATGGGGACGGCACTGGCTCAGGAATGCCGTGAATCTGTGGAAGGATGGCTGATTACGCAAGATCAGGTTGAGGTGATCAGCTGCGAATAATCGGTCTGATATCAGTTCTGCGTTTGACAAAGTGACCTTCGGTGGAGGTGGTTTCAGGTCGAACCCGCCCTGTTCGTCTGTCGGGGATGGCGTTGCCTGGGTAGGCTCGTCAAAATCTTGCTCTCCATCTGCACCACTGAAGATGGAAGGGCCATCTGGAGATACGCCAGAAGATGAGGCAGGCTCCGGTATCGCTGATAAATCACCGAAGGCTCTCGAGTCAACCCGCGGAGGCACTTCCGGGAGGATCTGAGAGGGTGTGAAAGTGGAAGACATTGCGGAGCTACGTGTATTTTGCTTTGTATGAAGGGGGAAGCCGGTCCCTTCAAATATACTGTCTCTTGAGTCGTCACCTCCGAAGGCTATTCCCACATTGTCACTCATGATGACGAGCTGCGGGTATAACAAGGATCTTTCGGAAAACCGAGAGGGGGCTCAGCTTGAGCTGACTGACAAACTACTGCATGGACAGGAACGAAGGTATCAAGTTGACAGAGGTAAAATGATGGATACTAAAGCTGAGTAAAGGAACCATCTGTCGTTTATGCGCCTGAAGAGGACACGATGGCGATCTGAAAGCATACACATCATCGAGGGCAGCGCGCTGAAGCATAAAGTATTCTCAGCCGTAGCCGGACAGCGGTGCTGAGAGGCTTGCTCTAAGAACGCCATTTACGCATTGGCGAGATGGACTCTTGGTGACAGCACGTGTGCGCGATGGTAAACATACGTCGCTGTGCCGATCGGATGGCGGGGAGCTGACGGGATATGATCGCCACAGGGGACCAGCATCATCCACTGCGATCGGAGCACTAAGATCGCACGTGCAGCGGGTGTTTGAAACATCCAAGGCAGATCAATGCAGAAGCTGGCGTCAAATTGGTCGGTTGCGCAGTCGCAGGCGAGCTCTGAGCTGGCAGATCCTCGAGGCTCTGGTCTTTCAGAGACCGATCTGCCTTCGCGTCCGTGTGGTCATTAGTGGCGTCAACTAAGCCAACGGCGATGTGCCTGGGTCCCGAGCGATCTTCTGTAGTGCGGGGCTTCACTTAGTAGAACAAGTCCTAGGTTTCTATTTGCTGCGAGGCTGAGCGCGTCGTTGTCTCAGCCGTTCATGGCCGGATTGGGGGCGAAATGGTGAAATTAACAGTGGATAGCAGCAATATCGGCATGTGCGCGGTTGCCAAGGACAGCAGAGCAAGACGTCGACGAGAGCTCGTGATACGGCGAACGGGTGGAGAAAGTGACAGGCGACATTCCGCAAAGCGCAGCCGGTCGAATGCGTGGAGCTTTCAATATTAGTGAGGACAGGGAGGGGCTTGGCATGACTCGCGGCGGCTGGAGTAAGCCCTCGATGCGGCCAAGATCATTTCGGAATGTCCCTCCGGCGGTCCTCGTTTCCCAGGGTGATGATAGGCGGCGGCGCTACGGATGCGGCGCGTAACGGTCGTCGTTGGAGCATTTTGGCTTTGCAAACAGTGGTTTGGACTTTGGACACGGGTAGTAGGAGTGGTATTTCAAATAGACTGCTCATTGACCCGCTTCTTCCTACACGTGGCTGCCCCAGGGATCCGGCAAACGATGCAAGGAGGGCGCGCGCGGAGATGGCGTTTGGTGTTGCTGAGTAACGGACCGGGGGCTGATCCTTTTGTGCCTCTGCGTGCGCCGGCCGGCCCCTGAGGCCTAAGAGCGTGATGAAGGGTCGGGAAGGTACCCTGCCGCGTGGTTAGTAGGGCCGCTCCGCCATGGGCAACTATCGATTCCTCAACCACGAAAATGCCCTCCCATTGCCTCACCTCGTAATTGGCCCGCCTCGATTTTCCACCTACTCTGCTCTCTTATATACCGGCTCGCATGCGCCTGTAGCCATGTTCCACGACGACTAGGGCATCCCTGACCGCGACCGCTGAAACACACGCCATGGTTAGCCTTGTAACGTGGGAGGCCATGCCGGAGCCTCTGCCCTCACCCACTCTGACGAATCCGGACATGATTCTGCCCGACCTCAGCGACTCGCAGGACTCGACCCCTTCCCCGCGCCCCCGAGTGCAACGTCCGCCTTCGCCCTCGCTCCTGCGCCAGAGTCTCCGATTCTCCTCTCGCCCGACAAGTCAGAGAACTACGCCAACGCGAGCCTCGACGCGCGCATCCCAGAGGGATTCGTCTACCTTTGACCCGGACGCCACCCCAAAGAGCTTGTTCCACCGGGAAGATGCTTTAGCCTCCTCGCCTACTCTCAGTGGAACACCGCGCGCGAATCTCATGGGCAATTGGCAAGAGGCCATGGAGAGAAAATCGAGCAACAACTCTCTGCGCACCATGGACTCTGACCAGTCGCGGTGGACCGGATTCGATGGCTCGTTCGGAGACGAGAGTGGTGCTGAGGATGTCGATGGACGTTACGACACCTTGCCGTACGTGGCAGGCAGCGATGAAGAGACGGACAATGAGCAATGGGATGGCCCGGACGAAGATGAGTTTTCCTCGGCTGCATTGAGCAAAAGAGCGGAAATGATTCTAGCTAATGCCAAGAAGAGGCTCAACGTACGTGTTATGCACATTTTTTCCCCTTGCATCGCAACTGTTCTGACAAATCTATAGCTCATGGAGGGTAACCTTAGAGGCGCGCGACAATCACTATTGCCTACACCTAACAGCCCTAATCCCATGTCCATGAGGACAGACGTATCTACGCGACTAGAAGCAGCAAGACAAGAGGATCGCAAGAAGTATCCCAATCTTTCTGCAAGGTACTCTTACCACCCATCTCCATTGTCAAACGGAAATCGCGGACATACTCGCGGCCATAGCGAGACCTTTGTACCGTCTCCTCAAACTCCTGGCTTTTCTCAACAGGCGACAACAAACGAAAAACGTTCCACGAGCGCGTTGGGCAGCTTCAGAGGGCCATTTACTGCCTCGCCCCTCGAACACGCCATCAATCGCAATACGTCGCTAAGGGGAACGCGAAGCCAAGAAGGCATGCGGCACAGCTGGCTTCCTGCTGATCACAATAATTCCCGGTCCGTCTCGAGGGGCTCAACCGCGCAACTTTCGCCCAGGGCACTGGAAACTCTCCGCGAAGATGAGGATCCTAAAGAAGTTCCAAAAGAAGTTCATAAAGAAGTTTCTACGAATGACTTGCGGCGCTCTGCTTCAACTACCGGGGAGCTTCGTGCACAGATGCAGGATCTACGAGGAAGAATTTCAAGCCTTAGAGATCGTGCTCGGGAGGATGGTATGAAAAGACGCAGCCTCCAAAACCTGAGAGCCCCTAGCCCTTTCACGACGACATCCGGCTGGCAAGGTGACGCCGAAGCGTCGAGACCTTCTACTCATAGCGGGGCTGAAACCGCTCCTGGCCGCTCCCGTCAAAGAAATAATAGGACTACTAGTACTTCGCCCCACAATCGGCATGCCGCAAACACCCCGGGATCAGAGGACCAGGAGAGCCACTATGAAGATGCAGAGGAAGGTGAAGTTGATGAAATTTTGAACGAGACCGAAAGCTCTGATGAGCCGGAGGCCGCGGTGTCGGACGATGCTGTTGTTGAGGGTTACCGGCAGGAAGTAGACGCCGACAGTCTTTACGACAAGGACATCCTGTTCCATGATGCTGAAGTCACGGCAGGAGCGCACGAAGACCGAGTAGACGCTTTCGATTACGAGCACTTCTTCCTTCACAGCGCGATGGGTTCGTACAGCCGAGAAAATCGCAGCCCGAGCGTAAGTTCGGAAGGCTCGGTGGAGACAACGAGGCCATCATCACCTGTCCAGCCTGTGGCTCAAGCTTCTCCACAAGCAAACCCCGAAGCCGCTCTATCTCCTCATCGCCGTACCCGAAGCCAAGAATCGATTTCCACGGTAGCCACTTTTGCCACTGCCACTGAGGGAAAGGGATCTAACGAAGAGGAGAGCAACGAAGCGCTCGACCAGTTCGCACAACAAGCTTTAAGAGACCACCTGCTCACGAGGCCCAGCAAAATTAGCCTGCGCAGCACCTCATCTGGACAAAGGTCGATCAGATCCCCCTACAGCCGCAACCCGTCGTCAGCTGGAGACTCGACCCCCGAATACTTTGGAGACCCGGCTGCCCGAATCATGTCTTCCTTCTTCAGTCCCAAGCTGGAGCGAGGCCAACTCACACCGCTTAAGCAGAAAGACGAGGACTTGCTCTACTCTCTCACTACTAGCATTCAACAAGTCTGCACCAGGCTCCAAAGCCTGAGTGAAGATGAGTACGAAACTCGCATCTGGCGGCAACGGCTGGACCAAGCCCGGAAAATCCTCGACGGTGTGCCCAGCGAAAACTTCTGAGAAGACAATCCGAACCTCACCTGATGGCGACCATGTGCCCGACGTCTCCCATACTCCCCTCACGCTTCTGCGTCAGTCAAACGATCGTTTTTGCTTTCACTTACACCAGACTCCCTCGTTATCTGCTATTTCGTATCAGCTCCAACTTCGCGTCCCACATTCGACCTCGATCGAGCCCATAGCGCCGAAAAATACCTTCGTTGATCCAGTTTGTTTTTCCTGATTTTTGCTTTTTCTTTGCTCTCCCAACACATAAAAAATCGCGTGGTTCGACGGCGTCGGTGGCAAGCATTTCACTTCTTCCGTGATATCCCCTTTATACCCCAAATATGTATGTAAACAGCACTCGATCTAAGCGCTAGTCGTGACAGCATCAGAGCGGGCCTTTTTTACTTTAATTAGATAAGACAATGAAGTAATTTTTAAGGAAATGCAGCGGAGCATCAAGGTCTGGGAGTTGGTTGAGTTGTGGGCGCGCCTAGACCTGAGGGTTGACGCAGAAGAGTCTGACGGCTGGACGGGAACGCCGCAGTTGGATGGCAGGTCTGAGTCTGTGCATGCACGGGAAGGCATTGGACCCTCTGCAAGAGCATGGCAAGCGGACGCACGGAGACACGTCCACAGTGCACACCGCTGCGCGAGCTCTCACGATGGCCCCCCTGGGTGGACACCGTTGTCGCTGCGGTGGAACGGCAGCTGAGCTTCAGGCAAACAAGCTCACTCACTCTTGGGGCCTCGTGTAAAGATAACGCACAGCACAGGCAGGCAGATGGCGCCGGTCGAAGCGCCACGCCCAAACGACCCCACCAACGGCACCGCCGTTTCACAAGGGCGAGGCGCAGCGGCGGCGGGGTGGTGAGAAGAGAGGCACGCAACGCAGCCCAGGTATGTACATACCTAGCAAACCCGGGCGACCGGTCAGCGGCGAGGCTTTTAAGACGCCGCCGCATCCGCGAGGCGAGAAAGTGGACACGCGTACCTACCTCGGTGCAAGCAAACGAAGCGACGAATTGGGGGGCAGCAGATGTATGTACTAAGGTACATACTCGCGCGCATGGACGGGAGCGAGGGAGGGACCGGCCGGGGCGCGCCGAGGGGCGCAACACTGGCCAGCTGGCGGAAGATGCAGCAGGCTGGCAGAGGCTCAGGCCAGGCGGGGGATGCTCCCGCGGCTGATTCGCCGATCTGGGAGTGCGAGATGGAGAAAGATGCGGTGAGGGAGAAAACGGCGCAAGCGGACCAGTCGGGACGCGTGCTCTTTCGTCGAGTCGAGTCCGCAACTACCCTGCAGATGTGGCACAATAGATAATTTTATTTTTTATTATTATTATGATTCTTCATTACCTATTCGCGTGCCTGGAATTTTTCTTCTTCTTCGGGCTACGTACTTGTATGCAGCGTGTTCTAGTCGCAGCGAGCACACTCTCTCAGCCCGCCGCCCGCGCTTCCCCCATCACATCAGAAGATCCTAGACCGGGGTGGCTGGGGGCACCGCACCCACCTACCACTTCTCTCCAACCAGCGCGCGTGTGACCCTTCTCATCACCAAGCACGCCTCCAACCCCCTTCTTCTGCGTAACGCCGGAATATCCGTTTGGTCCTGTCTCTTTTCTCTCCCTGCTTCGTCCAATCTGCCGCGCGACTTTAATGACTACACCGCACCATTCCACGCTTACGCTTCCGTGCGCATAGCACCGTCTCACACACGTCAAACGCGCCTCTTACGTCTCCCTTCCTGAAATTTTTTTATTTTTTTTTTATTTTTTATTTTTTTTTCTCTGTCATCCTTTCTTCGCCGCGGTCGTTCTGCTGGCTCAGATGTGCTTCGACTCCACCACCACCACCACCTAGTGCGCCAGCATAGTTACCTTATCCAGAAATGGCCGCCGCTGCAGTTACGTCGCTCTCTCCAGATGCTCATGTTGGGGGATTTCAGGCCCTTCTCTCACCATCGCAGATACGGTCCGCTGGTGAAGTAGATTCCTCACTGTATCTAGAGGACCGGCTTTGCAGCGCATTTTTAAGGTGGAGAATCAGCCGAAGCGTGGTCAGCGCCGAATTCCAAAGAGCGGCGCTTCACGAAGAACTCATCAAACCGCTGGAGCTTTTGCGCAGTCTTGCGACTCCAGATCGGGATGCCTCTTCAACCTCCGCCGACAACCCTGATATCTCGACGCCGGATTATACTACCAGCGACGCGCTCGCGACCGCCCACGCCTTGACTACGCAAGAAGCACCTCCAGTATACTCGCCTCTCAAACCTCCCACAAAGCCCGTAACCCCGTCGCTTATCTCCGAAGCCGGGTGGAACTCTCCTAGAGTCGACTTCTCCCGCGTCGACAACTTCCGCAGCCATGCCAAGGGCGGCAAAAAGAAGAAAGCGGCAAAGAAGCCGACGACCACAGCAGCATGGGCGATAAGCGACGACGAGAATGATAAGAAGAAAGAAGCCAACGAGGAACAAAACGGTGGTGGTGACGGCGGAGGCGGAGGTGCTGGTGATGGCGACAACGGAGGCAGTGGCGGGGGTGGTGATGATAATGGAGGCGACGATGACCCAGATGACTGGAACAACGTTGGCGGGAAGAAGAACAAAAAGAAAAAGAAGAACAAGCAGGCTGCTGACGAAGAAGAGGAAGAGAAGAAAAGGCAAGAAGAGGAAGAAGCCGAGAAGCAGAAGCAGGAGGAAGTGGATGAAGAAGCGGAAGCGGTAGCTGCTGCCGAGGAGCCGGCACCAATAAACGATTCCTGGGACCAGCTTGCAGAAGCCGTTGATGCCAATGTCGAGGACGAATGGGGCGCCTTCTTGCCGGCAACGTCGAAAAAGAATAAAAAGAAGAAGAAAGGACAGGTGAGTTTTGCCTCAGGATACTATGACAGCATCCCGCCACCGCTACGCTAGCGCACGTGGGTTTCCCGAGCATGCTAACGATAGCTTACCATATTTCAGCCAGCGGACCCTGCTCCTCCACCACCTCCGCCTGCACCCCCTGCTCCTGACGACGTGGACGATCCCAGCATGAATTTGGATAATGTCGATCTGGGAGATGATAGTGCCAAAGTTGATGATGTACCTAAGATTGATGTCAATTTTGGCAACACGGACTCGAACTCGAAGCCATGGGGTGGTTTCGGCGGCGGCAATGGGTTCAGCTGGGGACAGACGAATTGGGACTTTGGTGCTCCTGATAGCAAGAACGAAGCAAACGGCAATACTGACAACGCTGCTGCTGCTACCAATGACAATCCTTGGGATACCGCTGGAAAAAACAAGGGCAGGGGATTTAGCTTCGAATTCGGCGCATCTACACCAGCGGATGAGAAGGCTGACGATGATGACTGGGGCCTTGCGACCAGCAAAAAAGACAAAAAGAAGAAGAAAAAGGGGACTCTAGCAGAGGAAGAGATACCTCCGCCACCGCCACCACCGCCTGAAGCACCAGCTGCCCCTGCGGTGCCTGAAGCTAAAGAAGATGATGACTTCTGGGGCGGGTGGAGCACCAAGAAAGACAAGAAGAAGAAAAAGGGTAAATCCGCAGAGCCCGAGCCTGAACCCGCTGTTGTCGTGGAGCCAGAGCCAGTTCCAGAGCCAGTTCCAGAGCCAGTTCCAGAGCCCGAACCAGTAACCAACGGAGCATCAGAAGCGAACGTTGAGCAGGACCCTGCCGTAGTTGTAGTGCCCGAACCTGAGACTGCGCAGGTAGCAGCTGAAGATTCGTGGGCGGACTGGGGCACAGCTTCAAACAAGAAGAAAAAGAAGAAGGGGAAGAAGGCTTCTGATCCCGAGCCGCTACCAGTTGTGGTCGAAGATCCTGTCGTTGTAGATGTGAACACTGCAACAGAAGCTCCGGTAGTTGATGTTGTGCCCCAAGACGAATGGGCTGGATGGGGAACAACTTCTAAGGACAAGAAAAAGAAGAGCGCACCAGCTCCTCCTTTCGGAGAGATTCTACCTGTGCCACCACTACCGCCAGCCGCTCCGGAACCTGTTGAAGCAGACCCCGACGGCTGGAGCATCTCTTGGGGCAACACAGCCAAGGACAAGAAGAAGAAAAAGAAAGGCCAGCCCGCAGAGCCAGCGCCTCTTCCGCCACCTCCACCGCCTGAGCCGGAGGTCCCTGCCGACGTAGAAGTCATGACAGCCGACGCAGTCGAAGAGCCCAAAGCCGACGGCGAAGAGAGCTGGAGCGTCGGCACAAAGGACAAGAAAAACAAGAGCAGCAGCAGCGACCTAGCAATCGAGGTGACGGACGACCTCGCAGCCGCAGCAACGGTCCAGCAGCCCGACGCCGTGACCGATGGCGCGGCGGCAGAGGACGATGCCAGCGGCTGGGACAGCTTCAGCTGGGGCTCTACCCAGAAGGACAAGAAGAAGAAAAAGGCAAACGCGTGGGGCATGCTGCATGCGCCTACTCCACCGCCCGAAGAAGCCGCCCCAGTCATGCTGGCGGAAGCTGTTCCGCCCTCCCCGCCTCCAGCGCCTGCGCCCCTGGCTATAGAGGCTCCACCGCCTGTTGACGATGCGTGGGGAATGGCTTCTTCTTCGAAGAAAAAGAAGAAGAAGGGCGGTGCGTTGGCGATAGATGTCCCGGCTGTGCCTCCTCCTCCGGAACCGGTGCAGGTCGGCGAGAACCCTGATGAGATTATACAGGTTGTTGATGAGGGCAATCCGGATGATATTGTTCAGATTGTTGACGAGGCGGCGCCGCCTGCGTCGGAACCTGCTCCTGAGGCTGCGGCTAAGCCTGCATCGGAGCCTGCACCGGAGCCTGTGCCCGAACCTGTATTAGAGCCGAAGCCGGCTGCGGTGGTCGTACCAGAATCAGAGCCTGAACCCGTGCCAGAGCCTATGCCCGAACCTCCTGTCGCGGCGCCTCCGCCAGAGATCAAGGAGAAGGAGAAGGAGAAACCAAAAAGCTCCGGATGGGGCTTCTGGGGTTCCAGCACCTCAACTCCGAAGAAGACCAAGAAGGAACTAGAAAAGGAGAAGAAGGAGAAAGAAAAGCAGGAGAAGAAAGAGGCAAAGGAGCGCGAGGAGAAGGAAGCGAAGGAGCGCGAAGAGAAAGAGAGGCTGGAGTTAGAAGAGGCTGAGCGCGTCCGGAAGGAGGCTGAGGAGGCTGAGGCAGCCGAACAGGCTCGCTTTGCAGCGGAGACTGAAGCGGCCAAAGCCGCTGCTGCGGAGGCAGAAGCAACCGCAGCAGCCGAAGCCGCCGCCGCAGCCGCCGCAGCCCCCGAAGGAATCAAGGCAGCAGTGCCTGATCCAAATGAAATAGTGGAGATTGTTGACGAAGCACCGGCAAAAGGTAAGAAGAAAAAGAAGAAAGGCAAGGCTGCAGAAGAGCCGCCTCCCCTACCTTCACCACCACCAGCAGCGTTGGACGATGCAGTGGTCGCAGAACCGACGCCTGAATCAGCAGTGGTAGAGCCCCCACCCGCAGTTGAAGTTCCAGCCCCCAAACAGGAAAGTTTGTGGGGCAAGGCAAACTATTTTGGTGTCTCACTGAGGAGGACCAAGAAGCCTATCACAAAGGAGCTCAAGGACTACGACGCTATGCTCTTTTCGGAACCAGCAGCTGACATCCCCGCGAAAACGCCAGAACCAGAACCTGAAACTCCAGTCCCCCCAGTCCCCGTTGTCACTGACGACGCAACCTTGCCTGCACCGCCCAAGGACAAGAAGGCCAAAAGAGCTTCCAAGGGCGCAGTTGCCGAAAAGCTTCGAGCATTCGAAGCTTTCAACAAAGCGCCCACGTCGCCGCCGCCGCCGTCGTCGCCGCCTGTTGTGCCCGAGCCCGAACCGGAACCTCAGGCTCAGCCTGATCCCAAGCTCGTGAGTGAAGCCCCGCCGTCGTCGCCGCCTGTTGTGCCCGAGCCCGAACCGGAACCTCAGGCTCAGCCTGATCCCAAGCCCGTGAGTGAAGCCCCGCCTGAGGCGCCTGCCGTCGAGGTAGTTGCGCCGCCGGCACCAGCGCCCGCACCTGCGCCTGCGCCAACGAAGAAATCTGCAAAGGACAAAAAGGCTGATAAGAAGGCGAAGAAGAAGGGCGCAAGCGCAAAGGAACCCGAGCCTGAACCCGAGCCTCAGCTTGAGCCTCAGCTTGAGCCTGAGCCGACATCAGTGCCTGAGCCGGAAGCAGCGCCAGCGCATGAGCCAGCGCACGCTTTGGAACCTGAGGCTGAAGCCGAACCGGTGCCGCGAGACGTCGTCGTGCCCGTTCCCGTTGTTGCTGACTTGCAGGACGTTGCCACTCCGATCCCTGGTGGATTTCCTGAGGACGACTTTATCGACTTTGGCGAGCCACTGCCGCCGCCGCCGCCACCACCACCACCTGCGCCTGTCGAGCCTGAGCTCGTTGCTGTTCCTGAAGCTGAGCCTGAACCGGTTGGTGTTGTGCCAGAGTTTGCGCCGGAACCTGCCCTAGAGCCTGTTCCAGAGCCTGCCCCGGAGAAGGCTCCTTCGAAGTCAAGCAAGACAAGCAAAACAAGCAAGACTAGCAAGTCAAGCAAATCAAGCAAGTCAAGCAAGAAAGAAAAGGATATAAAACTGAGGAAGAGCTCTGTGACTAAGAAGGACATGTCCAGCGTGCCTCCCGAGGCAAACGATACTGAACCTCCGCCACCCTCTCCGACGCCTGTCGATCCTCCGGTTATACTAGATGACACGCCCGCTGAACCTACGCCTGAAGTTATGCCTGATACCGATCCAGCTGCAGAGCCTGTTAGGCCGCTTACCCCACCACCAGAGCCCGAACATAGGCGTCGCGTTCCGGAGCCAAGAAAAGAGCGTGCAAAGGTTGTACGTAGCGGAGGTGTTGGCTCATGGGGATTTTGGGGTGCCGCTTCTCCTGCCGTCAAGGAGACACGTAGGAGGCCAAGGGAAAGTGGTGGAACACCCAAGGAAAAGCCCGCTGGTATAACGCGCTCAAGATCTGAACGGCATCGCTCGCATGGAGAAAAGGAGAACAAATCATCTTCCAAGTCTTCTGGTTCTGGTGATCCGGCGGAACATGGCGACCATGTCACGAAGACGCCGACACGGCCAAAGGCAACGCGCACATCGAGTTTCTCGTTCTTTGGAACACCGACGCCGGCGAGGACAAGGTCGACGCGAGAGTCGAAGACTCCTAAATCGAGCTCGAGACGCCCCAGCGCGGATGCGGACGCAGGACTTGGTATCATGAACCAACCGGTGGAAGACGACACGTTGAATGTTTCTTCGAAAGCAGCAAAACTGATGGGAATGCCTACGAGGCGGGGCTCGGCAAGAGAGAGGAGATCGAAGAGGGGTATGGACCATTCACATGAAGACACGCGAACCGCGCATTTGGCTAACAAAATGTCAATAGTTGTTCCCGATCCCTATGCCATAGATGACGATATCGTCATGGTCGAGGGTGCTGATGCGCATATGCAGTCTCGCGACCCCTCGCGCAGGAGAATGTCCAAGAGCAGAACCCGCGAAGCCGACCCTGCCGTTCTAGACGATCCAGTCCTCGTGGACCCTCAGCTTATCCCAGACGATGGACCGGAAGTCATCACTGGGCCAGATGACCTAAATTTCGTCGAGAAACCTCGCCGTTCGGAATCCAGGAGGGGCAGAACGCATTTGCGGTCTTCTTCGAAGAAGCCAGAGGGTGGTGGTATACTGGGAGGCTTGTTCGGCGGGTTTGGCTCGCGCAAGAAGGATCCGGTTGTCTCTGACTATGAGGATGGGAAACGGCATCGGCGCGAACGCGATCGCGATCCTGAAGACAGGCGCAGGCGCAAGCGTTCTTCTGCGCAGCATGGCGATGATGACGCAAAGCGTCTTCGTCGTGAGCAGCGTAAGGTTGGTCGATCAAGACCTCCAGAAGAACGTGCCTTCGAGGACGAAGTGCCCGTGAATGGCGAAAGCGCGACACCTGAGCTTGATGATAGGGAAGCTCGTCGGGCAGAAAGGAGGTCCAGACGCGCTGAGCGTGAATCTTCTGGCCTGCACCACTCCAGACATGCAGAAGAAGATGCCAGAGCGGAAAGACGGCGCGAGCGCAAGAGAGAGAAAGAAGAGCGCAAGGCCAGAGAACGCGAGGAGCAGGAACGCATGCTGCAGGAAGAACAAGAGCGCGAAATGCGCCACCAAGAAGAGAGACGCCAGCGCCGAGCTGCGCGGGAAGAGCGCAAGGCCGCTGAACGCGCCGCCGCCCAGGAAGAGGAGGCCAGGCGTGAAGCCGACGCCAGAGACATGGAGCGCCGCCTCCGACGCCGCGAAAGAGAACTGGAGCGCGAGAGACAGGAGCCCATGCAAGACTCTCCGCGCCATCACAGCAGCTCGCACCGGCCCAAGACCGACCGCCGCCGCACATACGAAGACGAGGAAGACCGTCGCCGCCGCCACGAAGAACGCCGTGCTCGCCGCGCTGCGGAGAGCCGGCCTACCCGCGAGAAGCCCTCTCGCCGCCACCATGAGCACCCGGGGCCCCCGCCCAACGACTACTTCGACGCGCGCCACGCGCAGGCTTATCCGACACCAGAACCCGAGCCGGAGCCGGAACCGGAACAGGAACTAGAGCCCGAGCTGGAGGCGCAGCCGCAGCCGCCGCCGCCGCACGACCCTGCGGCCAACGTGGTGCTCGAAGGCCAGGCGCCGTACCTCTCAAACGGCAGCAACAAGACGCGCAGCTGGGTGGACCAGGTGGCGGCGGAGCCGCCGCCGCCGCCGCCCGCAGCCTCGACCATCTTGGACGCGCCGCCGGTGGACTTGGGCGCGGGCCCGGGCTACGAGTGGCTTGAGCAGGATAGGCGCGAGCGGCATAGGCGGAAGCGGGACTCGAAGTTTGAGGACAGGCATGAGGAGGAGCGGAGGCGGCGCAAGCGCGAGGAGAAGGTGCGGAGTAGCGACGGGGGCAGCGGGGAGGGGCGCAGGAAGAGGAAGGAGTCGATGTTTCCCTTGGATGAGGGCGTCAGGACGTGGGATGGGCAGCCGGCGTATGCGGAGAGGCCGGCGCAGAAGAGGGGCTCGAGCTGGTTGAAGAAGATTGCGGGCTTCTAGGTGATGATTGACGACTTTGGACGACGATGACTTGATGGATTTCTTCCTTTTTTTACTTTTTTTTTTCTTTGGGCGGTGGGGTTGATGACGTGTTTTAGTAGCTAGGAGAGATGACTATACCCGCCAGCAGTAGGAGTATAGGCTGTTGTTGTTGTTGTTATTAAGTACGAGTTTAGAGAGGACGAGTAGTTCGGCTGGATTGAACATGGGCTGCACTACCTATCTTGTGACATCATGACACCACCAGCGCAGTACCCGGAGAACGAGCTGAAGCCCGGACATCGGAGGAAGCGGCAAAAGTGACCGACTACCGACCACCGACGAGCCGACCTGTCTCAACCTACCGTAGTTACCTGGAGCTCCGACGGACAGGCAGCCATTGACTCGGCCCTCCATTCCCAACGACCCCCGCCATCCACAGCCTCACACCATGGCGCCAGCCATGCAGCTGACACGCCGAGCAGTGCCCAGCGCGGCGCGCGCCCTCGCAATCAAGAACCTCTCGACCGTGGTGGCCTCGCGCGGCGCGCTGACTTCGCCTTCACGGACCTTCGCCTCCTCAGCCACGAGAGCCCTTGCCCCCTCACAGTCGCAGCAAGTCGGGCAGACACCGACGATATTCGGGCTGCCGGTAGTCGGCGGCGGCGGCGGTGGCAGCAACATCCCGCACAGCTACTTCCAGCGGCCCAGCCTCCCCGCCAACACCATCGTCCGCTTCGTGCCGCAGCAGACGGCGTGGATTGTCGAGCGCATGGGCCGCTTCCACCGCATCTTGCAGCCGGGCCTGGCCATCCTGATTCCGTTCATCGATCGCATTGCCTATGTCAAGAGCTTGAAGGAGGCCGCGATTGAGATTCCGAGCCAGAGCGCCATCACCGCCGATAATGTCACGTTGGAGCTGGATGGCGTGTTGTACACGCGGGTATTTGACGCGTACAAGGCTAGGTGAGTTGGGGGAAGCTTGCGAGAGAGAGAGAGAGTAGGAAGAGTGAAGGCTGACGACGGAATGTGTGTAGCTACGGAGTCGAGGACGCCGAATACGCCATTTCGCAGCTGGCGCAGACGACGATGCGCAGCGAGATCGGGCAGCTGTCGCTCGACCACGTGCTGAAGGAGCGGGCGAACCTGAACGCAAACATCACGGCGGCGATCAACGAGGCGGCGCAAGCGTGGGGCGTGACGTGCCTGCGGTACGAGATCCGCGACATCCACGCGCCGCAGCCCGTCGTCGACGCGATGCACCGCCAAGTGACGGCGGAGCGCAGCAAGCGCGCCGAGATCCTCGAGTCGGAGGGCCAGCGCCAGTCGGCCATCAACATCGCCGAGGGCCGCAAGCAGAGCGTCATCCTGGCCTCCGAGGCCCTCAAGGCCGAACAGATCAACATGGCGAGCGGCGAGGCCGAGGCCATCCGCCTGAAAGCCCAGGCCACGGCCACGGGCATCGACGCCGTCGCGCGCGCCATCGAGCACGGCCAGGAACACGCCCACAACGCCGTCAGCCTCAGCGTCGCGGAGAAGTACGTCGATGCGTTTGGCCGCCTGGCCAAGGAGGGCACGAGCATCGTCGTCCCCGGCAACGTGGGCGACATGGGCGGCATGATTGCGTCGGCCATGGCCGTGTACGGCAAGGTGTCGGAGGGGCAGGCCAAGGCGTCGGCGGCGCGCTTGCTGGGCCAGGGCCAGGGGCCTAAGCAGAGCGCTGGCGCGAGCCGCGTCCAGGAGCTCGAGACTAAGGCTGATGCTATTGCTACCCAGACGGATGATGTGGCCAAGTCGGTGCTGGCGAGCTTTGACGACGCGACGCAGAAGCGGTAGACGTTGGTGTTGATGTGGGATGGGCGGATGGGCGGAGCGAAGTGTGTTCGGTTCGGTTCGGGGTTCTTGCTACCGTGGTTCTCGGCAGTGGTAGGGGAGCGGGAGCGGGATACGACGTGACGTGGATGGGCTCAAGAAATGATAGCATAGCAGGACATGGCACGGCATAGCACGAATGGCCGGGTCTCAGGGGGTGCGCGTTAGGCAGGCAGGCAGGCAGGCAGGTAGGCATGACCTTGTAGCATAAGAGCATAAGTAAGCGCCAGCAGCAGCAAGCAGCAGCAAGCATCGCGAGCTAGCTCGTTTCTGTTCTTTTTTTCTATTATTTCTCTTATTTATTGTTCCACTCACACACACACAATGGAGGCTTGATGATGGCTAGGCTGAGGCTTGTGCTTGTGGGTGTGGTTGTGGCTATGTATGTATATGTATGTATGTATGTATGTATGTATGTATGTATGTATGTATGTATGTATGTATGTATGTACAGTGTACGGGCGGCGCGAGGCCCGCTTTCTCTTCTCAACCAACCAACCAACCAATCAAGTTTCTCGTCTCCTTGCCTCGCTGCTCTGCGCTGCTCTGCTCTGCGCTGCTGCCCTCAGCCGGCGACCTCGATATCCAACACCCAACACCCAACACCAAAACCAACATCGAACCTGAAACAGACGATGTTACTTGGCAATCCCGCTGCCTAGGTGCTTCGTCTTACGCGCGGCGCCTTTTCGTGACCGTGGTCACTTGCCTAACTCCCCGCCCCGCTTCTACAGCAGCCTGGTATAGTATAGTGTCTCTGTCTTTGTCTCTGACTTTGTCTCTGACTTTGTCTCTGACTTTGTCTCTGACTTTGTCTCCGTCTTCGTCTTCGTCTTCGTCTTCGTCTTCGTCTTCGTCTTCGTCTGCGGCGCCTATTTCGATGCCTACTTCTGTGCCACTATGCCACGCACTCTCTACCCAGCGAGACAGTACTTTCTTTATCTAGGCAGTTAGATGGATGGATAGGTACCTAGTACCTCTGTTGCGTGAGAGCCGTTTCTACTTGCTCCTTGCTCCTTCTTCAACAGAAATACTGCCGTGCTTATAGGAGTAGTTGTGGCGCTTGTTGCTGGGCTGGAGTACACTGCACTGGTCACGCGTGTAAGGGTGGTGATGGCGGCGGGTGTCTGGCATTTTGGCGTGGGGAAGAGTAAGAGTGCGTGTAACAGTAACAAGGTCCTTGATTTTTCTTCTTCTTTTCTAGAGAGACGAATGGCCCTATCTCTATTTTTCTACGGTCTAGTCGGCCAGTGTGTCTATCAAGACGCCAGACCCCTCACAAATGCCATGTTAATTGACATTCCAAGGCAAGGGCAGCAGCGGGCTTCCCCGAGCCAAATCACTGCCGCATCGACACAGCGGCCTCTGAAGCCTTGAGGCTGCCGACGACCGAGAAGCATATGAGCGGGGAGACGAGGTAGGAGAGCTACGCGCAGTCATCAGCACGCAAGGCACACGAAAGCAGCAGCAGCAAACACTACGAAATGAAAAAAGGGGGAGCACTCACGGTCAAAAACTTGGCGATGCTCATCTTCTCCTGCTCACCACTGCCATTCACATCCGCCAGGGCCGTAAGCTTCATAGCGGGCGGGCCAGCGGGCATCAACATCATGGCGAACCAGAGAATGGGATCGTCCTTGCCGAGCCAGCCCGTCTTGGTCGCGAGCACCCAGATCAGCGGAATCGACACCAGCGGCCAGAGGACGAAGCGCACGGCCGTGACGGCCGCAAACGGGCGCCAGGGCACCTCGCCCGCCTCACGCCCTTGCTTCATCTTGACGAGCGCAGCGCTGAGCTTCACGCCCACGACGACCACTTGCAGCGCTGCGAAGAGGTCACCTACGTTCTTGATTGCGGCTGTTAGCCACGCTTTGAAGTAGCCGCCTTCTTGCGGCGAGGAAAAGAAGAGCCGGTGCAGCGCGGGCGTTAGGCCGATGATCGCACCGATCACCGCCCCGATTAAGGGTGCGTTTAGGAATTGGTACATGATGTCGAGGGTGGAGCGCGCCCAGGGCGGGAGCTTGGAGAGGTGGTGCTGGGCGCGGGCGCGGGTCTTGCTGGCAGCGCGTTGGCCGCGGCGGACGAGGGCGGAGGGCAAGAGGGAGGTTTCCTCGGTGGGGCGGTCGTTGTCGTCGTCGTTGTCGTCCTGCTCGTCGTTGTCCTCGCTGTCCTCTTCTGCTGCTCCGTCCTCCTCGTCCTCGTCCTCGTTGCTCTTGCCCTTGCCTCCGTCCGGCGCGTCCTCCTCTTGCCCGTTCAGCATCCGCGGCCCCAGCGCAAACGTCAGCGAGTTGCTGACCATGGCGTTGACGAGAAAGTAGGATTTGGCGCGGTCGACGACGCCTTCCGAGGGGTCGAGCGAGGCGAGGATGCCTGTCGCTTCGAGGGATTGCACGAGCAGCAGGGGGAGCGACGTCGTGTTGTTGAAGGCGAGGGCCGGGGCGACCCAGCCGGGCTGCTTGAAGACGCGCACCATGGCAATGCCGGCGGCCATGGAGAGTGTGTTGTACGCTATGGAGTAGACTGGATGAGTGGTTAGTGTTTGTAATTGGTTGATTGATTGGTTGTTTTTTACTTGTCCCTGACTAGGGTGTGGTGGGCAAAGGGAATAGAAAGAATAGAAAGACACAAAAAGAATTTATATACTCACTCAAGATAGGCAAGTACTTGATGCCCGTATCCAAATGCAGCTGAGAACCCACATTATGAATCAACAGCGCCGGCAAAAACAGCCTCACACACGTCTTGGAGATGTCCTTCGCGCTGCTCTCGCTCAGCAGCCTAAACTGCGCGGCAATGGCGCCCGAGCACACGGTCAGCAGCACGGCCACCGACGCCTGCAGCGCCCCCGTGAACGAGGTCAAGATGCTGCTGCTGCCGCTAGACATGATGATGCAGATCTTCGCCGCTGCAGCAACTGCGGTAGCCTAATGGGTAGAGTAGGCAAGACAAGCCCGTATCTAGACTATGTACGTCGAAGTGAAAATACTTTGGAGGGGTGGGAAAGAGAGAAAAGTAGGTAGGAGGAGGAGGAGGAGAGGGAGGAGAGGTGGATCGAGACAAAGAGCCTTAAAAAGCGGCGGCGATAAGCGGATGATGATGATGGTGCGTACGACTTGCGGCTCGATGCGCCCCCAGGCAGGCACGCGAGCTCTAGCTACTCCTAGCACAGTCGTAGTCCCCTCCCTAGGTACCTGTCGACGTCGTGATGGCAAACCCGCGGCGTCGCCCGCCTACGTCACCAGGCGGCCAACCTTTCCCCCTTGTGCTCTCGCTCCGCTATTCCCCCATCTCTGGCCCCACGGCCCACCTCCCGCCGCCGATAATGCGATCGTCCTGCCGGGAAATCTGCTGCGTACGCGCACGATCCATCTACCGTGCTCTGCCGAGAGATGGAAAGCTTTTCGCAGTTGGGGAAGATGACGGGCTGATGAGACGATTATTTGATATGAGGCTGGGACGAGTGGTTGTTGTGGTTGTAGGCCGAGCGAAAAGACTAGATGTGCAGCGGTACACAAGAGGTTTTTCAAGATCGTTGAGATGATGAGATCGGCTATTTTGTGATATGCAGCTAGTGCATGGGATCGTGGTGGTTCTTATGCACGACTTTCGGCTTCTGACTCCAGCGTATAGATGGTAGAATCAACTCCAAATGCCCGGTGCGTCCTACCATTTAAACATCCAGCTCTACATCAACACTCTAGGTACTAACTCCCCCTCACCACTATCAGAAAACAGCCAAGCACTAACCATATCAAAAAGAATATCTGCATCAATTACATCAACTACCACCTGCCATCCAATCTCCCATGCAACCCTCATCCCACCCCTCCACACCACAGAACCCGTGCTTAGCTGCCCTCACCTCACGTGCGACAGTCCAATCATCACAGGTGCGAGCCAGCTGCCACTGCCAGAAGATCCTTGAGAGACAGATAGGTGTCATGTGACGCACGCACACGCGCACGCACACACGAGCTAATTCCACGGCTCGCCAAAATCTTCAGCAGCATCTAACCTTAAAAACAGGTGAGCAGATCCGACAACGGCCGTCACCAGACATCGCACGCGGTGCACAGACAGTCAACACTAACAGTAGCACTAGTAGCATTGGCAGCATCAGCAGCAGTAGAGTGAGTGTATAACAGTTTCATTGAGAAAACGGTGTAAAAGTAGTAGTCGAGAAAAAGAAGAAGGAAAAAGAGCCCATAACAAAGACCAAACCAAACCATCGATCCCATCCGCAGAGCAGCAGTAGTAGAAGTTGGTGGTAGAGACCGCTTTTTGTGAACCGTGCAAGAGAAAACCCGAGCTGATCGCTCAAAAGGAGATACTGAAAAAAAAAAAAAACCCCCCATCGCAAAAGCAAAGCAAAGGCCACGAGTACTATCCCGTAGGAGACTTCAGATCCGGCCAATGCTAGAACAACAACGACAAAATAGTTCTATCGCCGTGTCCGCGGACACGCGATCAAAGAAATGAGAAGAAGTCCATAGTAGAAGAGCACAAGAAAAAAACTTTTTTGGCGGACGGGACGACACAAGGTCAATCCCAGTCCGTGTTTTTGGGAGCTCTCCAGCTCCCCAAAGGCCTCAAACCTTTGCATGCGCGTCCAGAGAGAGACGACATGCTTTAAACGAGGCAAACACGATTATTGAGGGGGGAGAGCACCGAGGCTGAGAGCCAACGCCTTCCACTTTTCGATTTCCGCAGCAGCTTCCTTCTTCTCCTGCTCCAGTTCGGCAATGCGCTTCTCCAACGTCTGGACGTGGTCGAACTTGCGCTGCCTAGAGTCACGCGCGGCAAGCGTGTTGCGCGCACGCTTCAAGGCGATCTTGTCGCTGGGGTCGACAGAGATGGGAGGAAGAGGGCCCTTGCGCCGACGAGGCTTGCTGACGCCAGAGTAGGAGGTGGTGGGAGAGCCGCCGTTGGAAGATTTTCGGCGGCCAGACGCAGTGGTCAGAACAAGAGGCTTGGGAGAGCTGCTGGTAGAGTTCAATTGGTCTAGCGACTGTTCGCTGTTGGTCCGCTCGACGGGAACCGCGGTCGGAGCAGGCTTGTCCTCGGGGAACAGCGACGGCCAGCACTGGGAATCCATGTCGCTGTCTTGCTGGAAGAGCGGAGAGGTTTCATAGCCGTCTCCGATGTAGGGGGACTCGTTGATGGAAGGGGAAGTCAGGTTCGTGAACGCGGTCGACGGAGGGGCAGAAGACCCGAAAGGATCGTTCCAGATATCCTTGGGGGACACGGTTGTCGCGGTGCCCACAGACATGGACAGAGGGTCCATGCCCGCGAAGCTCCAGTCGAAGTCGGCGTCCATGTGGGCCGACGGGGCGCCGAATGCGTCGAGGCCCTCCAGGGCGACGTTGATGTCTTTGTTGTCTTGACGCACGGTTAGCAGGCGGTCGCGCGACTCGGCGGCCTCGGTGTAATTACCTAGAGTCATGTTTCCAGCGGGTGGGTTGTTTTGCTGGCGGTAGGGTCCTGTGTTGTTGCTAGAGAAAAGTGGTACCGGTGGACGAGATTGGGCAGTAGTGTGACGACGTAATCCGACAGTAGAGTTTGGCGCGCTGTTGGCGTAAAACTGATGCTGACCGTTAAACGTAGGACGAGTCGGAGGAGCGCTCGGTCGACGCGGTGGGGCAGAGGCGTGCGTCGGTTGATCGAAGAGTTGAAAGTCTTCCTGAGGCGGGAAGAGGGCTTGTCGTGATTGCTGTGTTGTAGGTTGCCTTGAGGCTTGGGGAGCTGGTGAGGGGAGCCATGATGACTGGAAAGAAGCCGTGGTGAACGACGTGGAGTCGAGCGTGATGGTCGGCGGGAGTGAGCTGAAGCTGCGCGAGGCTGGGCTAGAGGTCACAGATCCGGAACGGAGCTGTGGAGGAGTGGAGTGAAGTAAAATCTGAGTAGTATCTATGGTGGCGGTGGAAGCGAAAGGGCCCAGAGGGATTAGACAGCCATGATTACGATGTCTGTCTGTGGTGTGTGGGTTGTGTGGAGAGCGGATAAGACGAAGAAAGAAAGGAAAAGAAGGGGCCTGAGGACGCGGGCGTCGACACCTTAAGAGGCCGCGCCGGTGCCGGTGCGGCTTATCGCGAGCGATGAGTCACTGGGCCACAGGGCGCGCTGACAAGCGTTTCGTGTGGCCCGCCCGCCCATTCATTGGTCGCGACCCGCAATACCCGGCACGCCCTATGCCGCTCCAGTCGACCTGCCCCTCCCTCCAAGCCTCTCTCCGCCAGGCAGCCAAGTTTTGCGCAGCCGCGTGCGGTTTTACCTACTCCCTACGAGTACGCCTGACCTTGTGTCGCAGCAATGATGGCCGGTGGCAGTGCTGCCAATTCTTTTGTTGCTGCCTGGCGCCGCACGATGGATGCGCTACATCCACCTGCCCTGTTTCGGACACCGCTGACCCGCCCGCGGCCCCCTCGGTCCTCCGCGGAGAGAGCTTGTGCCCTCCCGCCATTATTCAGCCGACTAGCCTCGACAAGCTTTTCACCTGCCCTCGTTTCATGTGAATTGTCCATCGTCTCACTTCAGGCCATGGCCAGATAACAACACCAGCTAGCAGTTACTACAATACAATAATAATATGCGCCGCTGCCCGCAGGCCCGGTGTGCCGTCTCCGGTGGGGACCTTCATCACCGTACTACATACGGAGTAGGAGGAGTACCAACTTCAAACACCGCACATGCGTCCGTCCCCACGGTGTCACCGGGATGAGTCACTTTCGTCTCCGCATTCCCCGAGGCGATCACAGATGCACCAGATGCAGGTGTGCTCGGGTCCTCCGTCGCTGGATACCGCGCCCTGCAGCTTGTGCGACACGGCCGCATGCTTTTGCAATCCATCTGCACTGCCCCAACCATCTTCACGTCGCATGCTTTGTAGGTTTCGTATTTAGTACGGGCCTCCCCCCTGTCAATAAATTGCTTTCCCGTGTTTGTTGATGATATAAGATACATAGGTAAGCTCTACGGCAGACCGCTTGTTTATGATGCAACGCCTGAATACGAACTTTCAAACTTTTTTCCTCTTTAACTGGCTGTAGGGGTAGCGTGCATGAGCTTCAAGCTGCCAATAAGATACTACATAGGTAAACGCCGTCTCGTGTATGCTGTTCCATTTCATCATAGCCCGTGACACTGCTCATCGCTCAGAACCTCTGCAAAACTCCCTTGACAACCCCATCCAGGGCAATGTGACCGCGAACCATGATCTCATTCAGCCCAGTCTCCGGCCCGCTGCCGCTCTGCAACCAGCGCTGAAGAAGGTCGTTGCTCTCCTTGGGCTTGATATCCTTGCCGGCAGTACCGATCGTGATGTGCGCAACCTTGTTCGTCGTCTCAAATGCGTTCACCGTCTGCCCGTCCTCGGCCTGCGCGCTCTCACTCAACAGGCGCACAACGAAGCACATGACGCGCCCGTCCCAAATCAGCCTTTCGAGCTGTACCTTGCATCTGCCAAGGTCAGGGTCCGTCGTGTTGCCTGTGCTGTTCCTCGCCGTGGCGTGCAGTTCGTGTAGACGGTCCCATTGCTGCGGATGCTCTTTGGAGGAAGCGCGGTGGATAAGCGTGACGTGGAATTCCTGTTGAATGCGGTTCGTGTGCTGCAGCTGGTGGTAAAACTGCTGGGTTTCGGGACTCTGTTCTTTGAACATGGCCTCGAGTATAGCCTTGATGCGTTCCGAGGAAAGCTTGATACAGAAATAATCAATCTTAGGAGGCTTGGGTGCGGCAGGAGTACCATTCTGTTGGCCCGACTGTCTCTGCTTCTGCTTGTTACCAAAGCTCAGATCATGCTTGATATCAGGCTTGTAGTCATTCAAAGCTGCTTCAATCGCCATGTCGAGATCATGACCGGTAGGCATCTCTCCAAACAACTTGGGAAACTCCGAGTTCAGCTGGGCCACAACGGTCTCAAGGTTTTCCCGGGAGGAAGAGGTGACATCAAGGTTGATGACAAGGTCAAATCCATCGTCTGGCGATTCATCCGGGTTAACTGGTTGGAACCTCTCCAGGAAACCTTCCATGATTCCGATGACCTCGCCGGAACCCTTGGTACCCGCCTGGATTGTCTGGTGGTTGTCTCCGCGGCTGAGGACGCGGTCCTGCATGGCTTTGCGGATCTGGTCATAGTTGGCACGGTCGTGGACGTAGTGAAGAGCAACGAATCGAACCCCTGGTACGGTCTTAGAGATATCCCTGATAATCTGCTCTCTCTCACGTCTCTGGTGGTTGTTTCTGTCGGCAATCATGACCGGATGGCTCTTCAATGACTGGCAGCAAGCATCTGCAAACCTCTGCGGCCGGAACTTGCGGCCTTCGATGTTGTCGTTCTGCACATGGCCCCATCCGAACAACTTCGTCAGAGCCACCGCAACAGTCGTCTTGCCGCACCCAATGGTCGCGGCTGGGACAAGCACAACGTTGTTTGTAACCTCTCTGCTTGGTGGAGTGCCCTCGCCAGCTTCAATCTCTTGACGAATGATATCCGAGCCCTTTACGCCTCTCTCCCTGAGGAAGTCGTCCCTCAAGGAGATAATCCCATGGTTTTGGTTGTAGGCTGCGGCAATCTTCGGATCCTGGTGAAGCCTACGCTTAGCATACGTCAAATATTCCTCGGTGATGTTCTTGTGCTTCTTGTATTTTGGTGGTCTGCCAGCAATGATGGCCTTGGTGCACTCGCGCCACTGCCGGTACATCAGATAAGGTTCCTCAAACTTGTATTTGAAGAACCAATCTTCCCAGATGCCATTTTCCCCCTCACGAGCCTGGCATCGGATGACAAAGCCTTCCGTCTCGCGGCCTGCGTAGGCACCAGTCTCGGCCACTTTGTCGAGGAAACTCTTGACCTTGGTAATATCGTTCTCCATGACGTACATGGTCTTCTTGAAGCCCCATTCGGTGGCGAACCTGTCAATAAGCTCTCCCGGATAGGTGACAAACTCGGGCAGGTTGAGGTTGATGCCGTGCAGGTACAAGCCAGCCGTTTCAGGATTGTAGGCCAAAACATGTTCCTCGAAGGCGTCGTCGCAAAGCTCAGCAACGGCGGTTGCGTTCATCTTCCTGAGAGTCCGTGCAAGGTCCTCGCGAGTCTTCCCGACAGTCTTGAGATGCCTGTCCACCCATTGCTCTCCGGCCTGAGCGTGGCTCAACTCCACATCTTCCCGACTGCCGGTAGAGTGTTTGCTGCAAACCAGCAATGTGCCATCGTCCAAGCCCGCGATGAATATGATACATCCGTTCTCCTTCACGCTGAGCTCATATGGGCCCTTCGTGTGCTTCTCAACGTTCTTCCATTCCGTCTTCCTCACTTCGCCGTGGTTGAAGAATTTGTCGTAGCCTCGCACCGCGATCTCATGGTTGCCCTCTTGGTTGACGTATGTGAACAGGCCGCGAGCGTACGTGGGGAGGTTTGGCTTCTTGTAATCCCAGTCTTGCATTCGCCACGAATCCACGGGTCTTCCATTGGGGGTTTGGTAGGTACCTTTCCTGACGGAGAATCCACCTCTGCCCTTGCCTTTTTTTGAGTGGGATTCAAGGGCCTGGACGAGGTTCTTGATCTCCTCGGGATCCTGAGGCTTGAATGGAGCGTTCTGGCGATCAGACATGCCGGAAGGCTTTCGCGCGGAGCTTGCGTATCGAACAGACGGTTTCAGGCGAGATGCCGAAAGGACGGGGCGTCCGTGTATAAATGGGCGGAGCTGTGGAATCAGGCGTCTGCCGGTGAGTCAGATGTTGGCACTGTTGCCACTGGAAGGCAACAAGCGACGAAGCTGAGAGGTGCGCGACAAAGGAAGAAGAGTGAATCTTGTCATGGAGCAATGGCGGGAGCAAGGAAAGTGCAGAAGGGAGCCTCGAGGCAGGCGCGCAGGTCTAAAAAGCGCGAGCAGGCGCAGTTTGACACGCCTCGGCGTCATTCCTGTCAAAAGCCGCTCGATCCCCGCCGCACGGACCTTTTCAGCCTTGCGCCGGTGGAGGGGCAACAGACACGGTCATCATCACACACGTAATTTTCGAGAATATTCTATCGCATCTGAAAGCATTCATTTTCTATCGTGGGATATCGTCATGCAGCGTAAATAACCCCGCCCAAGTCTATCCGGTACTTTTTACAGCAAGGGGAAGGGGTATATAATCAACAAGAACAACCATGGTTCCTGCCACAATTGTTTACTCGTCGTCACCGAAGAAGACCTTGACGGGCAGCCAGTCGTCGCCGCAAACCTTGAAGCGCTCAGGCATGCTGCTGATCTTGGTCATCTCCTCGTCGGAGAGCGCCCAGCCGTCAAGCTCGAAGTTGGCCTTGATGCGGGACTCGGTGACACTCTTAGGGATAACGCTGGTGCCACGCTGGAGGCCCCACTTGAGCAGGACCTGCTGGACAGTCTTGCCCTTCGCCTCAGCAATCTTCTTCAGAGCCTCGTTCTTGTAGAGAGGGGAGTCGGTCGAGCCAAGGCAAGAGTAGGCAGTGCAGTGAATGCCCTTGGACTTGCAGTAGTCGACGAGCTTAGGGGAGGGGTTGTTGGGGTGGAGCTGTGTCAAGTTAGCAGAGAATTCCCGTCTCGCGTGATATCATCTGAGCTCACCTCGATCTGGTTGACCGCAGGAACGATCTTGGTGGAGGGGTCGTTGAGGAGGATCTCGAGGTTCTTGATGGCGAAGTTGGAGACACCAATGTTCTTCACGCGGCCGGAGGCGGGAAGCTTCTGCAACTCCTGCCAGGTGTTGACGAAGTTCCAGTCGGGGTAGTGCTTCTTGAGATCGGCGGGGTCGGTGGACGAGGGCCAGTGCATGAGGTAGAGGTCGACGTAGTCGGTCTGGAGGGACTTCAGGGAAGACTGGATGCCCTCTTCGACACGCTTGTGCCAGGGGTTGTCGAGCTTGGTGGTGATCCAGATCTCCTCACGGGGGACGCCCGAGTCCTTGATACCGAGACCGACCTCGTGCTCATTGCCGTAGGCAAGGGCAGTGTCAATGTGACGGTAGCCAGCGAGGAGGGCAGCCTTGACGGCCTCGCGGACCTCGTTGGGCTTGGACTGCCAGGTGCCGAGACCAACGGCGGGAATCTTGGCCCCGGTGTTGAGGGTGTAGGTCTGCTTGGTGAAGTCGAGGTTGCCGGCCATTGCGGATAGATGTGCGTTTGTGTGAGTGGATTGAGGGGTGAGAATGGGAAGAGAGGGATGTGGAGGAGAACACGGCAAAGGTGGGAGGCAAGAGAGGTTCAAATACCGTTCACCAGCTCACCGCGCGCGGCAGAATCCACAGCATGACCGCATTCCGTCAATGGAGGGGCAGGCGATGGAGGGGTAAATTGGCGCACATGGTGGCCCGTGAACCGTCAGGCGTAGCGGCTCCGGCATCGAGGCTCCACATTTTCCGCAGGTTAAAGTCCAAGGCCCACCGGGTAAACTCGTAGCGTCATTTGGCCGGATAAACAGTCGACGTCGATCATTGCCCCGAAGGCCGAGGCCTGCAGCACCGTCATCGCGGCCATCTGCGCAAACTCACGGCACTTTATTTGTCCTTCCTTCCGGCGCCATGTCCCGCTTCGTGTCTGGAGGCACCATCGACCAACCGGTGGAGAGGGATGACGAATGGCTGAAGGCGCAGCAAGAGATTGAAGCAAACCGCCGCAAGAAGGAGGAGGAGAGCCGTCAGGAGAACGGCAAGAGTCTGTACGAGGTTCTCCAGGAAAACAAAGGTAAGTTCTGGCGCTTCTGCCTGGCCGGTTGACATAACAGTTTTCGACGGTCCGTAGCCAAGAAGCAGGAAGCTTTCGAGGAGGTAAGCATGGGCCGCCGTTGCGCCTGATGTTTAACGGTCATGGGCTGATCGCTTGTCACGCCAGTCAATCCGCCTCAAAAATCAATTCAGAGCGCTCGATGAAGACGAGGTCGACTTCCTCGATTCCGTCCTGGAGTCGACCCGCGCAAAGGAAGATGCTGTGAAGAAAGAAACTTCCGAGCAGCTCGACGCGTTCCGCAAGCACCAGGAAGAAGTCGAGAGAGCGGCGCGCTTGACTGAAGGCAACGACGGCAGTCCGCCTGACGAGGAAGAGCAATGGGCTTCGGCTGGCAGAAAGCGCAAGAAGGGCAAAGAGCCCTTCAAAGGCCTTAAGCTGCGCAAAGCGTCGAGTACAGACAAGCCTATCTCCCCGGAAAACCACGGCCCTACTAAGGCCCCCGATGACAAGAAGAACGAGGAGCTAGCAGAAAGCTCCAAGACCTCCAAGTCAGATCCTTCGTCCAACCATCAAGCCGGGAAGGAACCCCCATCACCAAAGCCCGCAATGGAAACGAGTACCGCACCTGCTAAAGAAGAAGCTCCTCCCAATAAGCCGAAGCCGAGCAGTGCTACCCTCCGACTTACTGGTTATTCGTCCGATGAAGACGATTGATCAGCTCTGGTTAGCATGACATAAAACCGCCACGAGCTTTTGCAGAGGATTAGACCATCAAAAGCAATGGACAGGGACCGGCTGAGGAATCTCTCGTCTTGGCCCAGGGGCATATTAGCAGAGAGGCTTGTAAGATTCTCGTAGGACAGCACGATGGTTTTGAGAGGACGATGCAGCGGTATGGGTTGGCAACCTCTTGGACGAACAATGGAGCGCTTTAGTCCGGATTACAATACTATTATGTGAATATTCGATTGGCAGTTGATGTGTCAATTGTTTTTTGTTCGCCTCTAACGAGCAGAGGAAGCTTCCAAGAGCAAAGCCCAATCGGATAAATGCTACAAACATGTTTCTAGACCATTCTTGCAGCCGCAAGACGTCCTGACGTCGGGTACCTTTCGCCGGCATTACATCGGCAGGCCGTACCGCGAGCGGCCGTCAATGCTTCGGTTGGACCTTCAAAGAGAACAGCTCCAGCTTCACAGACCCCACTACAACCCTAGCCGCGCCGCTTCACACAACGATCAACTGCAACCCCAGAGTCCGCCCACGATGGTTGGACCCGCGCGACCACGGTCGTTGGCTAAGGCGGCATTCCCGTCAGCCTTCTCCAAACAAAAGACGACGGCGTACTCAGACAGCAATCGTCCGTCCGTCTCGCACCACATCCGAACCATTGCTTTCAACCCGCAAGGCACACTCATTGCGACCGGCGCCGGCGATCGCACCCTGCGCATTTGGAACCCCGAGAAGAGCCATGTAAAGAACTCGACCGAGCTGCGCGGACATCAAGGTGCCGTCGAGCGCGTCGCATGGAATCCGACCAAGGAAGCGGAATTGGCGAGCTGCAGCGCCGATGGAACAGTCAGGTTCTGGGATGTCAGGAGCAAAAGTAGCATCGGCGAGGTCAAGGTCGGAGGAGAGGCGTTCACCCTGGCGTGGAAGCCTGACGGTAGCGAGCTTATTGTGGGACGCAAGGTGCGTCTGGCGCAAACTTGCACATGCCTATGGTTGCTAATAACGGATTCCAGGATGATGTGCTAGTTCCGGTGTCGCGCTCCACCCTCTCCGCACTTCCTTCGCAGCGCCAACTCGTTCAGACGAATCAGACAATCTTTTCCTGGGGAGGGGAAGAATTGTTCCTTACAACGGGAGAAGGACATGTCAAAATTCTCGATTACCCGTCCATGGTCCGTTTTCCCTCACGACCTCTGAGGTTTCAGTTACTAACATGTCCCGGTACCGGGCTGGCAGGAAGTTATCCACTCCCTCAACGCACACACCTCGTCTTGCTACTCACTTGATTTTTCTCCTACTGCCGCTTACCTAGCGATTGGCGGTTCCGACGCCATCATCACGCTTTGGGATACCAAGGACTGGATCTGCCAGCGCACTCTTACGAACATGACCGGTCCTGTGCGCAGCGTCAGTTTCTCCTTTGACGGAAGCTACATTGTCGGTGGTTCGGACGAAGGCGCCGGCCTAGAGATTGCGCACGTCGAAACGGGCGAATACATCCACAAGGTGGAAACACCCGCGCCTACCCCGTGCGTACAGTGGCACCCTAGCCGCTATGTCCTGGCCTATTCTGATCCGGCCGGTCTGAAGATCATTGGGGGAATTGGCGGCCTCTGAGGTTGGTGCTCTTGCAGAGCACACATTTTGATGTTACACATGACTGTTGCATGGCGAGGGAGTTATTGGTCGGGAGGAAGGCATATGCCTCAATGTCAGTATACCCTGGAGTCTTTGCCTAGACACTATTCACCGATTAGAAATATGGAATATTATAACGGCGCGAAAAGCTCGCAACTATTCTAACATCTGTCACCGTCAAGCGAGATCCACCGCCTAACGAGATGATGACGTTTGTATAGAGTAGACAAAGAAATCTAAGGCTAGCTATGATATTTATAGTATGTGTACGCTCTAAGACTATTTCACTTATATTTAGGGCTCAGGCTTGTAGCTAGACAACGAGTGTTCTGTAGGAGTTGTTTATGATCTTTCCTATCTCGTTAGGCGGTGAGTTTCGCCTGACGGTGACGGACGTTATCATAGTAATACTTTTGTGTGATTGATGCTGCTCTGACTATCGTTCTAGCCAGCGCTGGATATGGGCAGCCAACAGCGAAGTTTAGAATTATAGTGCATATGAGGTATGTCTGTCGATCCATGTCGATCCAATGGTGCACGAGTCGACAGCTACTTCTCTATGCTGGTCATGTCTCAACTGCGCTTTGAGCAAATGCGCCAAATAATTGCTCCTTATTTCGACTATCCCCCTATCTTTTAATCGCACGTTAAGGAGAGTTTACTATGATTGCCGAATGCTCCCTTTCTAGAGGATGTATATATAATGACAAAGCGGAGTTGGTAGGAGGGCAAGGTGTGAGCAAATACGAAGGGGAAAAAAAAAAAAAAAAAAAGGGCCTCCCACCAACCTTACTTGCTGGCTATGGAGGCGTATGTACAGCACACAGCAAGCACTGACCGACCAAGCTTCTTTGTCCTCAGCCATGACCATGAGTCGGGAGCCGGCAAGACCCCTGCCTACCCGTTTGTCCAACAAGCTTCCACGCAGGGACCTGCGGAGAACCAACCCAACGACAAACAAATGAGCGGCGGGGCCAATGTCGCACCTCGTCACACGGGCGGAAGGGTCGGAAGCGCGCATGTCGCCCTTGCATGGAGACCAGCCAGGGAGTGCAAGACAACGTTGAGTTCACGCAGCGATGGATGGTGCGCTGGTTGCCGTAGCCAGGCCTGCCCTAGGGAAAGGTAAAAGAGAGTTGGAGGGCTTGTTGCAGACGCCCAAGCTTTTGCTTGTGCTTGGCGCCCAGCGGATCTGGGGCAGCGGATTGGCCGGCGGGCGGCAGTTGTGTTTATATTTGGCCTGCCGCCGCCGTCGCTGGGCCAAACACGGCGCGCAAGGCGGCACGCGATGAAACTCCACGCTCAAAGGATGGCCGCGGCTCGTGTGCGCTGGGCTCCACCGCGCTGAGGACATAAAAAAGTGTTAAACCTGGACTCTGGGCCGCCATCGTCCTCCTCATTCACCCTCTCTTCCCGCCTCCCGCCACCGGCCGCCGCAAGAACTTGTTTCACTACCCCGGCCTCTCCCAGATCGGTGCGCCTTCCCTCCCCGGTTGTGACATGCCTGCTTGCACTCACTCATTTCCCCCACACACAAACCTTGCTATTTCTTCTCGTCCACCCACGCGCCTTCCTTCCTTTCCTCTCCACCCACTTTCGCTGACTGCAAATTTCCTTTCTTTCCAGTCGTCTCTCACCAACTACAAGATGCGTTTCACTGCTGCCCTCGGCGCTCTCTGCGCCACCTTCACTCTCGCTGCCGCCTCCACCGACGCCGAGAAGGTGCTCAACAACCCCGTCGGCGCCAGCTACTCGGCCGAGCTGCCCCAGTCCAACAAGACGGCTCTGCGCGGCTCCATCGTCGCCACCACGACCGAGGGTGAGACCAAGGACGAGCATGTCGTCAACTTCCTGCTCTCCATCTCCGGCCTTCCCTCTGAGGGCGGCCCCTTCACCTACCACATCCACGACAAGCCCGTCCCCGCTGACGGCAACTGCACCGGCACCACCGGCCACTTGGACCCCTTCGGTCGCGGCGACAGCCCCGCTTGCGATAAGTCCAAGCCCGAGACCTGTGAGGTCGGTGACCTGAGCGGCAAGCACGGCAAGATCAACTCCTCTGCCATCTCTTCCCAGTAAGTAGCTAACGCCCTCCACCACTTCAAACCCGGACACGGACTAACCCTCGCACTTCCAGGTTCAACGACGCCTACGTCGCCCTGATCCCCGGCAACGCCGCCTACTTCGGCAACCGCAGCTTCGTGGTCCACTCGGCCGACAAGACGCGTCTGGGCTGCGCCAACTTCACCGTCATCTCCGCCGGCGCCGGCGTCAACGCGACCAACAGCACCGGCTCGGCCTCCAGCTCGGGCAGCGGCTCGTCGGCCTCGTCCACCGGCTCTCCCAGCTCGAGCCCCTCCTCCGCCGCCGGCCAGAACGCCGCCGGCCGCAACGGCGTCGCGTCGGGCGCTGCCGCGCTCGTCATGGCCGTCTGCGCTGCCGCGCTGCTGTAAGCAGCAGACGCAGTCTGCAGTCTGAAAAGCATTACCGCTTCGCGCGTGTGCAGGGAGTGCTAGCACGGTGTTGTGTGAGCGACGGGCGATCGACGACGAGCACAGATGTGTTTGATACCACTTTTTTCCTTCTTCTTCTGTGATTTTGCAGGCAGGCTAGGGCATGATGGCTCGGCCTCTACCTACCTACCTACCTTAGGGTCTACGAGTACGAGTACGAGTACCAGGGCCATGGACGAAACTATGTGGCGTAGATAATGACACGACCTCGGCCAATGAGAGAGAGAGAGAGAGCTGTAATGCAAGCTTTTTTTTTTTTTAAGAGCCGACGATGTATGCCCCCTCCCTCCGTGAATTTGCTGTGGTGGTGGTGGTGGTGGTGGTGGTGGCGGCCGAACGCAGTGATCGTCCGTGCGCTTTGATCTACGACGTAGGGTTGTGACTTGTGAGGATCATGGGCGCTTAAGGTTATGAGTAAGTTCCTTAAGGTTATCGAGCCCCGGGGTAGGGATCGGCATACCCCCCCCGGTGTGGTGGGTTGCGCACGTGTGTGTGTGTGTGTGTGTGTGTGTGAACTGTCTGTCTGTCTGTCTGTTTGTCGTTAGGAGGGTGTTAGTTGTCTCATTAATTAATTAATCAATCAATCAGTAAAAGAAAGAGGAAGAAAAGAAAGGTACGTAGGTAGGTAGACATGGGTGGGTGAGGCATGTTGGACTTGGACTTGGTTGGGATACCTATGTATAGAGATAGATAGATGACGAACTGGCTGGCTGGCTAATTAATTGAATTATTGTTCGGTGTTCGGGTTCGGACGGGATACTACCTATATAGCTGGGCGTAGGGTCGAGAACCACCTTACTTGGTAAGGCACTCCCAGTGTGCATGCAGACATAACAGCAGATGCGTATTACCTACCTACCTACCCACGTACGTACCTAGTAGCCAAAAGAGATGACTAGAGAGCTAGAGCTAGAGCTAGATGACTGACTAGGTAGAGAGCTAGGTAGCGAACGACCCGTCCCGACCCGATCCTTCTTCCGTCCGTCGTCGCTACGGAGTACTAACCAACTAGCCAACTACATACCGAGAGAAAAACTTCCCATCTTCAAAAGAAAATCTGGATCCTAGATCCAAGCATAACTAAACGGACTAAAACGGAACTCAACCCTCCCTCCTCCTTCCACCCATCCATCTAATGTGACCACACCTACTTTACTTACTTCCCTCATCCACCCTCACGGCCGCGGGCGTCGGCCGCTTAAACCGCGGCTTCAACGGCTCCCAGCTCTCAGCATTATAGTCAGCCTGGACCTTCCTGCACTTGCTGAGCCCCCACTCGGTAACGCCGACCATGAGGCAGCTCTCAAACATAAAGGCCAAGCTGCCCTCGCCCACCTTCTGGGGCTTGAGAGCCGCGGCGCTGGCGGCCGCGTGCGTCGCCGCGTCCGGCCCATGCGCCGCCATGACGTTGTGCAGGCTGGCGCCGGCGGGCTGGAAGCCCCCGCCGATCTTGGCGTCGTACTGGCCCGTGACGAGGCCCATGAACTCGCTCATCGTGTTGCGATGGTACCAGGGCGGGCGGAACGTGTCTTCGGCGACGAGCCAGCGCGGGGGGAAGATGACAAAGTCGGCGACGGCAGTGCCCGGGTGGTCCGATTGCGCCGTCAGCACCGTGTAGATGGACGGATCTGGGTGGTCGAACGACACGCTGCCGATTGTGTTGAAGCGCCCCAGGTCGTACTTGTACGGGTAGTACGTGCCGTGCCAGGCGACAATGTCAAAGGGCGTGTGCGTCTGCTTGGCCGCGAAGAGGTGGCCCGCAAACTTGGAGAGCAGCGTCCACTCGCTGGCCGTGTCCTCGTCGAAGTGCGCGACCGGCGCCTGGAAGTCGCGCGCGTTCGCCAGCCCGTTGCTCCCGATCGGCCCTAGCTCCGGCAGCTGGAAGTGCCCTTGGTACAGCTCGAGGATGTAGCCGCGCACCGGGCCCTGCGGCAGCGTCACCCGGTATCGCACGCCGCGCGGGATGACGCAGATCTCGTTGGGCCGCACCAGCAGCTTGCCCAGCTCCGTCTGTACGTCTAGCACGCCGTGCTGCGGCACGATGAGGAAGTCGCCGTCGGCCGAGTAGAAGGCCTCGCGCTCATTCATGTCCTTGCCCGCGGCGTAGATGTAGATACCGATGCCGCTCTTCATCGTCGGGTTGCCGGCGCCGGCCAGCAGGTGCAGCGAGTGCACCCAGTCGACGCTCTCGTCCAGGTCGAACGGGTCCCACCGCAGCTGGTTCGGGATCTGGTGGATCTTCTCGTGCGGCTTGTTCTCCGGGTTGGTGTTGAAGGTCGCGTGCTCGCGCGGCTCGAAGTTGGTGTGCGCCGACGCGGGCAGGATGCGGTACAGCCACGACTGCAGGTTCTCTGCCCGCGGCGCCGTAAAGGCCGTGCCGGACAGCTTCTCGGCGTACAGCCCATACGGAGGCTGCTGTGGAGAGTTGGTCCCTACGGGGAGGGCACCCTCTACGGCCTCGGTCCTGCGTTGGGTGGGCTATCAGCTGCTGTGGGACAAAGAGAGCGTCGACGACGTACTCATGGTAGGAGTTGAAGCCATTCTGGTATCGATAGCTTTCGGGGACCGCGAATTTCGTGGAAGGCATCGTGCTCGTCGTTGTAGTCAGGGTTGAAGAACTCGGTCAGGTTGCGTTCGGTCAAAGGCACAAAGCTCTTAGGCAGCTTGTCGTCGACCTTGTCGGGACGAAAGCGTCGCAGCAACTTGTACCAGAAGCGTTGCTGGCGCAGCTGGGCGGGCGAGGGTTTATTGGGATCTTCGTAGCAGGAGATGGCGGGCGACAGGCCGACACCCGAAACGGCCTCGGGCTCTCGGATGGAGGAGCTGGACGGCATGCTGCTACGTTTGCTGGGAGCGGATGGCAGCATGAGGGTGCGGAACGGAGGCCTGACGCGAGCGAAAGCGCTGCGGGGAAGCCATGATCGCCCGGCGCCAACCGAGCTCCCTTGCGGAAGCGTTCCGTCAACATGCGCGCGGATAACTACGGCTGCACCCGCTACTTACCATCCACATCATCCAGACCAGACCCCGCTTCCACTCCATTCTCACTCCGCCGCCCGCAATGCCGCCCCTCCGCTCGTGGTTCTCCATACCCAAGGGCTCGCACTTTTCCCTCGCCAACATCCCCTTTGGCGTCATCTCGACTGCCTCGTCAGCCACTCCCCGCGTAGCCGTCGCAGTCGGAGACCATGCCTTGGACCTCGACGCCTTCGCGTCCCACGATGGCTTCTTGGCTCTTTCCACCATCCAGCCCCACCAGAAAGTCTTCTCCGAGCCGACCCTAAACGCCTTTGCCGCTTTGGGCCGCCCAATGCACAGCATCGTCCGCAAGTACATCCAAGACATCTTCTGGGAGAACACCCCGCACCCAAAGGTGCTCAAGGACAATGCTAGCTTGCAAAAGGCGGCCCTCATCCCGCTCAAGGACGTGCAGATGCACCTGCCCTTCAAGATTGGAGATTATACCGACTTTTATGCCGGCCTGAATCACGCCTTCAACGTGGGTGTCTTGTTCCGTGGTGCCAGCAATGCGTTACAGCCCAACTACAAGTACCTGCCGGTAGGCTATCACGGCAGAGCGTCCTCTGTCGTTGTCTCCGGGACACCGATCCGACGACCGAGCGGCCAGATCCTTGAGAACCCCACTGCAGAAGTAAAGAAGCCCATCTTCTCGCCGTGTCGCAAACTGGACATTGAGCTGGAGCTGGGAGCTTTCGTGTGCAAGAACACGAAACTGGGTGAGCCCATTCCCATAGATGAAGCGGAACACTGCCTGTTCGGCGTTGTCCTCATGAACGACTGGTCCGCAAGAGACATCCAGGCGTGGGAATATGTCCCGCTGGGGCCGTTCAATGCGAAGAACTTCGGGACGACCATCAGTGCGTGGGTTGTGCTGGCGGAAGCTCTCGAGCCGTTCTTGACAAAGGGCTTGGAGAACGATGCAGACGTGTTGCCCTACCTGAAAGAGAAGCGGGAGAAGACTGTTTACGATATCAAGCTGCAGGTTGACTTGAAAAGTGAGTATACGTATACTCCAGCTGTTGAGAGACATATACCTGACAAAAGAGTTTAGCCGGCTCGGATAAATCGACGACGATCAGCCAAAGCAACTCGAAGAATCTGCTCTTTTCTTTCCCGCAGATGCTCGCGCACCACTCCATCACCGGCTGTCCTTTCAACGTCGGAGACCTGCTTGGTTCCGGGACGATAAGCGGAAAGGAGGCGAACGAGCGGGGCAGTCTACTGGAGCAGAACGAGAACGGCAAGTCGAGCATTAAGCTCGAAGGAGGCGAGGAGCGGAAGTTCCTAGAGGACGGAGACGAGATTAGCATTGCGGGAGTCTGCGGGGACGACGCGGAAGCTCTGGTGGGCTTCGGTACTTGTGTCGGCAGGATCGAGCCAGCTCTGCAGTTTGAATTCCAGTAGGCACACCTACAGTAGGTGTGTGTACTAGAGGGTAGCCGAAAGCACCCCGAGCATTCTCCCTAGTAGCTTCCTACGGTGATAATTCCGCGGCGGGTGGGAGCTTGGGCCACCTGTCCCACACACCCACCAAAAGCTTGCACACTCTGGAGTGACGTCCGTCGCTCGAGCCCTTAGGCCAGCCATGGGATAGGATATCTCAGGCGTTGCAGGGACCTCTGGCCAATCAATATGGACTTATTGTGCGGAAACACCTGCACCGTTGAAGATCACCAGGGGCTTGGCCCCCGAATGCTTGCAGTCCCATGGCCTACGTGTGCACGTCGTATGTATATAGGTCTGACCTCGACCTGCCTGTTGCATCTGGTCACACTTCCAAAGCCACTCTTCCCTTTCTCCATTCTCCTACCAGTCAGCGCGTTGATATCACATTTATTTGATATATAAAAAACGACGTCTTCTGTTTTCTTTTCTTTTATCTTTCAAGCCTCGACCGCGACCATGTCCTTCCAAGTCGTGGCTCTTGCCGTCATCTCGGCCATCTACTTCATCTACCGCCTCCTAAACCGGACGGACATCCCCAAGATCAAGGGCCTCCCGGAGATCCCCGGCGTGCCGCTGTTTGGAAACCTGCTGCAGATGGGCGAGGCGCACGCCAAAGTCGCGCGCGAATGGTCGAAGAAATACGGACCCGTATTTCAGGTGCGGCTAGGGAACAGGGTGAGTACCTAAGAAGAAGAAGATGCTCCAGACCAGCCGAAAACCCGTGTTGTTGTTATTGTTGCTCACACCAGCTTGTGCTGTGGCAGAGGATAGTCTTCGCCAACTCGTTCAACTCCGTCCGCCAGCTGTGGATCAGCAACCAGTCAGCGCTGATCTCGCGGCCGCGGCTGCACACCTTCCACACAGTGGTGTCGAGCTCGCAGGGCTTCACGATCGGGACGTCACCCTGGGACGAGTCCTGCAAACAGCGGCGCAAGGCCGCCGCCACGGCGCTGAACCGGCCAGCCGTGCAGTCGTACATGCCGATCATCGACCTGGAGTCGTCGGTCAGCATCGCCGAGATGCTGCAGGACAGCGCCAACGGCGCCAAGGACGTCGACCCGACGCCGTACTTCCAGCGCTTCGCGCTCAACACGTCGCTGACGCTGAACTACGGCATCCGCATCGCGGGCAACGTCGACGACGCCCTGCTCAAGGAAATCGTCCACGTCGAGCGCGAGATATCCAATTTCCGCAGCACGAGCAATAACTGGCAGGACTACATTCCGCTGCTGCGCCTGCTGCCCAGCAAGATCAACTCGGGCGCGGAAGAGTACCGCAGGCGCCGCGACGCGTACATGACGACGCTGCTGGACATGCTGAAAGAGAAGATCGCCACTGGCACCGACAAGCCCTGCATCACGGGCAACATCATCAAGGACCCCGACGCCAAGCTCAACGAAGCCGAAATCAAATCCATCTGCCTGACCATGGTGTCCGCGGGTCTAGACACCGTTCCAGGGAACCTAATCATGGGCATCGCCTCCCTAACCAGCCCCTCCGGCCAACGCATCCAAGAAAAGGCCTACGCGGAAATCCAACGCGTCTACCCAGACGGGGACGCATGGACGCGGTGCCTGACGGAGGAAAAACTGCCCTACATCACCGCGCTCGTGAAAGAAGTGTTGCGCTACTGGAGCGTGATCCCCATCTGCCTCCCCCGCGTCTCCACCAAGCCCATCGCCTACAACAACGCCCTCATCCCCGCGGGAACAACCTTCTACATGAACGCCTACGCCGCCGACTACGACGAGGCGCACTTCGCTGACCCTTTCACTTTCGCGCCAGAGCGCTACCTCAAGTCCGCTGAGGACGGCGGCCCCGAGGTCCAAGGCACCCCGCACTATGGCTACGGCGCTGGCAGCCGCATGTGCGCCGGCAGCCATCTCGCCAACCGCGAACTGTACACCGCGTTTGTGCGGCTGATTAGCGCGTTTGTTTTTGTCCCGCCCCGGAAGGAAGAGGACATGCCGATTCTGGATGCGTTGGAGGCGAATGCCTTGCCTACGGGCTTGACGCTCGAGCCGAAGCCGTTCAAGGTCGGGTTTAGGATCCGGGATCGTGAGGCGCTGGAGAGGTGGATCCAGGAGGGCGAGGAGCGCACTAAGGATGTTTAGGTGTGGGTATTTGTAGGTGCTTACTTGTTGTTGGTTTAGGACGTTGTAGGCATTTTCCTGTCTTTCACGGCGAAGTTTTTTTTGTATTCGATTGCTGTCTCCGCGTGCGATTGTATGTACGTCGTGTCATTTCGCATCACTTTAGCCAGCGAGGGTTTCGGTACATACACATACTTGAGCGCAAAATCGTACTTCAAGATGAACAGCCGTTCTCGGCAATCGTGATGGGTATATAAAAGTCTAGCTAGTCCCATATAAAAGGGGACAGACAGCAGCAGTAGACGCGCTGACATATCAGCATTATCATCGTCATAAGTAGACAGGCACAACGGCCCACCATCTCAGTAGCAGAAAAAGCACATAGGAAAGCCACCACCATCGACTCGCAAGGAACCTCACAGCCCAGCCATCAACGCCACGAGCGCCGCCATGCCCAGCAAGCCCCACGCGCCGAGCGCGGGCGCCGCCACCGCCGCAGCCAAGCTCGAGACGTGCCTGACCTCGGGATAGCCGACGCGGTCCACGTCGTCAATGGCGCAGACAACGTCGCAGTGCTTCTTCTTCTTCTTGCGCTTCTCCAACACCGGCACGCCGCGCTTGGCGTGGGCATTCGTCCGCTTCATCTTGCGCTTGTCGTCTTGATCGCCTGGTCCTTCAACAGGTCCGGACGTGTTGAACAGCATTTCGACCCACTGGACTTGCAACTCTGCGACGCCGCCGACCGACATGTTGCCGCTCCATTCGCCGCCGTCGCTCCACATGTTGAGGACGAGATACGAGGGGCGGCGCGGGATGCTGTACGTGTTGGTGGCCGTGAGCTCGCCGTTGATGTACCAGGCGCTGCGGTACGGCAACCAGTCAATGCGGTGGGTTTGCCAGTCGTCCCAATCCGGGAGCGCATTGACGCGCGCGCTAGACTCGGGGACTTCGTCGCCGTCTTTGACGGAGGGTTGGTTCGTGTAGCTATGGGGTAGAGGTGTTAGCGGGGCGCGAGGAGATGATGTGAAGGAGGCAATGGCTCACCGGATCACGCCCTTTGGGTCATCCGTCAGAATCTCGACATCGCTCTCGTTGTCGTCGTCGATGAAGGTAAAGAAGCCAGCGACGGCGCCAGGCGCACCCACGACGCGCGCCCGCATACGCACAGATGCGTGCATCAGGTTCTTTTGCTCGTGCTCAATCTCTGCGGCAGATTGAAAGTCGGGCAGGCGCACAGTACGAAGCGTCAGATAAGTCGGGAGTGAGTTCGTCGAGCCGTCGGTACCGGCATCCGAGACGCTGGTCTGGCCTGCAGCGCAAAGCATTAGCATCGTCGACCTTGAAGGTCTCGCGTATACCAGGAGACATACTGATGTAGATGTTCCTCGGGGAATTGACCATGCGCACAGGAAATTCTTCCGTGGCATTCTTGCCCCAGTTCTGAATACCCCACTCGCTGTTCCAAGCATCCGAGTTCATGACGATGGGGTCCTCGACATCCTCAGCGCCCTCATCTTGGTCTTCGTCAACGGGATCCGGCGTGTTGGAGAACTGCTTCGCAGTGCCAGCCAGACCGCGGAAGTCGTAGAAGCGGTGGTAGGCGAAGTAGGCCTGGACGTCGGCATCGGATCCGTCATCGACTGTGCCGTCGCGCGTGGTGATGGCGTAGCAGGTGCAGTTGGCCGAGTTGTCGCGCAGCAGCGAGACGTTGGTGGGAGACTGCCAGGAAATTGCAGCAGCTGCGACGGCGGCGGTGTCGGCAAGCGCGGTGGTGCAGATGCTGAGGAGCAGCAGCAAAAGAGGAAGGAGGGGCAGCATTGTGGTCTCGGCGCGGGGCGTCATTGCATTACGGAGAGTCGAAAACGAGTGTCGTGGAAAGGAAAGGAAAGAAAAGAAAATAGAAGGAGAAGATGAAGTAGAGAAGGAAAGGGCGCAGCTGGGGAAGAGTGAATACGGCAGCGGGTATCACGGCGTCGAGGCTCAGGCAGTCACTCGGGCTGTCAGTCACGCCAGCCAGCGTACCTACATATATATGTGTACTCTCCCGGCAATCGACGACCCAGCTGAGCTGAGCCGAGCCAGCAGTCACCACCGTCAGCAAGCAGCGAGGCTAGTGATGGCGATGTGAAGGAGACTGCGCCACGCGCCGTTCCGCAACCCTGCTGCTCCCTCCGCCGCCCACTCTACGCGTAGCCAACCCAGTCGCGCCCAGGCCGGGCGAGGCGTCGCGCCATGCATCATCCGTATTTGCCTTTGCCTGCCCTCTTCCCCCCGACTCTCTAGCGCAGGGGCCCCGTTCCAATTCGCTGCACCTTAGCGCCGCCCCGGTTACGTGCATCAAAGCCGCGGCGCAGCAACCATCGCGCGCAGGGACATGGCTACTAAGCAGTAAATCGACATTCTCGTGATGGCTAGCTAGCTAGGTCCTATCCACAGAAAAGCAAAACTAACGAAAGGGAAAACACGCCATCTACCTAGAGTACAAAAAAAGATCCACCACGGCTACTTTTGAGCCGCCGCCTCCGTGCATGGCTTTGTTCAAAGGGAATATTTGCTGAGAGTGAGAGATTGAATGAGCGAGTGTGGGTTTGTAATGCGTCTCCCCCTTGCCGGGTAGAGCGCTTCCATTGGCCGCCCGCGGTCAGTTCCTGGCAGCTGGTCTGCCGTCCCCGCTCCGCGTCGCGGCAGAAGAAAAAGCAAAAGAGGGAATGAAACGATCGACATGGTTGTCGCCGCACGCTTGGCGGCCACTCCCGCGACTCTCCAACAGAGTCCACAGTTCGTGCAAAGCAAAGGAAAACGTCCGTCAAATGAGCAACAAAAGGGTACTATGGCCAAATAACACCACCCCGTCCAGCTTCGTCGACGTGGCAAAGAAGCGAAATGTAAAAAAGGGGCCCCCGTAAGTACAAGGAAAGAGAAAGCAAGCCGGCAGTAACATCATAGGGTATTTTTAAACACTCTCCAGAAAATGCATCCGAAGCCTCAGCGGCCTCGTCCTCTATCCCCGATGGCTGTAGCGGAGATGCTGGGTGGACCTCCGGTTGATGTTGTGTGCGTACTTGGACACCGGCGCGATGTGGTGGCCCTCGAGCTCGTGCAGCACCGGGTCGAACGGCTCGTGGTCGTGCTCAATGATCTTGGTCGGCACGTCCACCGCGTCCTCGTTCTTGTAGTGCTGCATGCTGTGCCTCTCGGGCGTCGTCGACGCGCTCGCGTACGACAGCGCAGTGCTCGACCGGTATCCGTGCACTAAGTCCGGCGTCGGCGGGATGCTCGAGTGCGAGTGGCGGCCCGGGTGAAGAAAGCTCGAGTCCTCGTCCCCCGCATCGCTGCCCGTCGTCAGACCCGTCGTACCATCAATGGTGCCATCGTCCGACTCGGCCACCGATTCGCGGCGCCCGTGAGCCATCTGGTCCTCATCGACGTCAGCCCGTTGGGCGAGCTGTAGGCCCTCGACGGCCGCTGCGCATTGCTCAGAGATGTTTCTGATGATGTAGGCAATGGCATCAGTCTTGTCGCGGAGGTGCCTGTCAGCGACGTCCGCCATGCTCAGCTGGGAAAGGCGCTTACGGGAGAGCGGGCTGTTGAGCAGCCTCGCCTCCATGTCCTGGCTGACGTCCTCACCGTCCGCATGGCCGGCGTTCAGGGTGCTGGCTCTGCTGTAGGCCCGAGATGACGCCCTCGACTCCAAGCCCCGGAAACCACGGAGCGATCCAACCTCAGCCTGTTCGTCGGCTGGCTTCGCCGGGGTTTCTTCCTCCTTCTCGTTCTCATGCTCCTGGACCTCCTCTTCCGATGCAGGCTCATCCGGGACCTTTTCGAACGCGCCAGAGATGTAGTCCTGAATTTCAGGGGCAGTGTTCAGAGACTTGACAATGTGCTCCATGTGGTGCGCTTGGCCGTCAATCAGGGCACGCAGGTGAAGAACAACCCGCTGCGCCTCATCCCTCTGGCGAAGAAGCTGAGAGTTGTGTTGCTCAAGCGAAGACAACTCCTTGCCGTTGCGCTTCCTCTCGCGTTCCAGCTCCTCGGCAATTTCTTGCTGCAGCACAAGAGCTTCCAGGGCGTCGTCGCGCTGCTTCTCGGTTCCAGAAAGGCGAACAGTGAGCCTGGAGGTGTCGTCCTTCTGCTGGTCGATGAGGTTGTTGAGACGACGGTTCTCGCGCTTGTGGCTCTCAATCTTGACCTTGAGCTCCTGGGTCTCCTTGGTGAGCTGCTCGGCAAAGGTCTGGAACTTAAGGAACTGCTGCTTCCAGCTCTCAAGCTCCTCAACAAGGAAGTTGTTCCTCTTAGAGACCTTGGAGAGCTCGGTGTCCATCCTGCCCTTGAGGTTGATGAAGTCCTGCCACGCCTCCATGGCATCACGGGAGTACTGGTTGCGCTCGCGGACAATCTCGTTAAGGTGCCTCATGGAAACCTTGGTCATCAATGGCTTCTTCTGTTGGCCACCAAAGATGGCCTTCACGCCGGAGTTGCGTCCCTGAAGCAATCGTTAATACAAAGCCGGGCATCCTGTTCGTGTTACAACTTACAAGCTTCTCGCAGACGTGGTCCATAACACCCATAACGGCATCCTGGTTCCACCAAGTGGGATCCTGGATGCTCTCGACCTCACCGCGCATGACAATGATCTGACCGGCGGGGACGAGCTTTCCGCCACCGTAGGCGGACCGGAGGTGCTGCGGCACGCCAGTGGGCGTAACCTCACCATTCAAAGCTTGCGTGAGGCGAGTGATGAACTTGGTCCTCTGGCCAGGGTTGAGCGCCGTCGGCGGGCTCGAGGTAAGGACAAAGTTGCGGTCAAGGTCAACGACCAATGCATCGTTGGGCGCGGTAAAGAGCGTGCGGCACTCGGCAGTGACACCAATAATGTACGGACCAGGCTCCTCGACCAGGCTCTTGGCGTGACGGGCGTGAACAACGGGAACGTAGAGACCACTCCATTCGTACACGCGGACGCAGAAGCGAACAGTCTCGGCTGCCACAGTGAGCATGGCGGGGTAGTGACTGATAAAGATGATACGCCTAGTGGGCGAGACTGCCGCCTCAAGGACACCGACGATGTTGGGAATCGACAAGCAACAGAAGAGCGGCCACATGGCAAAGTTCTGGAAACCAGTAGGAGACGAAGGGAATTGGTAGCAGAGCGCATAGTCTTTCATGTCGATCCTGACCAGGTCATTGAGTCTCGGCGCGGGGAAGCTTAGGATGCGGGAAACCTCCTCGGCGTGGAAAAGATTGGTGGCCTTGTTCCAGTGGATCCACATGCCACGAAGGTAGTCGCCAAGCAGGTTGTACAGGGGATATCTGGAGAGGAAGCTCAGGCAGTAGGGAATCCAGTAGGTCTCTTCCGGGGAGTCGTAGAACTCGGGCTCCGTCCGCTTGCGAAGATCGCGGATGGTGTCGGCCCTCTTCTCATCGGCGCGCGACCAGACGCGAAGTGCAATGCCATAGAGGGTATGAGAGGAATCCTGTTGAAGAACGAAAGAGTGGTGGACGCAGTGCGGCTGGCTCCTACCAGTGCATATCTCAACATCGTGGGGAAAGCAAGCCTGAAAATGGAGAGTTAGTCATTGCGGTCCGATCATAACGACGATCTTATAGTTTTGCCGAGGCCCTTGCGAAAAGGGCGGAATTACTTACCCGCATAGCAGCATGCAAGGACCGGGCGATCTCGTTGTCCTGCTCCAGCCTGGGGCTGCTGCCGAGGATTTCAGGCAGCCAGAACTGACCGACGGCGCCCTTCATGTGCTGAATCTTGCCCTGGGACGGCGGCGGAGCCTTGACCCACTGCGACGGCTCGCGGCCGACACCGCAGACCATGTAGGCATGGGTCAAGGTCTTGGGAGCGCGCTGGTTGGCCTTCTGGTTGAGCTGCGAGGGCAGCGGCTGGGCGATCCGGGAGTGGAGGGACGAGGTCCTGCTGGGAATGATCAGGTTGGTGTCGCCGCCCTGGCTGGTCGAGGGACGGTCGGCGTCGCGAGTGCGCGGGCGGAGGGTCAGGGAAGGCGCCATGTTGAAACGAGAGACTGCGGCAAGCAATTGACAGGATCAAGTGAAACGGGTGCTAAGCCGGGAGCTGGGGGAGCAGCTGGCGGACCCAAGAGGATCGAGGCGTGTCAGGCCAGCTTGTTGATGTAGTAGTTGAAAGGAAAGGAGGGTGGCAGCGGACTCGCCACACGCAGAGGTCGTCGTGGGAGAGTGCGGCAAGACGGGGCTCCGCAATCGACGAGAGAAAGCGAGAGAGAGAGACAAAAAGAGCGGAGGGGAGGGGGATGGCGTGGGCGATATTGGAAGGACGACCGGCCGGAGGGTTAGGGTACGGGGGGGGCTTGACGGATGGCGCTAGCGATGAAATTGAGAGAGGCCTGGCGCTGCGCAGCAGGGGATCCATGTGCCGTTTGGGAGGCTGCGGGATGGGGAGAAAGGCCCGCGTGGGCTTTCATGCACCCACGACTCGCACGCGCGTGCGCGGCGATGCGACGTGCGGATGAAGCTAGCACTTGGCCTCAATGAGATCGACGGGCCGCGCTCCACGACTCGATGGGGTGCCCGGACATTGAGAGTGAATGATGAATGTGATGTGTATCCAGTTGAAAAGCTACTATTGCTGGCATGGCCTGACCCTCTCCTCTCACCCCTGGCAGCAGCACGCCTCATGAAACGTCGCAGTCGCCAATCGGCCTGCTGCACTCCCGGCGTTGGTCGGCCTGCCTAACGCCCTGACGCCAACGGGCCCCCTCCCGTCTCTCTGGCACCCGGCCGCCGTGCATGAAGAAGACAGAAAGCTGATTTGTCTGCGACGCCGCAAGGCCCACTTGCATCTCGTGCCATCGCGGCGGAAGTCTCTGTTGCCGCTGCATGGATCTGCACGTGTGCGCTAGGGTTGGCGATGTGTTGACTGTCTGAGCCTATGCCGACGACATAAGTACAACGATGAACCCCTGCCGTGCAACCAGTGCTAGTCGACGTGCTCGCAGCGACGCCAATGCGCTCAAACATCGCTGCCCAAATATCGCCCTGTCTGCTGCCTGCGTGAAAAAGGAACTGCTGCCGGCATCGACCATGACAAAAATTCTCCTCAACTACTTTCCGTCGTGCGCTAACGACAATGCCATCTATACGCCATGGAACTAGAGGCTAAGAGTAGGGTACAACCGTAGGAGTAGGACCCTCGGCGAAACCAGCCTGCAAGCCTACCTGCAGGTTATCCGCCCCCATGGATATTTGATATATATGCGGGCAAAAAGACCAACACGATACGCAACTCCAACTGATCAGAGCGGCCCCGCATCCAACACCGCACGGTACGAGTAAAGCTGACCCGCATCGCAGGTTGGTGCGCCACGCGCGAGCTACATGAAGCTGCGGCCGACACAGCTCTGTCAGACTTGTACGCTCTTGCTGCAGCCTCAAGAGGAAGCGAGAGGAGAAGGAGCAGACACGGGCAGGGAGTTCGGCCGAGAGAACACCACGCTTCTCGTCCGTCTCATTCTATCTCATTCTACCTTACCAAGCCGGACACTTCTTCTCCGCAGCCTTGCATTCCCGTTCCCTTGAAACCTTGGACGCGGCCTCTCCGACGCTCTGTCCATCCAGGAATACCCCATCACCAAGACCATGCCGTCACCACTTTCCAATCCCATCCCCGAAGGCGCCGTCCCGGGAGAGACTGCCTCAACCAATCCAAGAAGAACGTCGAAGCGCTCGATGCCGTAAGCTACTGGGAGCGTTGGCACAAGACGCAATACAACCCGGTCCATGTTTAGCGTCGATGTGCTTACCACGTTTCTTTTTATAACGGTAGGGGTGTGCAAAGAATCACGCCTAATTGGCGGATAGGTTTATATAGATAAACTTCTTTTTTAACTGTCGGAATTTATTGATCAACTCGATCATTAAAATCAGTCTTGACTATAGTCCGTAGGTGTAAGTAAAGTGATGTGCACGAGTAAATCACAAGAGATCGCTCTCCTCACATCGCCAACACGGCACTGGCCAGGAAAACGCCCTGGCGCCCGCTCATTCACGAAAAAATTGTTCTCATTTGGGCGTTCTTAGTCGCGAGATTATGCTTTCGGTTGGCGATTGACATGCGCCACCGCGTCTTCCGCGATCTCGCCTGGCGCCCGTCCCGAGATTTGCTTGGATCTGAAATATCTCAGCCACGCCACCGACCACTGTGTGCGAGCGCGACATCCCTCGCAAGGCTCTTTTTTCCTCCCGTAAACAATCCTCCACACGACGAAAGAAAAATTCTGCCTCGAGCACGCACAGAACAATCGCATCGCATCGCGTCGCGTCGTGTCCCCTCGCCTCCGAATAAATCAACGAACACCGCAGCTGCCCTCGCAGCCTACGTACCACAAGCCCACAGGGCCAATATATTCGATTAATTCCCCAGCCACAGAACCCTTGCACGCGTGCATACAGCGATTTGAGACATCATTCGCTCGTCAGCCAGTCAGCCAGGCACAGCTCACCGTGATCCATCGCCCTCTCTACCACAATACAACACAACAACTCACACCAACGCGCCCCCTCTCCATCTCGCCAAATTAATCACCCCTCTCTCCACCGACATTTGGCACAATCTCGCCAAGCTCCCACCCTCCCCGTCCATCCCGTCCCGCCCCTGTCTTGTTGTTCCCCCCTCTCTCTCTCCCGCCCTCGACGCGCCACGCGCCCGTTGCCGCCGCCACCCGCGAGTCGCGTCGTCATCGATCAGAGTCGTCGACGCGCCTGAACCACCACCATCGCACTGGATTTGTGACAGTGGGCGCGGATACGAAGGCCGGTGCAGATGCCGGTGCGGGCGCCGCTGAGGTGGGTGTATGAGGCGTTAGGTGGAAATGTGGACAAGAGACGGAGACGGGAGACGAGGTGAGGTGGCGCTGTTCTGCTTCTTGTGGAGGCGGACTTGGTGCCGTGCGGGCGAGCTTTTTCGTAAAAGCGTGCTTGTGTGCTGTGGTATTGAGAATGGGAAAGTCCAAATGCTGTGCTGGCCGGAAGCAAGCTGGAGTCGACTACCCTGCCTGGGACCTGTCTTTGGATGGGCTGGATTCTGCCTTATGCTTCTTCCTCTCAGTCACGTTTTAGATGTTGGTTTGCTTGCAGCAAGACCCGGTGAGCTGGTGGACATTTTGCGACGAGAGTAAGGCCCAGACCGGTTGTGTTCGGGCAGTGCTTTGGCATATTGTTACAGCCTGCTACATATCTCGGCGTCATCCGGAGGTGCGCTCAAAATGACCTTAGCCAAACGACTGTCTATCTGGCTCTGGTACCGTCAGCTTGTAGTCACTTATACAGACCGGACTATCGGAACATGAACCAAACAACTGGACAAATGCATGCATCTAACCAATCAACAGTGATAGCAGACATCAAATGGCTGACCTGTCGAACAGAGCAAACCGGTTAAACGACAATAATATCATGATTCAAAGACCGGGCAATCGGTAACATACATCAACCACACCACATCCCCCCACATGTCACCACACCGTCGCTACCCCCTATCACCACAACACCAATCCAGAAAACGGCAAACAAGCAAGAAAGGCTGAAAGTCAGTCAGCTAACATAAAATTTCAACCAACTACACGCCTCCTCACTCCAGCCTCACATCCGCCACTTCCGCAACCCCCAAATTCCTCAACACAAGACCCTCTTGGAAACCTTAAACACCCACCATCACCGGCACACGCATCGCAGTCCCTTCTCTTCCCTTCCAAAACCGCCCTCTCAGCCCACATCACCGTCTTCTGCATACCGCATCGCGTCTCCAACGAATAATTTATTTGCCCTTCTAGCCTGTCAGCGCAAAAACAACACACAAAGAAGGGCTGCTGGGGCCACCACTTACGCAGGAGCTGCAGGAGCAGTTGCTACCGCAAGAGCAGTTGCTGGGGCCGCTGCAGCCGCAGGAGTTGCCACAGTTGCAAGACATGATTGTTGGTATTGCTGGTGGTGTTGGTGTTGATGTCGGTGGAGGTAGTAGTAAGTCGTCGACAGAGCGTAGCAGCAGTAGTAGGTAGGTAAGCAGCAACTCAAGACAGCGAAGTGCCACTCCCATCCGCGCAGCAACCCCTTCTATATATACCTATTATCCTCTCCCCCTCGGCCTCGCAAACAAGAGTGACCACCCTCTTACGTCACGCCCACCCCCCGCCCCGCGCCGCACACGGACACAACAGCGACAATAGCAGCCCCCGGCGGGGCCACTTGCTCACCCAACCCCCGTCCCACCCCCGCCGCTCCGCCAATCGCACTTCTGCCGCACCCACGTCCCCCGCGTCTTTTGTGCGGCGCGCTAGTCCCTACAACACGCTGCCGGATCCGGCGGCTGAGCTGAGCTGAGCTGAGCTGAGCAGATACGCACACGAGCAGACCACGGCTTTGCCTCCCCTCTCCCCTCCCCCCACCGCTATTCACCCCTCCTCGTGACCCGCTCGCTGCGACCGCCATACGTATGCATGTACGAAGTATGTACGCCGTTCGGCTCCAGCAGCCCGCGAGCGAAGCTACATATGTACTGTACCTAGCTAGCCTACTCTCGCCGAACAAAACAACAACAACAATGCCCGGAGGCTGCACGAACAGAAAGAAAATATGGAAAGCAGAGCGGCGGGCCCAGGGGGGCGCGTGCGCCGATGCTTGCCTATGTACCTAGCCCTATCCGTGCTGTCCTGCTCAAAAGCGGCAGGAATGCTCCTTGAGGGAGAAGCATCGATACGGCGCGCGTCCCACGGCGCAGGGCCATGAGCGGTGTGGGGAATGGAAGAAGGGTCCTGGGCCGGGGCGCGCCGTCGCTCTTACCACGTCCTTACGCAGAAAGCGCGCATCGTGCCTGATCAGGTAGGTAGCTGGCGAGTCGGAGACGGAGTAACGTGTGTGTGCTTGGTCGAGCAGCTCTTATGCTTGACCCTGTCCAGCTTGGCCAGTTGATTGATCGATTTGACTATTCCGTACTCCATGTCTAAATGTCTGCTGCCACACATAATTTTTATACAGTACGCACACACATTTTATACACACACGCAAGGAAAAAACACGCGCTGGGTTCATGCTGTGGACTATCTAAGCTGAAGGGGGTATGTTGCAAAAGCAAAAGAAGACAGACAAGAGCAGTGCAAGGCAGGAACGAAAGCAAGCAAAGCAACGCATCGCCGGACCCAGAAGATAGTATAGAGTACAGCCACCAAGAAAAACATCAACAAGCAACCATCCACCCATCCACCCATCCATAGGTAGCAATCTCCCCTCCCCCTCCCCGGTCCGACGATACTGGCTGGAACCACACAGCCCCCTCCCGCTCCGTCTCCGCTTCTTCCGACGAGAGACGTACATGTGCGCCGAGCGAGGCCTAGATGGCAGGCAAGAAGACCCTGTGTGCATCGCATGAAACACACAGCCTTCTCACGGACCTCGTGGCCGTCCAAGCCAGACGGCATGCACGCACGAAACAACACCAGCCTCGCAATCAAACCCCACCCCGACCCGCCCATCCAATCTTTATGCCTCTGCCCACGACTGAAACCAAACGAAAACAAGATTAACCACAAATAGAAAAAGTCCGTAAAAACGAGGGTGCTGCTGCTCTCCTTTTGGCTGTGCCAATCTCCAGTGCCACCGCCCTCGGCTATGGACCGTTTTGAAATCATTTACTAGAAAGATATCCGCAAGAACTGAAAACTGCACCGGAGAAAGCAGAGAAACGGGGTATGTTGTGGAGCAAGGAAAATCGAAACGACAGACAGGAAACTGCGGGCAATGATGCAATCACAGACCCGAAATCCCCCAGGTATAAAAAAAAACTAGAAGCAGCTGACAAAACAAAAGACGCTTAGAAACAGAGCGCGCTCTTCTTCTTCTTCTTGCTGCTCTGGTTGAGCGCCGCCATGCGAGCCTCAAGGTGCGCGCGCTCCGCCTCAACACGCATGCGCGCGTTGCGCTCCTCCTCCACCTGCTGCAGGCTGTAGCGCTGCGCAGCACGCTCCTGCTTCATCGCCTCCAACTCTTGCTCGAGAGCATTGCACTTCTTCTTCCATCCATCCATCTCGTTCTTGACCTTGGTGGACGACGCTTCAAGATCCGTGAGCGCCTCCTCGAGGGTGGCAGTAAGCTGCTTCTCGGCGAAGAGATGCTTCTCGATCGTTCGGATGCGGGCCTCTTGGTCCTCGGCGAGCTGCGACTGCGCAATGTCCTTGCTTTGACGAGAGGCCGGAGGAGAGGAGGGGGGCGGCCCGGAGGTAGACGCCAGTGGGCTTCCAGGCAGGGGCGGAAGGGGAATCGCCGGAGGCGGCGAAGGGAGCGTGGTGTGAGACGAGCTCTTGCGGAGGTCAGCATCACGAGGGTCGAGTGACTCGCGGTGCGAGGCCCTCCTTGTGCCATTGAGCTGCGTCTATTTACTAGTTAGCAAAATGCGCGTCCGTCGATGTAATTTGCTGGACTCACCTCGAGATCAGCGACCTTGGACCGCGACTCTTGCAATTCCCGCTCAGCCTCGCTTCTAGCTTGGAGAGCCTCCTCGAGCTGGACTTGACGCTCGGTCTGCAGAGCGGAAAGCCTGTTGTTAGCCGCTTGATGCTGATCGTAGTTCGAGTTGAGCTGGTCTTCGAGCTCTTCCACGAGGCGAGAGCTCTTCTTCTCCTTGTCACTAATTCTCTCGATCTCCATCAGAGTCTCCTCGTTGATCATCTTCAGCTCGCCGACCTTGCCCTCAAGGTCCGCAGCAGCATGCTTGGCCTGCTGGAGTTCTTCCTTAGTAGCAGCCAGCTCAGCAGAAGCAGCGTTGTACTTCTCGAGCAAGCCCCTACGCTCATTGACAAGTGTCTCGATTTGAGATTGGACCCTGGAGGCGTCGGTGTCCTCCTGCAAAGCAGCTGAGATACCTTGGATAAGCGAGACCATCTCGCCCCGGGATTTGTCAAGCTCGGCTTGGATAGCTGCCGCTCCACCGTGCTGCTCACTACGAGCCCTGGCCAGTTCATCCTGGAGGGCTGCAGTGGAAAGCTTGTGCTCCTCCACGTGGGCTGCAAGTAGCTCGTTTGCTCTCCCGATCTCTTCTTCGTGCGTTTCGCGGAGCGTTTCCAGCCCTTGCTGGTGCATAGTAACAGCGGCCTTGTGTTCCTCAAGCTGTCTTTCAAGGTTGGAGACCAAATCACGGTGCGTTTGCAGCTCTCTTTCAGTGAGCTCTCTAGCTTTGCTGTCCTCCTCGACCTGACGAAGGATGTTTGCATGCATGTGCTCGAGCTCAGAGAGCCTGGCATTGTTGGCGGCGGCGGTAGCCTTGTGCTCGTCGATTTCGCGCCGCAATTCCTCAATTTCCGCGTTAGGCTCGTCACTAAATGCTGTGCGCTCAGCTTGCAGGGCCTCTGCACTGCGCAAGGACATCTCCAGGTCCTTGATCGTTGATTGGAGCTGGTGTTCGGATGCCCGCATGACGGACATGGTAGACTCGTGCTTGGCTTGCCAATGGGCGACTTCCTTCTGGAGTACAGAGATTTGTGGCTGGTTGCCATCGCCAGGAGCCAGGTCATTGCCTAGTTCCTTGGAAGCACCAAGGCCAGGCGTAGGCGTCTCAGGGAACTCTCCAGGCATTTGTTCGTGATCTGCAGATTCGCCCACCCTGAGAGAAGGAGAGGGAGGGGCCCCAAGAGCGATCCTGAGGCTGTCAATCTGCTCAATGAGTTCCCTTTCGCGGTTGGCATGAGACTCCTGCAGTTGTTTGATCTGGGTCTCGCTCTCCATAAGCTGGTCGCGCATCTGCGAAACCACCGATATGTCTAGAGGGGAAGACTTCAAGCTCGACCGCTCCCTCGTAAGTCCAGAAATGATTGTCATCTTGCCTTCCATCTCCTTGCGAACCTGAGCCATATCAGCCTCCAGCGCCGCAACACGCTCCGTCCGGGAATGCAATTCCGTCATGATGGTGTTCAGGTTCACCTCAAATCCCTGGATGGTATCTGGGTAGTCCTCGAAATGGTCTAGTGCGATGTTGCGCAGTGCCGTGAAAGAACGATTTGCGCGATCAACGTTCAGCATGTTTTGACTGGACTTTCGCCGGATGATGTGAGGGGTTGAGGGTGAAACGGCCTTTTGCGCGTCTGTCTTTAACTCCTCCACATAAGCCAGGGTATCCTGGTGATCCTTCTGCAGCTGTGCGTAGCGTTGCATCAGCTCTTCTTCTTTTTCTTCGTGTAACCTCTTCAGCTTATCCATCTCCCGTGCCAGAGTTTCCTCGTGCTGCGCATCTTGAGCCTGCGCAACCTCTGGCTCCTTAAGAGCTGTCTCAGCATCAGATGCCTCTGTTGACGTAGCGAAGGAGTCTCTCGTATTCGCTGACTCCCCAAGCAAGGACAATTCCGATGATAAGGTACGCGAGGATGAAGGTTGTCCATCCTCTTTGATCTCTCCGATCACATTCACCCCCGCGTCCGCTAAAAAAGAATCCGGCCTAGAAGAAGAAGAAGGTGAAGCGCGCTTTGCGTGGCGCGCTTCGTCTACAGCATCCTGAAGTTCAGACAAGGTGTTCAACGCCACTTGATATTTCCTTTGAAGGTCATCAAAATCATGAACGGTCGTCTCATGCTCCATACGGAGGTCAAAGAGCTCCTGGGTGACAGTATCAAGCTTGTCTGCGACAAACCGAGACTGCTCAGGGCTTTGAGGCATGTCCTCAGGCTTGGGAGGGGGAAGGTTGATGGTTGTCTGCAGGATTTTGTTTCCTGAGCTTTCAACGACTTCCGCGCCTGCATCGGTTTCAGGGACAGAGCGCTTTTCATCGCTTTCGGCATCGGGTTGCTTTTGCCCATTGACTTTAGCATCCGAGCCCTGGAGAACATCTTCCTCCTCTTTGGAGAGTCCGTTGGTGTCGGGCTCGCTCTTCTTTTCCTCCTTGGAAATGTTATCGAGCTCATAGAGTAAGTTGTCCAGCTTTCCAATGCTACGCTGTCTTTCGATGACATGCTCGAGGCGTTCAATCTCCCTTTGCATCAGCTCGTGGTCTTGTTCGGCTTCCGCAAGGCGTTCCTCGAGAGTGGAAATGTATTCCTCGCAACTTGCTTCGTTCTCGCGGGCCCTGTTCAATTCCTTCCGGAGTTCCTGAATAACGGAAGATTGCTTCTCCTCGCCTGTGGTTATGCCATCGACCCGAGCCTCCAGTTCCCGGACGTAAGTTTCGCTGTTGGCCTCACGATCCGTGGCCTTCTGAACGCGCGCTTGGAGTTGCTGGTTGACGCTCTCCATGTACGCGATCTTGGTTTCCTTCTCCAAAAGAGTGCTCTCGTTCTGGGAAAGCGAAGACCTCGTCGTGGAGAGAGATGCCTCGAGGCTCTGGATTGTCTTCTCGTACTCCATGACCACCTGTTGCACTGCATCGGCGAAAGAATTCGAGCGCTTTAGACGCTCCATTGCGCTATCACCAAGTGCATGATGAAGCTCATCAGACGTGTCTGCATCCGCATCACGAGCCTTGGTGAACTCCGAAATGAAATTAGCATGACGTTGACTCAGAGCACTGTAGTTCTCCTGCAAGTCGAGCAGTTGGTTCTGAAGCTCCGCTTCGCGCTCCTGTTGCCTCTCGGCTTTCTCCTGGGGTGCCTTCTTCGTGCGGTCCGTACGTTCCGAAAGTCTAATTTGGTCACGAAGAAACTGTACCTCAGCGCGTAGGCGGTCAATGATTGCTTGCTTGTCACCCTCCTCGGCGCTCTGCTGGACCTGAGGTTTGCTCTGAATAGCACGAGCTCGCTGCGCGTACTGTACAGTATTGAGCGTCTCACTGAGATGGAATTCGGCTGGGTTGACGCAAGCAATCATGTAGGTGATGGCATTTCCTCCCAGAGAGTCTTGAAGGAGACGGGTAAGCTTGGAATCACGGTATGAGACGTGGGCCCCTGAGTTCCTTGAAGATAACTGCGAGATGACCTTTCCCAGGCTTGCCAACCCTGCGTTGATGGAAATACCTTCCCTTGCTCGTGCGCCTTCTGCGCCGGTATTCTTTAATCTTTCACTGCCAGCAAGGTCGACGAAATGCAGCTTGCTGTCCACAGTCACCCAACTCTCCCCGGTCATAGCTTCCAGCGGCACTGATCGGCGCTTCTCGGCTCCCGGGGTTGGTCCTGTTTTGGTCTTCTTTTGCACGAGGTTCAAACTGAAGACAGCATGTGAACGTGAAGACTGTGCGTTTTGAGCGGTTGAATCCGTCTGACGAATGGAGGAGCCGAAGGCGAGGGCGTTGAGGAGATCATCGATGGAGTTGATATTCACTTGTTGAAGACCGGTAAGAATAATCCTGCCCTTGGTATCTTCGCGGATGGTCACCGGGGCTCTTTCGCCGGGAGGAATGTCACCGGATACGAGAAGATCGCGCAGTTGTTCATTGTAGATTTCGACATAAGTGGCTTTCAGTTGCCAGTTTTTGTCCGCAGGCTTTGACTGGGGTAGGCCAACGGTAGAATAACGGGTGGGCGCGCGAAGTCCGGAACCAGCAGGTGCTTGCGGTTTGGATGAGCCGGTAAGCTGCTCGAAGAGAGCCTGTGCCGCACGAGAAACGACACCTGATTCGAATATTAGTCAACGCCGTTCACAGAGCGATTCGCAAGGCGAGGATCGCCAGATCGAACATACCCATGGTCTGGGCATCAGACTGCTGCTTAGGACCGGAAGTGCCCATTGTGTACGATTTTCCGGCACCAGACTGGCCGTATGCCAGGATGGAGACATTGTAGCCCTGCACGAACGAATTTACACTGTCGCTGAGGTATTCCCATATCCCGGCTTGGTCGACCTCTTCACCGAAGACTCTGTCGAAGACGAAAAGCTTTTTGCCCTGGGCGGACTCGACCGTCAGGTTGGTCTGGGTGGTGACCTGACAAGTGGTGCCACGGAATCGCTGAGGGATGAGCTCGTAGCTGGGGTCGTTTGCCTTCAATGGCGGGCGCACACGGACAGCTTGAGGCAGCGCGTGTTAGTAATGAAGCAGGCAAGTTGCGCGACCAAAGTGGGCGACGTACCGACTTTGACAGCCGTCTTGCTGTCCTCGTCCGAGGCCCTGCTGCCACCCGGTCGGCTGCTCATGCTCATGCGGCTTGAGCTCCGGTTCGAGCGGTACATGGCGCTCACCGGCCGCTGGATGCCGCTGGCAGCGGGCGAGCCGGGAGGGGAGGCCATGGCTCCAGGGCAGCGGGTGCCGTGGCAGGAGTGGCGGGTGGAATGCTTGTTATGAGGATGCGGAAAGATGCCGAGGCGCCAACGACGAGGGCAAGCCTAGGTGGGCATGCGCGGAGCTACGGCGGCGACACGGCAGATGCGCGATCTGTGCGACTGCAGCCTCGCACGCAGCATGTGTTGTTGGCGATGGTGTCGTCGCTCGGCTGTCACAGGGTCGCAACGTGTCCGAGAGATGAGTGGCTCTGATGGCTTTTTTCCCTCGAGTCGGACTGGGGTAAGAGTGGCTCTCAGGGGCAGCAGGGACCCGTCCGGCTTGCGTTAGCTAGTGGGTGTGTCGGGGCGGGAGGTGGGAAAAAGAGCCGGGGGGTTGCACGCTCGCGGCTCGGTTGCGCTGGCAGCAGGGGAGCGAAGGAAGGAATGGATAAACTGGTTTTCGCACTGGGAGGGAGAGGGAGGCAAGTCGACATCAAAAACGCCCGCCCACGTCGGGCAATAGGCGTCTATTCTCGCGATGCCGCGATGGTCCCTGTGCTTGACGCAGACGCCGGGAGATCTTAGCGTGTCAGGCACGAATCCTTTGCCTTCTTGTTTCGGCATCGTCGACACCACCCATCTGCTCACTCCCCGGCATCTAATGTCCGGCCCTCCGCCGGTGCTCAACGGCCGTCGCCCATCCAGAGCTCGCCATGTTGCCCCATCTAGCTAGCAACTCTGCCGTGCAAATGTTTCAAGGACCACGATCAACGGCTGCTCGTTGGCGATCCCCAAATGCTCTGTTCAGGGGGGGTCACGAATCACGACTGCTTCTGTTCTATCCCATCTCTGCTAATCTCTGACACTGCCCTTCATGCAGTCAAGCCACCAAGGGCCTAACGCGCCTAACCTCCGGTCTCTCTACCCCGTGAACTAGTGTCCCCCGCCGTCCCTGGGTGTTGAGAGCTTTGCACACCTGCCACCAAAAGTAGTATCATCAACGCCGTTTTCGTTCTTACTCGAATCCTCCCGCACGGCCTTTTTCACCTAGCTTAACGGCGCCACTATCTGGATAAGAGCTCCAGCATCGTAAGGCTAGATCCGCTTTCCCTAATCGGCTCGCCTTGCAGCCAATCTCGTCGAGATCTAACCTGCGCCCACGAAGCCACGTGCAGACTCAATCTTGGAAATTTATAGCAGCACAATCGATAGTTAGACCTTATCACCACGGATTATTATTTTAATGTCTCGCTTCCTGACTTGGCGTTGCCCCTTTGCAAGCCTCGCCGTCCATGTCGAGAGATGCTCTCTCAGACCTCGCATCTAGAGACTTGCAGGTGTCGCAGATCCGCGTCACTCAGCCGTGCAGCAACCTTAAGGACGTCGCTGTCCAATCATGCCTTGCCCATCTCCCACCGCGCAAACATTCCGTGCGCATCCGTCACGACTTCCGCTTTGCGCTCCCTTGCCCTCTGGCGCCACCGAAGTCATTCCGCGGGTCCTTGCATAAAAAGTGGAACAACCGAGGAGGGCACGATGCGTCGCACTTGCACACTTGACGATGAAGGCAATGCAAGCAGCTGAGTGAAGCTTTGCTGTTAATGTTGGCTTTATATATCAAAATTTCAAAAATATTTTTATCAACAGCCGTCCAACGCACAGTTGGCACTTTGGCGGAGTGGTTAACGCGCTGGCCTGCTATCCTTCTCTTCGAGGAAGCAGCTAAGCCAGTTCCTTCGGGAGCGTGAGTTCGAATCTCACAGGTGTCGCATAAAACCGAGGCTGCTCATCTTTTTTTGCCCCGAATTTCTAAGGGCTACGATGGCACCAGATGTAGAGGACCGAATGGTGCCAGCAAGTATTTTTATTTTATTCTGCCGGATGCTACCTTACATCTCCTGTGCGAAAAAACTTTTGGTTAAAGATATGTTACCAGTAACCGTTGTTTGTTTGCTGGACGGGATTTTGGCTGGCGGAGCGTAGCGGGGCAGGGAGAAGGAGAGAAGAGGGGCATGGTGTTTGTGGGGCACAGACCGCGTCATCGCCGACCAAAGCTCTCACAGCTCCGCCCTGCCTCCCTAGACGACGTTCAACCATCCGGTACTCTGCAGCAGCTTTGTTAGCTGCTTCAAGCGCTACGTATTTATTAATAGTTTGCGCGGACAAACAAGAGTTGGTATGTCGATCATCTCCACATCTGTCTTGCCAGATCCAGACCAAACAATGTCACCAACGCCGCGGATGTTCTGGTCTTTTGTTACTCAAGCAAGCAGAAATGATGTACAGAAGCTAACATTGAAGCTACTGTCTGGAGGTGGTGCTCCTAAAGCCTTGCGTTGATGCATACGCTCGTGGTTTCCAGAGTGGAAGGTTTATCAAAGATTAAATTATCCAGTATGCGAATTCGCAGCATTGATACACATTTAAAGACATCTCTACATGTCTCTTTAAGTTCTCCGGTGGCAGAACTCACCTAACTCACTATGGTCGGCGAGAAATATCAGACAGGCTTAGATCTACTTGACCAGCTTAAAATTTGAAAAGATAGTTATTAGGATGGGATAGTGCTTGTTTTATATTATAGCCAACTAGTTGTTCACCATTTTTAGCTGTTTGATTCGCCTCTCCTGATGTGTTGAATGTAAAAGACTAACTTCATGTTTATTTATCTCGCCCCTTTATGCTCTTGGGAAACTTCCCATACTCTTTATTTATTTGTTTATTTTATTTAATTATCAACTAACTTTATATCATCCGTACAGTGCTGCGGAGACCTGTAAATACTAAGAAGGTACTTAAGCACTGTAGCCAGTCTGATTTGTATGCGGTGAAATTGGTAAGTATAATAATTTAGAAAAAGTTAGTGAATTGTCTAGAGCCTTATGTATATACCGCCACCCTTTCTTAATTACAATCCTAATAAGACTAGGTATGGTCGAACCTTAAATACCGTTGTTTAAATAGAGTAAAAGCTAGTTTATATTTCTGCAATTTACTTAAATTAAAACTTAGCTATTTATTAATACATGCATGCATGATGCACTAAAAGTCTAAAATATCATCGCTTTATTTTGCTAAAATTATCTTCCCGTATCCGAAGGTAATAGTATCCATCTTTAACCACTGTCAGTTTTACTATATACTTTATTTTTTCTCTATACAGACTAACTATCTTAAGGTGCCTCAAAATTACACACAAAGCATATAGAAGATATTTAGCAGCTCGGCGGTCCTGGATCACGTAAATGTTAGTACTTTATATTACCGGACTTGTTACTACTCTATCTTAGGTAGCTACTTCCGGGGATTCCAAGGAGAGCATCTACCTACACCAACTTACAGATTAAAGCAGAATCGTCCAACACCATACCATAACGAAATATCTTTTCCACGGGCTGATTTTAAGACCTCTGCGGGAACTAAACTAGGAGAACCCTCTTCAAAACTACCTAACAGCAAAGACCGCTCTATATAATACTGAAATTTACGACCCTAACTTCCAACATACCGTCCAAGGCAACATAGAAAACAATATCACGATAACCACCACCAAATAAGTCTTAGCGGGTCCGCCACTATGGTATAATGCTACAACTTAGTATACCGGCGGGCCCAGGAGATATATATACAAACTGAGCCTCTGTCAATTACAAAGTTAACCCGCAAATGACATCCAGAGATGCATCGTATGATCATAAATCACTCACTCAATGTTCTCTTGAATCACTGAATACTTCATGACCATGTGGACATTGGAAGCCTGCTGGTTGCAAACTAAACAGTGACAGCGAAGTGTCATCTACTGCAGTCGGAAGGGCAGATATTTTTATAGTTTACAGGCCCTTCGTGAGCAATCAATATATCCAACTAAGAGCGCAACCTCTAGATACGTCTACGAAGTAACTTGTAGGGAGCGTTGTAAAAGTACTGCAAGCATGCTTCTAACAAGGTACATGCTCCTATAAATCCGGAGCGGCTTAACATGCTTTCACTTTCCTGGAGTGCCACTTACTGTGGAGACACAAATAACGATATCTATACCTGTGACTGTATTAACAAGGATTGTGGCATCCTCTCCAGACGAATTCCGATGATAAAGCATGCGATATAATGCCGCGGAGTCATGACGGTTTCAGTAGTTCAATCAGCACGACCACAAGGTACGCCGAAGATGGTACCCGGCGTATAGCGTATTCTGCTACACCACGGCGACTCCGCTCTCAATGATATGTCCACAGCTTTACTTATCCGTCTTGGAGACCTCATTAACCGGCTTGGACATAATGGCGTCTTCGTCGGTTGGACAGATGGCAGGGCCTCTGCCGAAGTACGAGGCGGGGCTGGCGTGTGCGAGGGGTGGTGTGGTTGTTGTGGTAGAAGCACAGCCGGCCGAACGTTCTCTGGCGTCTCACAGTGGGTATGCAACGGGAGCTTATTTGTGCATACGAATATCGAGTTGTGGGGAGGACACCGGAAGTATATAAGCGAGCTCTAGGGATTGGAGGAAGAATGGAGAAGGCTCTTCCATAGAATGTTCCGAGGTTCTTTCGGCTGACGAGAGCGGTAAGGCGGCCACGCGACCTCCCCACGCTCCCTTTCATGCGCTCCAACAGAACGAACACAACAGTTCAGGGATGCCAAAAGCCGCTCGAACAGCTAATATGCCCGAAAGGACAAGACCTGTATGCGTAACGATCGGGAATTCTAGACCTGCGCTGCATCTTCAATCCCTTCCGAAGGAGACCACCCCGGCTTGCTGGAGTTGGTAAGCTGGGCTGGAAGGAAGCTCACCGTAATCCCGGAATGTGGCACGCATGCAAACATCTGCAGGGACTCGGCCATCCCTTCGCATGTCGCCGGCCACTGTCTTACAGGCTGCCAAGACGCCTTTTCTGGTTATATAACGTCTTTCACCGGGAACCGAGATCCACAGCTTAGCAAGACAGGACACGATACAAGCAGTCCCTACAGAGTACACCTTGCCTAGCTCCTAGCCCGAGTCCTGGATATGGATGAAATGGTTTTAGAGCACACATAGAGTCTATGTATCATAACTGGTTCTCTTCTTCTACTCCATACAAATATCGCAAGTAAGCATAGGCTCTAACAGTGCTAGCAGGGGAGGGGGGTCGTGAATTCGCAACCCGTAATGGGATGGGAATCCACGCCTGCCGTTCATCTTCCATGCTGTAAAGGGAAGGGTCAACCGAACATTAGCCGTGTCCTTTTCATGAAGACATCAACAACCATCCGCGTTTGTTCCACAACATCGCACTGCCTTCTTTATCAGTCTTTCCTTTCACACGATAGCTACCGATCCAAGACCATCTCAGTTCGCTACGAGCTTGTCTTCACTCTGACACCATGGACTCCATTTTGTACCAGAATGCCGAGCGCACGGTGACGGTCATAGACATCCCTACCTCGATCGCAGAGGCGCAAGGCACCAAGGATCATCCGCACCGTGCTGAACTACTTTCGCTACCGCCGCCAAAGGTTCCGTACAGAGGTCCGGGAGCCAAGTCAGAGAAAGCAAAACGGAGAGTTGCCAATCTTTTTGACGAGAAAATCGACGCTGCATACCGTGCCCTTGTCACCGAGGCCTTGGAGGATATTAACAGCAAGCACACGGGAAACTGGTTCTTACCACGTAAAGAACTGCCGCCGGTTGAACCGCTGCAGAAATCCAAAAAGAGGAAGGCGTGGCAGCTGTATCTGCCAGAGAGCAGCACTGAGGTGGGCGAAACAAACGAAACTGTTTCCATACCTGGTACTACTGATGTTGCTCTTGTCCCGAAGCTTCCACAGGATTTCTTTCCGTCTCTGCTAAAAAACGCTGGCAAATTCGTACAGCGGGAGAAGCGCATCGTGAGCGATGAAGATTTAGAAGAACCGGAGTGTCCGTTCGACACGTTGTACCACAACCCAGACGATCGCCTTGTTACGTTGTCCATCACGCATCAGCGCAACAGCCTACAGAAGACCTACAGCTTTAATATTCCTCCAGGCTCAACCTTCCTTTTGTCTGACTGTAAACATACCACCGACTTTCGCAACTCAATCCGTTGCATGTCCCAGGAACATGATACTCCGAAGCGTTTCGATTTCATCCTCTTGGATCCGCCTTGGCCCAACTCGTCTGCCAAGAACAAGAACACGTACAACACCACGAGGGACCTCTCCGAGATGTCGCGCTTGCTATTGAAGATGGAATTAGATGCATACATCAATCCCAACGGCATCATTGGCGTATGGATCACGAACAGGCCGTCCGTCCGCGACCTTGTGCTCGATCCGGAGAACGGCTTGTTTGCTAGTTGGAACATTACGCTTTGTGAGGAATGGGTATGGCTCAAGACCCTCCACAACGGCGAACCTGTCCTGTCACTGGATCACAACCTGCGCAAACCCTACGAAGTGCTGTTGCTTGGACGCAGACCGGAAAACCAGTACGAGTGGGCAACACCATTGAACCACGTGAAGAGGAGGGTGATCGCAGCTGTGCCAGACTTGCATTCACGCAAGCCTTGCGTAAAACGCTTGGTTGGGGATCTTCTGGAGGAGGGGTACTCGGCCATGGAGATCTTTGGAAGATACTGTGTGGCTGGCTGGTGGACCTGGGGCAATGAGGCCATCAAGTACAACTGGGAGGAGTTTTGGGTGGGGCAGGAAGCGGAGAAGCAGGCTGGCAGCTGCAGAGAGGCTGAGCGCAATGGTGGGGAAGCAGGTGTCGACGAACGAGCCACGATCGACGAGGAGCCTGTGGCTCGTGCTTGTGATGAAGCATGAACTTCAAGCTGGAAACGAGCGCAGCATTTCAAATTGTAGTAGGAAAACTTGTATTCTAGCGCCAGGCTAGCTGACGTGTGTGAAGACGAACACCGAAGCTAGGCATGATTAATGTCTCGGAGATACAGATTCGCGCACCTACCGTCCGTATTCATGCCGGGATTATCATAAGCTCCGGACTGAGACTTTTAGTATCTACATTGCGATGGATGCAGCTAAAGCCGGATCTCGCAGATTGGCCCGGGTGTAACAAGAGCAAGCCAACAAGCAAGCCCCATGGATACGGAAGACGGACGTCCGTAGGAGCGGATGGGATCATGGCGCAGTTGGTTGTTGGGGGCTGCGGCGCCTTTTCGAGTCTCGGATAGTTGGTTTCCGGCCTGAGAGCGTGGTTTTTTTTTTGCATGCAAATTCGATCGTCAATGATTAGCAGTTTGAGAGGCCTAAATCGAGTCGGGGGTTTGGACAATTTTTTTCTTCAAGCACACAACTGCCACGTATCCCGCGTAGACGATTTGCGCGCTATCCTGACGCCGAAGGTTTCGACTGTACGGATTAGCCCTATTCACATATGGTCCGACACAGCGTTGTGGCGAAGATTGGGACCCGAGGGGTAGAGGGAACGCCGGCGAGAGCCAGGACATGGTAACATTGGACGTCTAGAGAGCATGTGTGGTTCACGGCTTGCGCATCTGCCCCCTTGTGCTCCCGCCGCGTGACAAGCGACGGCGGCTGGCAACAACTTCCAACGTAGCAGAGCGAGTCTGGTTCGCGGCTTGCGCGGAGGACGCACGAAACCCACGGGAGCTCGAGGATCAAAGGGTCATTGTTGTCTGGGGGGTGGCAGTCGAAAACGTCACCGCGCTTGAAGAACGGCTGGCGGGTCGTTGCCAACCGCGGTTTGTTAAGTCGGCAGTTCCACGGTGACGGTGGTGGCAGGGCAACACACCCCACACGAAAGGCAGCTGGCACGTTTTTTTCTGACAGGCGCCGGGCGCGTTTTCTTGGCGGCGTGCGCGCGACGGTAACCGCGGCTTGGAACCTCATTTCCTTTCGCGATGCATGAGGTCATGGCCGTCCGCTTGGGGCTGCGCCGGCCGAACGAACAGCGAAGAGTGGAACAATGTTTCATCCGTAGCGCCCAGCATCGTATCATCCATGCCGCTTCTGGTCGGTAAAGCCCAATCAACGTGGTCCACCGTAATCAAAGCCCGCGCACAGTGTCGTCATGGCTCATGCAGCCGCCAGGCCCTTCACATGCACGACGCTGGACCCTTTGGGAGATCAGCGGCCTTCAGGCTGATGAGTGAACGCCCGCTCCGCTGGCGCATGGAGCTTGCCCAACTTTGAGGGCACCGCAACCCAATGATGGCATCGAGCAGCTTCTTCACCCTTCGCTTAGCCGCGCCGATCGCCACTTCGGCAAAAGCTTGGCCCTCTCCTAAAGCGCTCGCGGCTCGTACGAGAATGGTTGGCTTGACTCGGAGCACGCCGCCTGCCCGCGCAATCCTCTTTCGCAATCCGGGGCCTTGTTGTCGTACACCTGCGACGAGTGGATGGGAAGGCCTGGGGTCCTTCATTTCCGCCTGTCACAGGATTGAGGATTAAGGTGTTACTCTGGCTTGGGGGCGGGGCCCGCGAGAGGGTTTCCAGAAGGCTGTTTGCTGCGGCGGGCGCTGCTAGAGTACCGCGCGCGCAAAAGTCCGCTCGCGTGGGCAACACATTTTGGGGGAAACAGGGCGGACACGGCGGGAGAGGGCTTGGCCCGCGGCGGCGGCGTTGGCGGCGGCGGCGCAGACAGAGTTTTTGTTCAAACGACGATAAAACACGAGGCTGTAAAGAGCAACTCGGGCCGATGGGCGGACGCGGAGCGCGGCCAATCCTTAACCCGCCAGGCAGCACCTAGGTCGGGAGGGCTGCCGGGCGCGCCGTCTGGCCGAGCGGCACTGGAGCCCTTGTGCCGGGTTGGCTCACCGGATTGCCTTTCACAACCCTTTTTCCTGCATTTCCCCCTTTTGGCCTTATCGCGGGTTACGCAAGGCAAGTGCTCTCTTGGGAGGGGTATCACAGCGGGTAGGAGAGCATCTTCACATGTACGGATGATCAGACCCATGCGGTGCCCATTTTTACTCCGCACTCGAGCACCCCCCACCTCCTTTTGCGCCATCATCAAACCATATGGGTCTCTCCTGCCGCCCCCAAACTCTTTTGAGCGCGTCTAGAGAAAATACCGGAGGCAACTGCACGACGCCCTCAGGGTCCAAAACCAACCCTAAGCAGTAAACCCTACCCCAGCTTTGCCATGCCGTCCCAAGGACCGCGTCCAGCCCTGCCACCGGCCCTCGAATCCGCCTGGCGCTCCGCCATTGCCCTGAACCAGGAACGTAGGGCTTGGGGCGGCGAGGGGGATGCAGCGAACGACGGCTCACCGGTCCACAACTCCAGGAGGAGGTGTCAGCAAGCTTCGGCCGGCAGGTTGCACGTCGTTCGGGCGTGGTACCCAAAAGGCAGTCAGGCAACCCCGTAGATACCCGAGATGAGATCTTGCAACAGCGTCATCGTGGGTACAGTCGGTCCTTCGGTGGAGAGGGAAAAGTGTACCCTCCGGCGGGAGACGCGGTCAGCCCTGTTGCAACGGCAGGCCAGCAGGCTCCTGGCACCTGCACCGCTGGCATTCCTGCAACGCAACCGCAGCCCGCGGCTCTGTCACCGCCAGGGCACAGCTGGCACCGCCAGGGCAGTGCAGGGCTGACGGGACTCCGGGAGTCATCTGGCTGCGGATTGCGCCAGGCCAAAATGATGCGACACGCCAAACACGGGCTGTCCGAGGACCACGGCGTTGTGTCCGGCGGATCATCAGGCCGTCGAGCGGTCGCTTGTCACTTTGTCAGGCGCCGGGGTGGCACGCGCGTTCAGGCAAGTCGGCACTTGTTCCCAATCTCCACGTATCCGACGTTTCGCTTCCAAGCTTCCGACGGGCGGTGAATCACCGCTACTGTGCTGCTGACGCTTACGGCAACACATCGCCTTTGCTTCCCGCAGCTGCACGCACGCTAAGATTCTGCCTGCCGTCCGAGTGCCAGGGTCAGGGCGGCGTCCGTCCGTGCGGCCCTCCCAAAACAACGCTACCGTGTCATGCCCGCCCGCCAGCCTTGCTGCTCTGTTGATTGATATAATCCACGCGCCCCCCCCCCCGTGTGCTTGATTGCTCTCCAGATCCCAAAGGTCAAACGCCAGCGCACCGTGACATTCACAGGCACCTGCGCCACCCCAGCGACTACCACGACAACAACACTACTACTACTCCGCCCGCTTTCTTATTATAACTCGCCTGCTCCGCCTCGCCCGCTTCGCCTACCACCACCAAACACCAAAACAAACATCCACCACCACAACCACCACTATGTATACCACCACCGCTCCCGTCTGCATCCCCTCCTCGGCTCGCTCCAGCAGCATGTCTTCCAACGACTCTCTCTCTGGCTCGCCTCGTGGCTCCTCCACCCCGGCTTCGTCCTGCGCCTGGCCCAGCTGGCCCTCGGGCAAGTCCTTTGGTTCGCCTCCCAGCTCCTTCATCAGCGACGAGGACCTTTTCGGCGACGACTTCTTTGGCAGCATCCCTCTTCTGGAAGAGGCCCCTGCTCCTCCCCGCATGCATGTCATGCCTCAGCCGCCCGCTGCGCCGCTTCAGCCGCTGTACGCCAGCCCTAAGCACAGGAGCAGCTCCAAGAGCCAGAGGCGCAACTCCAAGCCCATGGAGGCTATCTCCGAGACGCCCAGCAAGGGCCCGGAATAAGTAGGTGCTCAGTAGCGAGCGACGGCAAATATTCAGGTAAGCTTTCCTATTTTGGGATATTTGTAAGCCGACTAATGCTGACTTGCCTAATTAGGAAACTGCTCTATTTTCCCGTCATCGCTGTAACCATCCACCGAAGACAAGCATTAGCCCCGACCATCCCGTCGGGAAAGCTCTCTCATCCGCAGATGGATGCAAGGTCGACCAAATTGCGATCAGCACCTTTCGGCCATCAGCATATGCTTGCAGCACGTGTTAGGGAACATGCACCACCAATATGGTCGTGTCCCGTCGCGATGCCGCAGCTCGGCCAGCGATGCCTAACGGCACGCTGGCGTTCGCTCCACAAGCCACGATAACCGCATCACCGCATAGACGTGGCGTCGCGCGGTGATGCGGCTTGCGCTTCGTCACAGCACACCCCGGTCTTGGTTGAAGCAACCGTCCACTCGTTGGGGATCTGGAGGAGTCCGATCGTTGTCTTTTCCCGGTATCATCTGTAACCACGGAAGCATGTAGGAGGACAAGATGCGCATGGCAGCCTTGGCAAAGGCTGGTGAGTGGTCGCCCGGCGAAGGCACCCTTGGAAGCAAGTCGGAGGAGGCCCGTATTTTTCCCTTTCGTCAGCGGCGAATGGAAGAAATTCCAGAAGGATGGGGCACAAGCGCGACCGTCCATAGACGCGACGAGGGGAAGCGGAAGGGCGCAGGGCCGGGCGACAGGGTAGTAGATAGCCTCGGCGCTTAGACGCGGCGAGTTCAATGCAAAGCAACCTCAGTAAAGACTACCGACGACCCAGTAGCAAGGCGACAGCAGAGAGTGAGGGTGACGGTGACGATTGTACGGTGAAGGCCTCGTTGTTTTGGGCTCGCGGAGTGGAGTGCCAAGGGCGAGGCTGTTGCAGGGGCAAGGAGGAATAATATCGACAGCTGGCCTCGCGTCTCGTCCCGTTTGCTGCGACACGTCATGCGGGCGCGATGCAGACGGTTCAGGCACGCTTCGTTGCACGCGTTGGACTCGTTGTACTTGGGCTGCGCCACAGGGCAGCGATACGACGTGGGCGCTGCGCCACATGAGGCGCCACGGCAAGGGGCGAGCTCTTGCGAGCCGTCGCGAGCTTTGGGCGGCGACGATATAAATACGGGCTCGAGCTTTGGCGATGATTGGCTGGCGGGCGCGGTGACTTAGGCGCTGCCCTACGTTAGCGCGGCGCGCAGCAGAGCAGTTGCTGGGGTCGAGTGGCCTCGCCGTTCCTGAATCTATCACAGCACACTGGGCGCGTGGAACCTCGCACACTGTGTCACTTCTCGCGCGGCCGAGTGGCCGGCCATGGCACGAGACGGCCCCCGTCCCTCAGATCAACTGCAGGTCCCGCGGACCAGTAGACGCCGGGCAATGGCGTCGCTCAAAAGCCTCGCCCTGTCACGAGAGTGGCTGCTTGCAAGCGCCCGCCTGTGATTTGACTGTCTGCTGCATATCCTTCTCTGCTGCTGCTCGCTCTTCTTCTGTCCCAAGCTGCACGTTTGCGCTGCTGTACCTGCCCGCACCACCATCCCAGAGCGGGCGCATGCATCTGAGTCCGGCCACCGCAGTCGACGCCCACTCAACGAGCGTGGGGTTCAGCTTTACCGCCTTCTAGAGGCTCGTCGGCACGGTAAGTCATACTTAGGCACGCCGCTCCCTCGACCCTTTCTATTTCCGGCTCTTTCCACGCTCCCAAGCACCGTCTCCATGCCCTCTGGCCCAGGCTAACCTCCCCCAGACACGTGCGAGATGTCGACCGGACCATTGCGCAGACATCGGTCGACGTCGCGCAGCAGTTCGACGCGCGCCGACAACTCCTCCCTGCCACCACCTGCCCCCAGCACCACGCCCAGGGCCGCCGAGTTCGAGCCATGCGCCGCCACCGCATCCTTCTTCCTCTACGCCCAGCGCAACACTATCCTGTGCCTCCACCATGATACTTTGGCCATTGAACGCCGCTTCGGCCGCCACCGGGAGGACGTGTCGTGGATTTCTGCAGACAATGTAAGCGAGAGAGGCGCTGGTCGACTAGTGGTTAGCTACGATGTGGGGAACACGGCCATTGTTTGGGACCTCCTCACGGGCGACGAGGTTTCGCGTTTCGCGTCATACGAACAAATCAGGACCGCTGCTTGGATGCGCAATGGAAATATTGCTTTTGGTAAGCCGCTACCACCCTTTTCGGAATCGTTTGGTTGCCCGGAGACTAACGGTGTTTGCAGGCAACTCCCAGGGAAACATTATTCTCTTCGAACCAGCCACCTCCGAGCATATCTCGGCGAGGACAATCTTCGACCCAATCACAGCTCTTGCACCAGCTGCCGACTGTCGTACATTCGCCATCGGGTACGTATCCAACTCGCTTCTAAAAATAAATCCATCGTGCTCACACGTACAATAGATATCTCAACGGGTCGATCCTGATTGCGTCGCTCCAACCTTCATTTACGATTTTGCACACCCTCACGACGCAAAAGACCCCGTCGCCGATCATCAACTTGGCCTGGCATGGCTCTTCTTCAAAGCAAAAATCAGATATGTTGGCGACGCAGATGTCGGACGGCGATCTGCGTGTTTGGAGTGTAGCCAAAGCTCCTCACAATGATCCTCCGTGCGTGATCAGAATTTTGAACCGTTCTGAGAACAGGGAGGTCGGCCCATGTTGGTTTGCCTGGTCCAAGAATGGCAGAATCGTGCAGTACTCCGAAGGGTAAGGGGATTGCTACCATTTCCACCGATTTGAGGTTTGCTCACACACCGGAACAGATCCACCTACGCCTGGGACGTGCGCACCAAAAAGGTCACTTACGAGGTGGTACCAACAATAGACGGCGTCACGGCCATTGCCAATTACGGCCCTCAGGCTACTCTGTTCACCCTAGGCCGAAACCACACTGTGCAACAGTACGATCTCAACCCGAACAATGCGCCGATGCTTGTTGCAAATGTTCAGCATGTTCCGGCAAATGCTCCCCCTTCACCGCCAAATTCGATCGAGGAAAAGAAGGAGCAGACCAGTGACACCGAAACAGCCTCTGCGCTACCCGTGTACCTGGACTCTGGGGCAAGCAGTGAAGATGAGGGTGTAGCCATGTCTCCTCTGCAAAAGATTGCACAGGAAATGGACCAATTGGAAGAGGAGCGCCGTGACCGTGTTGGTCCCCTGAGTCCTGTATCGAGCAGGTCTTCCACTACTTCTCGTTCCTCGGGTGGGTCAAGAAAGCACCGCTACCGCTATGACAAGCCATCATCCCGCGATTCCGAATCAACGGGAGGATCGACAATATTTTCTTCGGGTTCATCGACAAACTCTGGGCCGTCTTACCACGGACGTGAGAGCATGTCGATCCGCTCTGGATCATCATACGCCTCCTCCTCCAAGCATAGGTCAAGACCCTCTGGGCTGCGACAGGAGGTTCTTCGCAGTCCGGCAGAAGATGCCAACCAGGAATTGGACCTGTTCCCATTTGCCAAAGCCCGTCTCAGCGATGTTCCATTCAGGATGCCTCAGCCTGGCGCAGCGAAAACTCCCGATGATCTTCGACTCCAAATGTTAAGCGTTGTTTTTGGCTGGGAGGGAGATATCGAGGGTCTGGTTCGCGACGAACGTAAGTGTCAATGAAATGTGCTGAGGAGTATAATACTAACTTGAGGCTGCAGTAAGCCGTCACCAGCCAGGTTCCGCTACCGGTGTTTTGCTTTCAAAATGGCTTGGTGACAACGGCGCCGACCTGATGGCTTCCATGATTGGCTCCGAGTCAATGACTTCGTCCGACTGGATGCTGCTCGCACTAGCCTCAATAGGCAAAGACTCACAGAAGAAGGTCGGCGAAGCATTCGTGCAGCGACTTCTGGAGAAGGGCGATGTCCACCCAGCTGTTGCTATCCTTCTCGGCTTAGGCGAACCAAACGAAGCGATAGAGGCCTACGTCACCCGCAAGAAATACTTGGAAGCAATTTTCCTTACATGTCTCCATTTCCCGGAAGACTGGCAGCGGATATCCCATCTCGTGAGGAAATGGGGCGAAGTTGCGGTCACGACTGGCAGCCCAGAGCTTGCTGTCAGATGCTTCTACTGCACCAGTTTTGAGTCGACGGAACCCTGGTCCTCGCCGCGTGCGCAAGACGCTGTGTTTTCTGCGCAAAAGGAGCAGCAGCAAATTTCCTTACAAATCAGCCCTCCTTTGTCGCCGCCCCCAGGATCCGTTGGCTCCAGCCGCGTGAAGAACGCAGCTCTAAAGCTTGTTACCAACTTTGATGACAAGGGATCAAACTTCCTCTCCGCCCACGATGACCGCACGGCTGTAGGCATAACACCGATCGCTCAGTCTGCCCTATCGCCTTCAGGTGGAAACAACCCCTGGTTGCGGCCCAGTGCCAGGACGCGGGAACCATCATCTGCCAGGACCGCCACTCCTGGAGGTTACATGCGAAAGCGCTTCCCATCGAAACCGGACTTTGACAGGGGCACGCCAATCGAACTCAACGTTCCTGAGTTTGGTGGAGAAACCCCTCAACCCACGACTGCCGTAAAGGAGACCGACGATCAGATCGATTTGCCATTTGTGCAGGAGCCGGAACCTAGCTTGACTGCCCAAGCTAGTCAAGAGGAGCCGGAAGAGGATGCGCCGATGCTATTGAGCGCAGTCTCGTATGATCCAAAGACATCCAAGGCCAGGTTGGCCGAAGACCCACTTCCTTCCCCTGCACACGGCGTTTTTGAGCAACTCAGACAACGGGAAACCAGCAGGCGCAACGAATCTCGGGACAGGAAACCTGATGGCCTTTCGGTTGATATCTTGGACACTGTTGAGACTGGCCCAAACTCCGGGCTCCCCTCCAGCCGTATGGGAGAGCTCAGCCCGCCTTCTACTAGCAACAGCTTGAAGAGTGCCAAGGTTAGAAGCATCGACCAATACATCAGCAGTCTGGAAGAAGCCAACTACCACGCACGCAAGCAGAAGCGGGTTCCGAGTCGTAGCCGTGCCGTGAGTCGGGAACGTAGGGGCCGCCCCACCGAAGAGACGCGTGAACCCTCCCAAACCCGGGGTCGCTCTGGAGTTCGCTACATCAAGCCTGCGAAGCGCTCGCCGTCTTCCCCGGTGCCCATGTCTCCCGAGGACGCGGGAATCTTCAATGATAGCAACAACAGCAACAACGAGAGCTTCGATGATGAACGCTACTACAAGGTCACGTCTCCAGTTGAGCCTCGGCCACGTAGTCGAAGCCGTGGTAACTCCAGGGTCCGATCTGCGTCAAAGGTGTCTGAGCGGAGAGCGCGCAGCAAGATGGGACGCACACCTAGCAGGATGGCTAGCCGCCACGCCAGCCCTGAGCGCCGTGACAGTCTAGATGACGGAAACATCGCACCTCCCAAGATCTCACCTGTCCCTCTTCCTGAGCTACCCAAGGACGATGCGGATGACGAAGAACCGATGCCAGTTGCTTCGCCGAGAGTGCGGCAACGGAGCACGAGCCGACGCCCTAGTACTCGAGAGCGGTCTCTTAGTCGTAGGCGCGAGACTTCTGATTCGCATGTCCGGCCTCAAACGCCAGAGATGCCGCACGATCGGCAATCCTCGCGGGTGCGTGTGCCTAAGATTCAGACAGACTTCACAGAGGTCACATCTAGGCCACTGACGAAGAAAGAGCTCGCGCAAAGGGAGCTCGAGGAACGGCGTATGTCTTTGGCTCGCAGGCCCTCTGCTCCTGTGATCCCACACCCGCAAGATCTGTCAAGGCCTCAGTTGTCTGGTCGCTCTTTGACCGATATGAGCAACTCTCCGCACTCGTATCTCCCACCTTATAGCGACAGGATCTCTCGCAGCCACACTGTGGATCCCGATGCCATGATGCGCTACAACCCCAGAGCTACCTTTGGCACCTCGACAACCTCGACTCCCATTGGTCTTCCCGCGACACCGCGTGCTCTCCGTCATCCCAGATACATGAGCAGCGATCCCCATGAGCGGGATGCCGTCCCTGCTGTGCCCGAGATCCCCGAACATCACATCATTCAGGTGCCAGACATCAACGAGAGCCAAGACGATGTTGCACCACTTTTGCCTTCAACGGTTTATGGTCAGAATGGCCCACAAGGGCCTCAACGTTCTGCTTCGGCACCTCCCGAACAGATGCAGATGCAGTACGGCGTCCACAGGCGTGGCTCGGCCAGCAGCCGTGGTAGCGGCAACAAGCGCGTTAGCCCTCCTCCAATCACCGCTAGCATCGACGAGACCATTCACGAGGATCAGGTCATCATCATCCCAGAGCCCGAAAACCCTCCTCTCCTCGCCGAGTTGCAGCATTTGGCCGGTCCGCCGCCGCCGCCTCCCCCACCGAGCATGTTCCAGCCTTCACACGGTCGCAATGGCAGTGGCGTGATCAATATCGCTATCGACGAGCACCCTGTGGGGCCTAGCACCACTCCGGCTCTCGAAGGCCCAACCATCCTGCCAACGCCATCTAACAGCCCGGACATGCACCGGCACCGCCGTGGTCGGGGCTCTGTCTCCGAGAGTATCGGCAGTCGCCTGCGCGGCGTGACAGAGCGCATGCGTAGCACATCGCGGTCCGGAGGGCGCGCCAAGTCTCCGCCCATGGACTTCACACCATCGCCGTACGAGTCGGTCCAGATGCCGTTCTCCTGGTCGCGTCAGAATACCAGATCACCGCCCATTGCCGAGTACCGCGGCGCGTCTCCCTACGAATCGGTCCCGCCGCCTCCGCCTCCTCCGCCTCCGGCGCCGATGGCGGGTGGCTCCACCTTGATGGAGCAGGTCATCCCTCCCGAGAGGGACGGTAGGGGAAACGGATACGTGAGGAACCCCAAGGAGATTCGTGCCAACATGCCGCCGGAGCAGCTGCAGTACGGCGTTGCACAGAGCGCGGGCGGCATGATCTAGTTGCTTGTCATGGTGCCGGTGGGGATGGAAAGAGCACGGCATGCATGCTTCGTCCTCCCAACCTGTCATCGGTCTTCCACTTGTCAATTTCGTGTCGTCATCTTGTCATTCTAAACGTGCATGGCAGTGCACCAGAAAACAAACACCGAAACTCATCGCATTAACGACCGCTATGACTCCATGTTATGTATCCGCCTTTTACTATACATAATAACCTGGCTCGACATATACCACCACATCAACACTACCACCACCGTCATCATATATTATCACCATCATCATCAAACCAGATACCCTTCGTCATTACCTCGTTATGGCCAGCTTCTGTTTGTTTCGGCACTTTTGTGGAGTTCTCTTTCCTCTCGCTTTCATGGCCTGCGCTGCTGCTACTATTGCTGCTGCAGTTGTTGCTGCTTCGCCGCAACATTTACCCTTCTTCAGATTGACACCCGTTTGTACCATTCATCACTTTCCTTTGCATACACACTTCTCATTGTTCAAAAAGCGCATCGTTAGCACCCTCCACTACCACTGACTCCCGCGCTGTTGCTGCAGTAGCGGTGGTGATGGAGGCTTTTTATACGTTTTGGTTTACCTTCTTCCTTCGCTCTTCAAATTCTTTTCAGCCGTTTTACTGGAGGAGGGACATTATCCCGTGTGGATTCTCCTAGCTACCTACCGCCTGCTCCCCTATCATCCGTCCCCGCAGTACCTCCCCCTGCACTGTGTCAATAAGTCGACCAGCATCATTTCCTCGTGTGGAATAGATGCCGGAAGGAACCAAGGAAGTAAGAAAAGGGGGAAGAGAAAAAGGAAATGTATCAGGGAAAACGGAAAAGGAGGAAAGCATTAAACGAACAAGCCTCGACACAGACGTTCGGCCTCGCGGCCAACCCTCACGTTTTGTCCTCTCTTTACTAGTAGCGTCGGTTCTTGGCCTCCTGCTTTTTTCTGTTTTTTGGCGGTCATCGTTTGCTGCTGTTGCTGCGCACGCTGCCTTCGTTACTGTCCTGACCTTTTGCATTTCTGCGTGTAGCTAGCTAGTAGTACCATTCCTCACACCTCATCTCCATCATGAATGAAATGCCTCTCTCTGTAATCACCCTCTCCTGGGCACTCCTTATGTAACTGAATTCAGCCTGTCTTGCTTGCGTGAGATTGATTGAATGGGTCCTTGCCCACCAGTATTGTGCTTTGTCAGCTCTAAAAATGCAGCCAAAACCGTGGACATTATTCTGTGTTCAAGACAGCGCCCAGAAGCATTGAGTTTACATACATCCGTTGCACGTGACCCCGGGAACCCTGCGACCGATCACCGACGCAGCTCCCCGCTGCGGTGCGGCAGGTGCAGCAGCATCACCGCCTTGGCCGGAGCTTGCACGCCAGCGCATTCTCGACATCTACCACGCACACCACAGCAGCAGCACAACGGGCGGACGAACTCTACATCATGTCTGCGCCCGCGTCCCAGTACCGGGACCGCCAATTCCTCGCCGTCATCGGCGATGAAGTACGTCCCGCCTCTCTTGCTCGGGCAGGAACCAACTGGGCAGGCAGCTAACGGACGACTTTGCGCATAGGACTCCGTGACGGGGCTGCTCCTCGCGGGCGTCGGTGTACGTCTTCCCCCGCACCCTGCTTCTAGGTCTTAGGCAAGACAGAGGATGCATGCACGCATACATACATACATCCATGCTCACTCGACCCAACATTCCCGCACCAACCACCACCACCACCACTACCACTACCATCGCATCACGGCACCGTAGCAGTAATTGTAACTAACCTTCGCACCCCCATCCCAACAGCACGTCACGCAGCCGCCCGACAACCAGAAGAACTTCCTAGTCGTGGACCCGAAGACCGAGACGGCGGCCATAGAAGCCGCGTTCGACAAGTTCACGAAGGAGCGCAAGGATATCGCTATTGTGCTCATCAACCAGCACGTACGTTCTACGTCCTTTCCCACTGTCGCTCCCACCCACATACTTGTCTTTTCGTCTGCTTGAACGATCGAATGGCATGGCACACACACGAACAGACCGACTGATTGACATTCGTCTAGATCGCTGAGCGCATACGTCACCGCGTCGACACGTACACGCAGGCTTTCCCCTCGCTGCTCGAAATCCCCTCGAAAGACCACCCGTACGACCCGGAGAAGGACAGCGTGCTCAAGAGGGTTAGGAGGCTGTTCGGCGAGTAGGCGTCCTCTGGCAGTAGCGGTGGTGGTGGCGAGGTTTCGTTTTCATGTGCTTCCGACAGAGAGCAGAGCAGACACGATCAATAATGGACTGCCTTGTACAGTTTAAGACAATATACCCATATCGACTGACAGCGGAGAGGTCGTGGCGAGCAATCGTGCGTGTGGAAGCAAGTTTGGTGGTGTCCGTGTTGAAGAGCATTAACCGTCCGTCACCGTTAAATGAGATTCACCGTGAAGCGAGATGGTGATACTTATACAGAGTGGAAGAAGAGACCTAGTTCAGATATGTAGAGGCTTTGTACGGAGAAGAAGAGCCTTAGTTAGGATATGTAGAGTCTATACATATTCTAAGACCTTTTTATCTATACCGAGAACTCGGGCTAGGAGCTGAGCAAGAAGTGCTCCGTAGGGACTGCTTGTATCGTCCCCTGTCTCGCTATACGGTGGATCTAGGTTCGCGGTGACGGACGTTACGCACGTCAAAAACGGTTCTAATACGATGCAAGCCTAATCCGTTATATCGTCATTACCCCAAGCACCCTGCTAGTAATCTAACGCCTGTCTGGTATCGGTTTCGGAAAAGTATTCCATCCACAAGGCGTCCAACACCCCGAATTGAAACAGTCTCGCCACTATGCTCATGCTCGGAACCTCCTATTCATCTCCAGTCCAGCCTCTCACTCCAGTGAAACGTGCCGGTCACAAGAACGCATGATAGCGCAAAAGACGAGTCCTCAAAGACCACATTCAAAAACGCTGCATCGGATAACGCGAATTGTCCATTACCTGTGGAACATGACGGTAGCAGTAAGGCAGGTAATCTTGACCTCGTCCTTGGTCAGGACGTCAGCCAGGACAGTGTACTTTCCCTGTAACGTTTTTCGTCAGTGAATAGTCGTTGAACGCATGATGTGGTGGTCACTTACAGGAGGGATCTGCTTGGGCAGATCGACGTCCTTAGTCAACTTGAGGTCACCCTTCTTGAGCGGGCACTCAAGGTTGACTTCCTTAACGTATTCGCACAGCGGCGCCTCCTGCTTGATCAAAGTGATCAGGCCGTACTTGACCTGCAGCCTGACCTTGGCACCCTCCTCAATGTCCTTGTGTAACGTGCCAGTCGCTTCGATAGAGAGAGTCTTGCCACTGTTGTAAACTGTTAGCCAAAGTATTCTCGTACAAATGACGCGCGGCTTCGTCGGTGGTTGCGGTCGATCGATCGGAGGCGAGTGCGACGACAGGAAAGGGACTCACGCTTCGGGCGGGTTGGGCGAAAGGTCGACCTCTTCGATGGTAAGAATGTTGTCGGCCGGGTCCTGGCAGAAGGCTAGCGGGTTGCTGCCCGGGACCTTGAGGTCTTCGGTGATAGCAACCTGCTGCGATGCGCCAGTGAAGTCGCTGAGCAGGTTGGCGCTAGCAGACGCGGCGCTGACGGCAGCAAGGAGAAAGGTGCTGAGCTTCATTGTAGCGACGATGGTGTGATAAAGGTGAGTGTTTGTGTTGGTGTGAGGTTTTTGGACTGGTGGAGAAAGATAGGTGATAGGTTGAGATAGCTGGTGTGGAGTTGGGGATGGTGAGGCGAAGTTGGTCTTGTGATCCGGAGAGATGACGATGTGTGGCTGGAGCCGAGGCTTGGGCGCCAAGCACTCTGCACATCGCTCCACCAACTCCATGTACACATCACCTCTACAAACCAAGTATGTACTTAGGTCTAAAGCTGCAACGCTACCGCTTTGCAGGTTATATGTTTGTGTGGGAAAGCTGCTCTCTACCGTGGGGTTATTGCTCTTAGTCGTAATAGTAATTAGTCGATTGATTGTTCAATCGTTTCTCGAGTTGCCTTGGGAGAGAGCGCAGATATGCTCACTAAAGACGAAGTTTGCCAACGAAGCGTTTACGAGGTCACCTACGAGGGTGCCTCTGCAGCCGGGGCGGGGGCAGAAGCCGGCGCCTGGGCCGCAGCAGCCGGAGCAGGCGAACCAGACGGCGCAGCGGGCGACGCATTGCCGGTCGAGGAAGTAGAGGCGCCCCTGGCAGCCCGGCCCCTCCCGCCTCTGAACGCACCACCTCCGCGCATCGCCTGCGCTGGGGGTCCCGAAACAGACGGGCCTCTGGGCGTGCGTTGCGCGGGTGCCTTGTCTTTGCGCTCGAGGACCTGGACGGCGCCCTCTGCGACCTTAACGGGTGACGCGGCGATTGCTTTTTGCAGGCCGCTCGGCTCGGCAAAGTCTACGTAGGCAAAACCCTTGCGCTTGTCGATCTCAACTTTTTCGATGGAGCCGAAGACGCCGAGTGCGGCTTCGATAAGTGGCTCTGTGATACCCTGACTGGCGTTGGCGTGCTTGAGGAAGGCTTGCTTGGATGTTGGGGCCGGGACAGGGGAAGCAGGTTGACGCGCGGATTGCTGTGCGCGGGAAGCAGCAGGCGCGGGCTTAGCGGCGGGAGGGGCAGTTGTGGTAGAAGCAGGTTTCTCGGATTGTTGTGCCGGTTGCTGTGCCGGTTGCGCGGGAGCTTGGGGCTTCTTGAGGATCTTAGGGCCTGTGGGAGGCACAGGAGCCGCAGCAGGCTTGTTACCTTCGGTTGCGGCTGCAGCTTCAGCCTTGGCCTTTCCTGCAGCACGGCGTTCGGCGCGCGTAGGACGGGAGTCTTTCTTCGCCGATCGTGCCTCTGACTGAGCCGGCTTGGCAGGGGTAGGCGCTGGTGATGGGTTGGCTGGTTCTTTTGGTGATGCAGTCTCTGTGGGCTTTGTCGTTTCCTGGGATGCAGCAGCAGCGGCTGCTGCCGCAGCTTCGCGGCGGCCACGTCTTCCACCTGCAGCTGGTCCGATACCTAGGTCACGTTGGAGCATTTGCTTGGCGATATTGACATTGCCGCGCTCGCGTTTTCTTTCTGCCGCAGGTCCACTAGGTGTGGATTTGTTGTTGTCGGTCGTTTGGGACTGTTTCGAGGCGGCTTCCTTGTTTAAGATCTTAACAGCTTCTTTTGCAGCGGCTTCCTTCGCCTTCTTAGCTTCTGCCTTGCTCTGCTTTGTAGGCTTATCCGGACTGGCGGTGGTATCTTTGGCAGCGTTACGTCCGCCTTTCTTCTCACTAGCTTTAGCACTGGCTTTGTCGTCCTTGGATTCTCCTCGGGAATGCTGTTTGGTTTGAAGCTTCACTGGTTGCGGTTTCTCCTTTGCCAGCTTCTTCTCACGCAGATGCTCGATAAGAGGCGTCGTCTTAATCTCTGGTTTCTCCTTGTTTGCGGCATCTACCGTGACGTCCGTTGGAGTAGGCTTGGGAACTGGGTTGGTAAGGCTCTCCAAAAAGTCCTTGAACTCTGGGTCCTGGTCGATGGTACCTTGGCGGGCATCATTGCGGCGTCTGCCTCCGGGGATACGAGGGTAGGGCGCGAACTCGAGAGACGGCGGTCCAATGAGGGCGGAGTCTCTTGAAGTGTTCTTTGCATCGGTGAAGGAAGTCTGGCGAACCTTGTCGGCAAGAGAGGCCAGAAGGCTTTGGTCCGTCAGCCGCAGGTAGGCGCGCGAAGGGCGGGAGGGCTTGGCCAGGCTGTAATATACGCGGTCAATGCACTTTGCTCGGCCCAGAGCGGAGGATGAAGAAGCTCACTCTTTGGATACCTTGCCGGCCTTGTAGACGAACCAGTCGACCTTACCTCCGCCAAGCTTCCAGTCGTCGCCTAGGGCAGTTTCGAACTCGACCTGGGTCAGAGCCGGGGCGAGTCTACGCACGACGACCTTGAGGCGCGGGGCAGCGGACTTGGACGAGGAAGCGCGGGAGGCGCCGTTGGGATTCTTCTGCAGGGCGGCAGCGGGAACTGGCAGGACGCCATTTGCAGTGGCGGGCGCCATGGCTGCAGCTGGGGGGTTAGAGTAGGTGGAGTAGTGGGGGTGTGGAGAGGGGGGGGGGGAAGGAAAGTGAAGCTTGGAGGGGAAGCAACGACACGCAAAGGCGGTGGCCGGTGACATAGGAAGCTGAGGCCCGCGCGATTCGATTCGGCCCGTGCTGTACCGACGGAGACGCATTACAAGGGCCCAGATTGCCTTGTCGGCGCATGCCATCCATGTCCGCCCAACAACCTCACCTAATACCCATACTCTCAGAGCCTCTCGCGCCGTGATGTGCCATTCCGCCTGCTCCTAATCCGCTTGAGCTCTCGACACACTCGCATCACCGCTCTCTCCTGCGCTGACGCGGCTCCAGTCACACGACAGACGCCCGTATCTAAGCACCCGCGCTGAACAACGCGCCCCAGTCCCATCCTCGACCACGACCACCCACCCACCACCATCACAATGACAAAAGAAGCCGACGTCCCCCAGCCCGGTCCCGCGCGGATATCCAAGGGCGGCGGGCCTGACGAGTGGCTGGAGGCGGCGAAGCAATGCAAGTACCTGCCCGAGGCCGACATGAAGAAGCTCTGCGAAATCGTCAAGGAGTGCCTCATGGAGGGTGAGCTGCCCACGGATGCGCTTAACGACGCAACCCCTCTGGGAAACATGGTCCCGTGTTGATGGTCGCTTTACAGAATCAAACATTCAACCCGTCAAAACACCCGTCACCGTATGCGGTGATATCCACGGGCAGTTCTACGACCTCCTCGAGCTCTTCCGCGTCGCTGGCGGCATGCCCAATGACACTGTGGTCCCGGAACCAACTGTTCCAACAAAGACCATTAGCGCGGCAGACATCGAACCGCCAAGCACCATCACGGACCCGACTGTCAAACGGAAGATGAAGAGGCGATTCCAGGCCGACAGCAAGTACACGGGCCCCGCTAGCCCCGGCGGCGACGATGACGAAGAGCCCGGCGAGGACGAGGAGGAGCAGCGCGGCCGGAGTCGAAGCGCTAGTGAGAGAGGAAGCTTTGGCGAGTCGGACTCGGGGGCGGGTCAAAACATCTCTGGCTCCGGAGGCAACGGCATGCAAAATTACATATTCTTGGGAGATTTCGTGGATCGAGGCTACTTCAGCTTGGAGACGTTCACGTTGCTGATGTGCTTGAAGGCCAAGTAAGTGTGCCCCACCCACTAGGCGCACAAGAAGTGGAAACTGACCAAGTTGTTCAGGTACCCCGATCGCGTCACGCTCGTTAGAGGCAACCACGAATCACGGCAGATCACGCAGGTCTATGGGTTCTACGAGGAATGCCAAACCAAGTACGGCAATGCTTCAGTCTGGAAGGCGTGCTGCCAGGTCTTCGATTTCCTTGCCTTGGCCGCCATTGTGGATGGCAAGGTTCTCTGCGTGCACGGTGGCTTGAGTCCGGAAATCAGGACTCTCGATCAGATCCGCGTGGTAGCCCGTGCGCAAGAGATCCCCCACGAGGGCGCTTTCTGCGATCTGGTGTGGAGTGATCCAGAAGACGTGGAGACGTGGGCAGTCTCGCCAAGAGGCGCCGGCTGGCTCTTCGGTGACAAGGTGTCTTCCGAGGTGAGTCCGGTGATTTGACGATAGCGCATCATGCAGTCAGCTGACGAACTGCAGTTCAACCACGTCAATGGCCTGCAACTGATCGCGCGAGCGCATCAATTGGTGAATGAAGGCTACAAGGTAAAGCGTGTAACCCCGTCACTCCGAGCGCGGCTGACCTTTTGCAGTACCACTTCAAGGACAAGGACGTCGTGACTGTCTGGTCTGCACCTAACTATTGCTACCGCTGCGGCAACGTCGCGTCCATCATGAGCTTGGCGGAAGATCTGAACCCCAAGTTCACCATCTTCAGCGCCGTGCCAGATAACCGACGCGCGGTCCCGGCTGGACGCGGCACGCGTGGCGAGTATTTCCTATAGAGTGCTCCGAAGATGCTGTGCATACGATACGTGTTTCTTTCTGTGCTTGATATCCGAATGAATGAACACCCCAAGGCTAGACAAGGCGGCGGCAACGGGCGGAGCAAGGCAACAACCAGCAGGCAAGGGCATTGGCGGCGGTGACTTGAGCGAAGGACGCGTGAGGATTCGGGGAGGTTCGGTTACACGTGTCTCGCGCCCCATGCGCGTTTACCGGCTTGACTTTTATTTTGAGGGAGAAATGTACGGGCGCTCAGATGGGCAATGATTGTTTTGACGACATGGGCTGTATTATAGTTTCGAGTATACTCTGTAAGAAGAGAGCGAACGCGACACGAGAGGTTGTAGCGGAAGCAGTGCAGCGGAGACGTGACGCGTGCGCCAGAGGCGCGCGGTTAAAGGTGAGGTATATATAGTGCGTTGGCGAAAGTTTTTAGCGGCTGTAATGGTCATAATTCTGAGAGGTGCATTGAAACCACGACCTCTTTCCCTTCACATCGCCTAAGCGAGGGTCCAGTTCGAATCCGATGGTGTCCGACCAACTCGTGTGGGTAACCCACGATGAAGGCGGACCTAAGCAATGAAGTCTACTGTCGAGGGAAGCAATTCTGCAGACGCGGCTTCACCACCGGATGGCGGTGCTGGGTAGCCCTTGCTCTGGTATGGGATAGGCGTTGTGGACTGATGAATCAACCAGGTATATCTTTTTCTTTTTGGTCTTTTTTATTTTGCGTTTTGCTGATCTGCCTCTCGCTTAGCACGCAAGCCAGGCAACCAGGCACTTACTCTCTCACACCTCCCCTATAGCCGAGCAATGACGCGCCATCCCCTCTCCCCCAACATTGTGATATTCAGCTTCCCCAGCCAACCTGACTCCTCACCTTGTCACCGTCTTTTGCTCGCCTGCTCGCTTCCAATCGCATTCATATGCGCGGCACACTGCCATCCGTGACTCGGGCCGCACACTTCTCGGCCAAGCAGTCCAGACCCGGTCCTAGCAATCAATCGGGTTCGGTTCCCCGCAAACCCTAAGCGGGCATCCCAAGCAGCAGGTCAGTTTGTCCGTCGGCTCGGCCATCCAGATGGTCCAGGCGAGGTAGAGCAAGCAGAGGAAGCCGGGCCCCGGACACAACTCATGGGTCCGAAAGGGGAAGCGGCTCCATGCGGCGATCACACGAAACGGTAAGACATTTGTTTCAAGCAGCACCGCTCCAAGACCTCATCTCCGATCGGCTGCGGTGCGCAACGGGCAGCGCGCGGCTGCCAACCCACCAGAAATAGGCAAGTGGGCGTGGCGGCCACGGCGCCACATGGTCGGCGGTGCGCTTGGCGTTCAGGCACGCTGCTCCCGTGCCGATGAGACACTCTGCCAAACGCCATGAAATGCCGTTCAGGACCCATGGCACGATCCGCGCCTCGCCGACGTGTGAAACGCCCAGGATGTTCGCCGGGTGGGCTGGTTGAGGCCGTGGTTGGCGGATCTTGGTTTATGCTTCTTCATGCGAGACAACACTCCTGAGATGTGCTTTGTATAGCCGCCGCTTAAAAGGTAGGCTGCGGCTCGCGGTACTGACGGTTTATCTTTCGTCCCACGTTTGCCTCTTGCGCTGTTGATATACCTTTATTCTATACCAACTTCCATTCTTTCAAAGGCCAGGTGCCAGCTTCTCTCATTCACAACCTCTACCACTACTACTGCTATTTTATCCGTCTCTCCTTGACCTACCTTTTCCAACAATGAAGTACTTCATCTCTGCTTCCACGGCGGCTCTGGCCATGACCGCTTCGGCTATGCCTACCAAGCGCGCCACCCCTAAGATTCACATGGCTGGTGACTCGACCATGGCCAAGGGCGGCGGAGGATCCGGCACTCAGGGTAAGTCCAAGACGGCCTGTCCATTCCCGCTGCAAATCCAGGCAAAACTAACAGTTTCCATCAGGTTGGGGTGAACTCCTGGGCGAGGCCCTGAACGTCGAGGTCGTCAACCACGCCAGGGCTGGTCGCAGCGCCCGCTCCTACTGGGAGGAGGGCCGCTTCACCGAGCTCACCGACGCCGTCTCCTCGGGCGACTACGTCGTCATCGAGTTCGGCCACAACGACGGCGGTTCGCTGTCCAAGTCCGACAACGGTCGCACCGACTGCGCCGGCAAGGGCACTGAGACGTGCAAGTCCGCTGACGGCAAGACCGTCTACACTTTCCCCTTCTACCTCATCCAGGCCAGCAAGGCCATCAAGGCCAAGGGCGGCAACCTCATCATCTCCTCCCAGACCCCCAACAACGTCTTCGAGACCGGCAGCTACTCCTTCTCGCCTACTCGCTTCGTCGAGTACGCCGAGTACGCCGGCAAGCACATCGATGGTGCCACCTACATCGACCACAACAGCCTGACTGCCACCGCGTACAAGTCGCTCGGCAGTGACGCTGTCAACGCTTTCTACCCCAACGACCACACCCACACCAGCTCCGACGGTGCCGCCGTCGTCGCCAAGGCCTTCGTCAAGGGTCTGGTCTGCGCTGACCACGCTCTGGCGGCGCAGGCTGTCGACGAGAGCAGCCTCCCCGGCGAGTGCCCTTAGAGGGGTGCGGCGACGTTCTTGGGATGATGAATGTGGTTTCTTGTAAATAATTGTAAACTTGGAATAAAGGCGTACTACTCGATGTCAGCCTATGCCCGAAAATCAGTCTTTTGCGTGATGTGATTTGTGTTTGTGGCTTGCTATCTTTGGATCCCTCTATTTCGGCGTTGTCCAAGCCAAGGGGCTACCTAGCGTTGTCGCAGAACGCTTTCGAGCGCAAACACCCCGTCTTTGCGGAACCCGCCGTCGATGGGGGCGATATTTATTGTCCACGGTACATCCCATGGGCCCAGAGCGTGTTGGAGGCGTCTGTTTTGAAGCCCCATCCTTGGCGAAAAGAGCCGCTTTGTTGTTGCAATTTGCGTCTTCATGCGCGACTGCTTCGATCACGGATAGCCTTGCCGGAAGATGCGCCTAGGCCGTGCTTACGTGACGGGCCGAGAAGAGCAGCTTGCAACCCGCTATCGGAAGCTCGGGGTTTGGTGCACGGGAGGAAAAGGGTCCTTGGTGGCTCCGACAGATCCGTGGCCCGTTGCCGGATATCTAGGTCCGCAGCGCTATCCGTGCGTGGGACCAGTTTTCAACCACATATCAAAGCGGTTACGTGCATTAATTGCTATCTTTCGCTTGCCGCGGCATGGTGCATCGAGTCCGCAGGCTGTCTGTCGAGGTAGGGGCGCGATAGGTCTTCTGGCCAGTCTGCGCAATGCATCTTACAGTCCATTGAGCGAAGCTTACAGCCGCCAAGTTTGGGTAGGACCGTGCGATTCCTTGCAAAGGGATTGTTGCGTCGAGTAAAGAGGCTTCTAGCCGACGGGGATGCGCAGTTTGTTGTGGGTCTCCTGACAACGTCGTATCTACGGTCATGCTGTCTCTGGGCCCTACGAGGAACATAACGAGGAACAATTCAGGACCTGAAGCCCATGGTATTCGTCCTCTGTAAGTGGTAGCTATGTTGGTCCAAAATCATAGGAATCGTGTTAAGATGCACCATATTGTTCGTGACCTCAGCCAGCTGTCTGCATGATCACCTGCCGGGTATTGTTGTGCGCCGCTGCCATGTGTGTGCAGCCGGCCGCCCTGTACATATATTCCAGCGATAACACGTGGGCGCAACGCATTGCGGAAGTGTCGGGCTCGATGGATTGCAAAACCATGACTATAGGCTGTGGGGGCGTTGCACCTGAGAATATTCAAAATACAACCTTATATCAAAATGTTCCTATGGGCAAGGCCAAAGTGACGGAGGAGGCGGTCCACGTGACCAACGGGATGAGGATAGCACAGGGTACCGCCGGAGGCGGGAAGAGAGCCGGTGGTGGAAAGTATGTCGGAGGCGGACGAGGGGCCGAAGAAACGAGGCAGGTATGGACTACATACGCTTTGTTGTTGTTCAAAGTCCGTGCTGCCATATGGCGAGTTGCTTTGATGGAATCCTGTTTCTCGTAGGGCTAGAAGGGCGCGGGAAATTCTTGTGTATGTCTGTGTAATGGCCTTTTGATTCTTCTCAACGCGGGGTTTGTTAGGGAAGGTAAATGGTTGCCTCAATCGGGCGTTCTCCAGGGAATCCAAATTAATATTGCAGCATTCTTTTACCCGTGATCCATGCCGCCTCCCGCGCGGTTACCCAGCATGCAACAAGCCGGCAATGTCTCTAGTCCAAGTGGTCCAGGATGCACGAGTGTTTGTCGTGTCAGATGCAAACGGTCCAAGGGTCAAGAGCAGCAAGGGAGCCATAGGCTATACAAACGTGCAAGGGACACATAACAGCCTCCGGGCGGAGTCGTCCCCGGAAATTTGAAAAGCAAGCATGCGCCACTAGGCTCCCTGGGAAATAAGCGTTGTAATCATGATAAATCGATGCTTTGCCTGCCTACCTGAACGGGTTTTGTGAAGGATACCATCACAAATGCTCTGCTCATGGCTTTCAGGTAAAGAGAGGCGGCTCACCTGCGATAAGGCAACGCCTGCCGGTTGGTGTCAGCTCGGCCGCAAGCAGAAGATGTGTGCGGGGGGGAAAAAACAGCCACGTGGGGCCAAGGCCAAGGCCAACGGTGTTTGCGAAGGACATGAATTGCGGCATGTTGTGCGTCCGGATGTGTGGTACTTTATTCGGCGAGAAGCTTGACCAGAAGCTTGGGCGGCTTGCTTGCTCTGGGGCCAAGCTGCAAGGAGACTTGGTGGCTATACACAACACCAGATAACGATAGCGGAACCGGAGCGGCGGCGGCGGCGGCAGCAGCAGCGGCAGCAACAGCAACAGTTGGCGGCGGCGGTGGTGGTTAGGTTAGATTGATGTCGAAGACCGAGGACTAAGGCGGGTGGCAGCCGTGGTTCCCCAGTACCTAGTAGTAGTGGATAGCATGTTGGCAAAGAGTGATGTTGCTGACGGCGGCAGGCTTGAGGGATGTCGATCGGGCGGGGCGTCGGGCGAGGGGGGCTGACCCATGGAATTAATGTTTCCTTTGCGCTGGCCTCCTTCGAAGGCCTTCTAGCTCCTCTCTTGGCGGGCGGTACATATCTCGCGCATTAAAAGATTATAATGCCGCCGCGAGGGAGGGCGGAATCTCCAAGGGTCCACCCGCCGCCTGATCGGATTACGCTCCGCCTTCTCTAGGAGTAAAACATCAGTCCGCGCACATCCCGCCAGCACCTGTCGGCAGCCTTTGAGCGCACGTCACCATGACACCGAGCGAGCAGCCCATTTGCTGATGGTGAGCCTTGACAGACGCGAGAAGCCGCCCGTGGTGAGGCTACGGGCACCATGGCCTTCCCCTCCTATTACAACAACGGGACTGGCGAAATCCAAAAGGATCCCGACCACGCCGGGAACAGGCTGCTCCTCGCATCCGCCCCGCTAGCAGCTTACGCCAACCAGCAATTGCCTGACTCGACCTTCGCCCAGCGCTCGAAGCCCCCACAGACCAAGCGCAACCACATTACCCCCGTGGCCTGCACGCCCTGCCAGCATCGGAAACACAAGGTGCGTCGTCAAACACCTCTGCTCCACCATGCTGACCGCTCAGTGCGATGGTCGCCGGCCCGTCTGTTCGTCTTGCATCGCCAAGAAGCGTCCCGATTGCGTCTACGATGCCGCCGGCGATCAGCGGCGCACCTCCGCCTTGAAGCTGCGCATCAAAGACCTGGAGCGGCAGAATGCGGACCTGAAGGACATTGTCGCTGGCATAGGTTTGGCGCCCGATCGGGACCAGGCCATATCGATCGCTCAGCATCTGGCGGAAAGCGAGTTCCATGGCACCGGCGATGTTGCCGAGTACCTGAGAAGGAACAGCGATGGTGCCGTTGGGGCGTCGAAACGCCTCAAGAAGGATAGCCACTCGTTTCCGACAAGCGCAGGTGTCATGGCACCACCAGTCTCGCTCATGGCACCGTCTACCACCATCGATGGCGTGGTTCCTCCCGCTTGGGAACCGGAATTACCTTCTGCGTCAATGAACTTCACACCATGGAACTTTGGTCAAAGCTCAGGCGAGGTAAGCACACAGTGCTGCGGCATATCTCGAGGTGTTTTTCGGGTAGCGCCATATCGACGCGTCTTTGGCGGGATTGCCTGGCTTGAAAGGCTCGAGGTTGCTATGACGGGATGGTTGCTGCATCGCGGATCAGTCCGACCTGCGAAGACCTGCTCTTGTTTTCCAAACTTTATCAGTCCTGTCTCCATGAGCACTTACCAACAAGCAGCGCCGTATCTGCTCATCGAGCTTTTTCGTGTCTTTCATCCATGTTCCTCGACATCCTGTAGACCTCAGGCTTGGGAAGTCTTGACGGGCTCGGTCTATATTGCTCTGGAAGAAAGACGCTAACCAGAACATTGCAGGTAGCGGATGACTGGTTGCAATATCCATTTGGAGCACCATCGCCTATGGGCCAAAGACATATTCCGGACAACTTCTACACTCCACAAGGCGCTGTCGAAATGGACCAAGAATCAGGATCCTCACAGTAAGCACGTCGGTTCCAATGTGTCACCGTCATATTCCTGACACCTACCAGCCGTGAAGATTTCAGTCGCATCCCAAACGGAGCTTCAGAAACGGTGCGGCCTGATCAATATTGGTATCCATCCCAAGCGGGGCCGCGGCAATAACGTTGGGCGCAGTCCCCAAAGAGAGCTGGTAATGGGCCGAAAAATGATGCGGTAGGCATTCGCCATCATTCCGACTCGACTCGGGGTGAATGATGGCCGTATAGGTCGCCGACGAAGACAGAATAGGTCACGCGCTGTAGCTGTGTTTTGTGCGACCTTTTGATCGGACTCCGCGAGCGTGGACAACACGCAACGTCACGAGAGTGGATTTTGCAGGATTGAAGGCAGAAAAGGTGTTGTCCCTATCCAACAGGCGGTTGGAGCATGGTGACCGCGCCACGGATGAAGGTCCGACTCGTGGACGTCATCACGAATACCTTGCCTCATTGTTAGCAAGGAACGCGAGGCGGTATGGTGTTCTTCACAAAGCTCTTTCCGCTGACAGCAAGCCACCTACACCTACCCATCTTGTTTGCTGGCTGGTTTCATAAGATTCATCCCGACCGTTCAAACCCAATCCAGCAGGGTTTGGTTGTGGCTTCCCGAGCATACATGTCTCAATACTTAATCTGCCGCTGCTAGCTACTTCATATTGTGTAGTGCGGTTGCGCTGCAGCGGCGTTTATATCATACCTTAGCAGGTTCTCAATGGGCCTTCCTCTTCTTTTCTTAGCGGTTATAGCTGATAGCTTGTGTGGGTCGAGTGGACAGACGATGACGGCTACGAGAGCACAGCGTATCTCACCGCTGTCAAATGTGTCGAGCAGCGTTCCATGTTCAACGCGCGTAATGAGAGCCGAACCGATATTGGGAACTAGAGGTAAGCGAGGTCTCGTAAAGGAACGAAATGCCAGTAAGCGGGCAGGACAAGAGATGCAGCAATTGCGATGCTGGGAGACCGGTCGATTCTATATCCTCCGTTGCTTACTCCTAGTCCCAATCGCGCACAGGGCATGACGGAGGGTATGCCGCGCCCGACGTCAATCGATGGTCGGCTGCTCATCGTTCTAGCCAATAACTGGACGCCGTGCTGTGTCAGCTTTGTAACGAGCTGTCAAACATACTTTATCATATTCTCTAACCCGACACCATTGACGCCCGTCCTGCAAGGGGTAGGGTACGGACATACGGACCATATTCCCATGCGGCTACTGGCTTCTCCTTCGGTACCTCGCAGCGCTCTGCGGAAGGAAACGCTAACAGCCAGCTGTAGCAAAAGCTCCATCAATCCACTCATTGACCGTCGCCACCTCCTCTCATGTAGCTTTTTATTCTTCCTCAAGCCAGATCCCGGGTCTTCGTGGGCGATCCAACCTTCCGGTGCATACTTCCTCGCGCGCTTCGGGAAGATGGAAGGGAGTCCAAGAACAGAAAAAAAAAAAAAAAAAAAAGTCAAACGGGAGGCGAGTCAAGGGCGCGTGCTTGTATGGGGTACGGCCTTATCGCCGCGGATACCAATCCGAGGGAAAACAGGAAAGTGCCGCCAGGCTGTCGTCAAGACGTCAAGAAAAGGCATGGCGGGATAGCCTTAAGATTCTGTCGCCTAAGTATTCGACCAAGCGGACGCCCCGACGCGTCCACTCCCTGCAGCCCGTGGCCAATGCTGATGCTACTAAGTCCATTCGGCAACGTGTAGCGCTTATTTAGGCCTCAATGCCGTATGCTTACTTACTGGGCGATGGGATCCACTTCCGTATCTATGGAAACACCGTCTCGACCTCAGCATCTCAGCTCATTGCATGGAGGCGATTTTGAGCATCGGAAGGGATCCATACGGGAGGGATGACGCGTTCTGGCACGGACAGCATTGTGTTGCACCAAATGGCGAGACTATCATGCACGAGAAGCGCGTCAATCGGTCCAGAGGGTGGTGTCCCATGGTACCAGATAGACCCTCGCTGTTACGCAAAGAGCCTAGTCCGCCTGTAGCATTGTCTGTGTTGTACGTATGAGTGGGATGCCGCTCGTAGAGATGCGGAGATCCTCCTTCATCCAACAGTCTTGTGCTTACGCCCGAAACATTCCTGACGAAGCTTGATAAAGAAACAAAACGAACATCGCGTCCAAAACGGAGTCCCGCGTCCCTGGTCTATAGCCAACAGCAACGGAACAATGTGTACTGCATCAGCTTCCCGATCTTGCCCGTTCAAAACTAGGGATTGATTCCTAGCGGTCCGCCACAGCTTAACGGTCGTCATGTCTCAAGAATCCATGGAAGTACTGTACCGTCACTCAAACTATGAAACGCTAGTAGCCTATCAATCCACAAACCTCCGGAAGACCCGCTTGATCGGCCGCACTTAAGGCCCCCAGAGAGCAGATCGAGCATCACATGAGCGAATCTCCACGTGTTGTATCGGTAGTAGTTACTTGACTTGAACTTCCATTGTCCAGGACTCCCGCCAGCCAAAGACATTATGAGCGCAAGGGAAAGCGCAGCGGATAGTTATTACTAGAGGCACCCGCTCCTTAGCCATTAGCCCATTGCATTCTCCTCATTGGCACCTAAGAGGATCCAATCATAGCCGAACTGTCTCCAAAAGAGATTACGTGCGCAAGCCAAACCCGCCAGCGACATTGGTTTGTTCAGGCTTTGACACGTGGGGTTCTGCACAGCGGAGGAGCCGGGGGCGAAATCTATAATGTTGGGGGCCATGGCCATAACAGACCAAAGGTGGTGTAGAATCTCTTTCCGAAATCTAGCTTATGTGATAGGTTCGTTGTCCGTTTCTCTTCACCGTATATCTCACTCCATCACATATCACGATTTTTGCGTCAGGCTTCAGCATTGACTCGTGGCACAGATAGAAAGCAACCAGAGCTCTAACTGTCAACTGATCACTGGATATCTGAAATTGCCCGTGCTTCTTCGGCTTTCGATTATCTTTGGGGTCCGACGTCTGATAACTCTGACAGACATTGAACGCCAACATGGTGTACAGAGTGTCGACCTCGTCAACCTTGTCTAATGCCAATATCAACCTCCGACAACAACAAAATCTGAGGAGCATCTTTTTCATAGTCGAGGGCTGTAGGCATCTATTGCTTGCGCTAACAATTGTGCAGGCATCTCTTGAACATCTACCTGCACCATGGCCATGATCCGACTGTCGAACTGTCCTGCTGGGCAAAAACCAGCTGTATCGCTGCCGTCTAGCCTCGCGCTCTTTTTACCGCACCTTCAGCAACCCGAACATTCGCTGCAATACGCTTGACGTCACTTTTGTTGCCATTGCAAACTGTCGAATAAACTTACGACAAACGGACAAGCGGACAAACGGATTCTACAATATTGCGTTCGAAACACGGAGAGACAGCTCGCATCCAAAACACAACAGAGAACACCACGTAAACATTTTATGCCATTGGCAATGACGTCCGTTTATATCGGATACGTTCATTCGAAGACTATTGTCCACAAAGCGAGGTGGTTGGGATATCGAGATAGGAAGTGCAAGCCACCAGGCATCATTGGCAGGCTTCTTTACCTCATGGCTTAATTTTCGCTCGAATGGAGTGGCTACAGTACCACAAGAGTATCTCGCAGGTGGCGTTATATCGCGACGGTCTACTCCAGCACAATATCCTACGCCAAATTCAAAGCCAAAATCTGTCTCCAGCCACAACCATCATCAAAACTCGAAAACGAAACGCTGCAATTGTCTCGGCGCAATCAAAGCGGGCTGACACCGGGGAGGAGGACCAGGCCGAGTCATCTCCAATAAATGTCTTTGTTCTCTTGTCAGCAAACTCTGATCATCGTCCACCGTGGCGGCTACAAGGTGCAGCTGTGTACGCGGTGGCGGGACTTGCTGAATGGCTTCTTTGTCAACGCCCAAGTCCAGACCTAGTGTTACTGGTGCCTGCCATTTTCCATTCCTTTATTCAATCCCCTATATAACCTCCGCTTCCCCATACCCTGACCCACCCACCATCCACAAACGGACTTACCAACTCAAGCCACTCATTTCAAACATACACCACGGTTTCTTAACCTCCCCCACCATACCACAATTCAATCAATATGACGCGCTCTATCAGGCCCCGCCTCGTCAAGGACAAGGACTACCCGGGCTGCATTGCCTTGTAGAAGTCGGGGAAAACGAAAAAATGAGTCTGCGGAGGGAAATATAAAGCAGGTTAGCATGATGCTACTTGGATTGCCAGGCTGTATCTCTATATAGCGGTTGGACAAGAGCGGCTTTGGACTCCGACGTGGTTTCCAGCTTAGTATGAAATTGTACTTGAACTTTACACTGCCAGTTTTAATTTCTTTTTGATGCTTATGTGCAAAGCGATAAACAAAGTGGTGTGGAGAAAGGCTGCAGACGTTTGATGGAAAGATATATGATTTCTTCTGTTGTGGAAGATGACCCTATCTAAAGAGGGAATTAGTCGATGCATGCGTAGCTGAATTGATATAGATTGGAAAGGTAGGTATCGTTTTTCATCCCCACGGTAAGTGGTTTCTTCATGTAAGCGAAAGCATGTCAAATCACTCTGGATTTGGATATTGGAGATACTGCATTCATGACTATATGCTCTTGTAAGTAGAATAGAACGCTCCTTATGGATCACTTCATATGTAGACGCAGAGCTTGTATTCGTAGCTAGCAGGGTCATGTAGATATGGCTGCTGCACCTTCACAATGCTCCCCACAGATGACTCCGTAGGTGGATGTAGAGGCTACGCTCGTAGTTGGCGTTATTATTCACGGGGGGTTGTGGTACCTTCTGGGCGCGCCCTACAGATCACTTCTCATGTAGACGTAGAGTGCATTCGTAGCTACTTGTATCATTCATGAGGGTATGTAGATCGTAACAGCATCTCCCTTCCGACCGTACCACAACAGCATGAAGATAAATGCAGTTCATGGATGTCTGTCGCACTAAATGCCCTCGCCTAAAACTCACACACGACGCGAAACGCACTACCAACACAGCACCATAACAATAAATGACTTTCTTCTTCAAGAACCCGCGTAAAGCGAAAAACTTAATGAAAAAAAAGAGTAGTAGTTCGCGTCAGCCCGAAGCAGTGCAATACGAGCGACACTGTGGGAATCGACATGTGCAAGCACAGCGGCCAACCCCCCGGTTCCAAAAACTAGATTAATCACGAATGCTCCCGTAGGAGCGTTTCAGAGATTAAACTGAAAAGAACAGATACTACACTTGATCTAAGCCAAAAGGCAAAGAGAGCTAAAGAAAAAAAAAGAGAAGGCTGTGGAGGGGGAAGCGAGGTTTTTATACCTCGTCGTTGAGGCGCTTGGGCCGCTGCGTTGCTGGGCGGGAATGGTTGCGCTAGGCTGCAGACTAGGCAGCCGTGGGTTGGCGGCGGGTCGATGATGCGAGTGGCCCGCTGTTTCTCGACGCGTGCGTGGTTTTATTGGTTTCGTGTCGCGGTGGAACCGTGGCACCGTGGAAGACGCGTCTGTGATTGGAGCAAGGAATGCAGCTGCGGAAGCTGACGGACGCTGAGGGAAACCTGGCTTGCTTGCGACCTGCTGTGTTCACATGTACGCGCACCTAGTCTGAGAACTTCAATCTGTGCAGATACACAACGAAACTCATCCCAAGGGAATGCGGTTGGATAGTTGCACCATAACTTAAGTTTATATCTAGGCAGTACGGATCCGTATTCTGCCAGACCTGATCTCAGTCATTACAGGATAGCCCTGACCATCCAATTGACGGTTGCGATGAAGTCCACAAGAGTAGGTACGCTATGGTGGAACACCTAAGAGGTATGATTGGCCATGGCATGTAATCCTTTAGCTTTTTTCCAGTTAGGTGGTGAACATAGCTCAGATGGTGGCTAAGTTCGGTATCTTTGCCAAATGTTCTCGTGTAGTCACAGCCCGGGATGCTGCAGATCGTCGTTTATCCCAGTTATGGGTCTTAACGTGAGTGTCGAATGCGTGTCTTGTCTCATACACGGTTTCATCGTTGCAGCCCGTCACCGTGCATTGCTGCCGGAACGCGTGTGTTTGCCTTGTGAGAGCGTAAAGAATTGGCGTTTGAGTATTTATTGTTGCATTCGCTGCACACGAATGCCTTTTCTTTTTGCTTGTCCGCCTTGCACGTCTCTACGTGCGCGTTTTTACGGTGGAATGTTGCCGTGTGCCCCGTAAGCTTTCCTCAAGATGAGCCATGTCGCGAACAGTGCTAGTCCGTAAGGAATGAGGAGAGACACTCCCTAAAATACCACACACACACACACACACACACTCTCTCTCTCTCTCTCTCTCTCTCTCTCTCTCTCTCTCTCTCTGTGTGTGTGTGTGTGAGTGAACGACAGCTTATGACCACGCCTGCCAGCGCTGTCTTGGCAAGTGCGGCCCCTCGTGGAGCAGGAGCAGGAGGAAGTCGCTCACATAGAGGGCAGATGCCCTATCTTCGGCACATGCGTCGCAGGCTGCCAAAACGAACTTGATTCCACGATCCAAACAATGAAACACCCATCCCATTACCCAGTGCGCCAACGCTATGCAGCTTATCCACCCGTGATGTAACCGTACTCTGAACCCGAAAACGACGCCGAAAAGAACCCATATCGTGTGAATTCATGCCACTATTAGAGGCGCCTGAGGCCTGTACGGGGCCCAAAAGCACCGCGGTTATACCGCTTCAAGCAATATCCAGCGGCCTTCAGGCGCCGGTTCTCATGCCGTTGTCTCCGTGCGTCTTCAGCTGAGAACTTTCCGTAGGGTGCTTGGCGTAGCGCCCAATCGGTGGTATCAGCTACAGTGTGGGAGGAAGCAGAGCTTTGTGAAGAAGACCTTGATAATGGACGCTCCGCTGGTATAGTTGGGTTAGGGATGCGCTGGGGTGTTTGATAGCAAGCTTGTTGCGCGAAGACCGGTGTGTGGACTGAGCCTGTCATGGAAGCATTGAATGATGCGCCTGGGGCTTGAATGCTTGCTAACGGCGTGCTTGGAATTTGTGCTGCCGCGCCGTCGACTTCCATCCCTTCTGTACCGTGCGAGTTCGTTACCATCGGCCGTGGACCATAGGCATTCGTCCCAATGGGTGTCACGAAGGCAGGCGCGGGTATCCAGTCTTCAGACACGGTCCTGGCGAGCTCTTGATTCTCTTCTTCCTGTGCAACAACCTTCTCAACTGCCATTTTGCCCTTTCCCTTAGTGTTGGTCCTCACTGCGCTTTTGGTAACGTCTGCCTTTTTTTCGTTGTCTTCCTTTGGCGGAACCCTATCTTCACCTCTCACTTTCGCCTCGTCGACCGCCGTCCTTAAGTCCCTCGGCACTTGTGCATGGATCCCGGTCATAAGTTTGGCGCGTCTAACAAAGGCATTCCAATCTTCCTGCAGCAGTGCGCCGGCCTCAGCGTTCAGTGCACTCGCCGGGTTTGGTTGGATCAACAGACAGGAGATTGTGACAAGAACATGGCGCAATGTGAGTGTAGATTGCCAGTCACGCTTCAAAGTGTCGACGCAAACAGCGCCGGTCGCTTCCTCGACGTTCGGGTGCCATATTCGGGTACGGAAGTGGGCGGTGGGTGGTGCGGTCGGGTAGTTGCTGGGAATCTCAAGGTGCAGTTTATAGAGGCCGGCGGAATACGGCGTGCCCTCGGGACCGGCGAGAAGGATATCGAGTTGTGTCAAGTCATCCGAATCGGCATTTGCGGGAAAGAGGTAGTTGGGCGGGAGGTTTGAGTGTAGGGTTGCATGGTCGGAGGCGAGACGACGCAAGGACTTGGAGTTCTGCGAGTCTGTAAGATTCTGTATGGCAGAAGTAGAAATCTGAGGGAAGACTCACCATGATGAGGGTGCGACAAGGTCAGTAGGACAGGAGAGGATCAGTCGGGCATCGGAATGGCGTTGGGGAGGTGGCGGGCGCCAGGGCGCTTTGTTATGATCGCAGGGTTGGAAGCGACTGCTGCAGCGACAGCCGAGCTTTATCCTCGTCGCGTGCGGCCAACGCGTCCCCTTGCGGCCTCACGCGTAGCGACGCGTTGATGATTTCCATTAACGTTACGACAGGGGGTTCAATCTTGCACTGCTTCGACAATGCAACAAACTAGGGTAGTCAATTCAATTTGGGGCGGTACGATGCCGCACTACCTAAGGTACATGACCTCCATTCCCTTGATAAGGACCAGGACGCCATGCAATGCACCTAAACCACAAGATAAATCATGCGCCGAGCGAACCGTGAAGGAAGGTGCAGAATACCCCAAATAAAGGAAAGGTGGTTGTCCAAACCCGGGAACCTAAAGAAGGCAAGACTCCGCAGCTTCGACCGGGTATAATGTTATCGTACTGTCGCGCCTAAGCGTCGTCTGCAGCGTTGGTCAAGGAAAGATACGCTGTCCAAGCAATACCGACCGTGGAGACAAAGGGCTGCAAACGGCATGTTAGCCAACCGGTTGTAGTGGATGAGTACAATACTTACGATCTGGAACTGGATGGGCATGACGCGGAAGTTGAGGATTTGCACCGCAGGCCAAACAATGTAGTTCGCCTTCAAAGCAGGAACGTAGACATCCTGGAATTTGCGAGCCACAGCGCGCTTGCCGCCGCCCTCGGCGACCGTCATGAAAGTGAAGAAGCAGGCGAGACCTTGAAAGAATCAATCAGCTTTTTCAAAGCTCGACAACCCATTGTATAGATGCGACATACCGACAGGCGCAAACATGAACTGGTCGCACGCCATACGCTTCAGCGCTGGTACAGTAGCGGAGCCTTTGCTCATAGGGAACGCTTTGGACAGGAAGCTGAACCACCTGTGCTGGACGGGAGCCATCATGAAACCGTAGGCCATGAAGCGAGTTAACCGCTCAAAGTCAAACGGAGGTGGTAGCTGCTTGGACGCCGGAATGAGTTCGTCCCTGTGGAATGGATCCTTCTTGTCAAGCTCGTGAATCTCGATAGCAATCAAATCGTCTTCCTTGACCCCTCCGGGCTTGCGCACTGCACGTTCCCGGACTGACGTCAGAGTCTGAGCTACTGTGTCCGCAACACCACCCAATATCTGACAGTTCGGTCAGTTAGGATCCTTTATAAGGCTGCATTTTCAGAGGTTACATGCGAACAACATGCAGCACTTTGGGTATACGTACAGCGTTGGTAATCATCGTTGTGAGCACTGCGCGTGCGTCGTTAGTGAACATATACCAGCTTCTGAACAACGCGACAAGCTTACCTGGCCGGTTGGCATAGTATGTGTTGAACTTGCGTGTGAGGATTGAAATGAATGCCATCTCGATTAGGAAAACTATGGCGTTGAGAAGAGGCTGTCAAGGGATGAAGCAGGTCAGCACGCGCTCACAAAGGATTCAGCGGCCTTAGGAACGAACTCACGATGCTACCGTAGATGCAACGGCTGTTGAGGGTGCGTAAGAGTCGGCGACGTTGACCTTCAATCATCGTGAAATGTGGTGGATCACAGGCCTTCTTCGATGACGTTGTTATCTGGGTTCGGCAGGCGCGCGGGCACTCCTGACAGGTAGTAGGTAAAAGGCCGGGCTACTGACGGCACAACACTAAGAATGCTGGGACGTCGATTATCACAGATTCGTTACGGTCGGTGGAGGGTCGTGTCAGCTTGGGATGAGAAGTAGAGGCGAAACACGGTCGGAGATTGTACATGAGGCGGAGTCGTCCCGCGCGCTTCCAGCTGCCTTACTTTAACGTGAGGTCCCATGTTCGTCATATTCCGCCCCCGCGACCACACTTCCTCCGAGCGGGATCCTCCCGCACCTTTTTGGCTCCGAGTAACAACCTGCACAATCCGATCCGACACATGCTTAATCCTGCGATTCGCGCCGTAGCAGTTGCCAGTCTGATCTCCTGACTCCTGTGTCACATTGCTTTTCTATTTTTGGATAAATTTACAATCTCCAAACGCACGGACACCAGGAGATCTATATCCACATAATAGGAAGACACGTCTTTTAAATCTTGCACGCACTACTTTGGGTAAGACAACATAATTATTACTATCTACAGACGAGTATGTTTCGTAGCCTGCCAGTCGGCCATGATAAAGCTTGGTCTTACTCGTCGGACGAGAAATGTGGTATTTAGCCTGCGCTTAACAAACTATTGATTGGCTCGCAAAACCGAAGCCCAAACCTGGGCTAATCTTTTGAAGTTGACTGCGTGCCTTTCCTCATGAATGAGACGATTGTAGGCAAGTCATAGATGTCCGTAAACTCCTGTGACTGGAGATCAACAAGACGGAGAGCCTCTAACGAGAGTACTCCATCCTTCCAGGCTTGTAACTCGATTTGCGTGCTTTTACACGCAGATGGTCCCAGGGTTCTGTAGCACTGTTTAGTTTCTAAGCCGTTGAAGAGTCCGAAGTGACTTACCCTATTTGTAGTCCTCTAGACCTAGAAAGAAATATATCATTTGCTTCCCCTGGATTCTTTTGTTTGAAAATGACCTCGAATGCAAGTTGACGTGCCTTGTCGGACCGGTTGACGACGAAAATATCCCATTTGAAAGGTTCCATGACATAGACACGATCTGGACCCGAAACCGTTACCGCGATTTCGACCGAGCCGGGTGGCATCACTTCTTGTTGCGCCGCGTCAAGGTAGGGTAAAGAGTCCGGACCTGGTAGGCTTGTAGGTGAGCCAAGGCTAGTTATGCTTCTCGAGAATGAATGGTCGCGAGGAGAGTGTCCGAGAAGATGATCAGGGACTTTTAGCTTTGACTTCAGGATTGCGCCTATGTCCACGTTTGTTCTCCAATCTATGGCGACGGCAGGCTGACAGTCTTCTGATATGAGTACTCTGGCTCTTATCTGGACGTCTAAGGCGTGTACTGCCACAGGGGCGGTATATTCCTCAGGACCCCGCTCTGGAACGAGCCTATAAAGTAAGGCCACCTGGTCTCCTGATTTGTAGATGTTGCCAAGGCCAGCTCCAAGTTGATAGCCGCATGGTTCCACCCGCCCATCTGTCAGCCCAAGGTCCATTTTGTCGAACCGTAGGCTGTAACCAGCTATTCCGGTGATTTCAAAGTCGAATGATGCAAAGATTGAAAGGTCATTTACTGGACCATGGCTTTTTGTGTACCTTATCCTCCATGCTAGCGCTGGCACAGCGCGAAACATACGGCGGCTGGCACTTTGCAACGGGCGTAGAAGCTCCCGTTCCACCGCAGCGCTTGGAGCAACCTTGGTGATTCGAGATGCTGAGAGATGAGGCTTGACACCTTCGAGAGTAGAGTCTCTAGCAAAGGAGTCGAGCAAATTCCCGGACAAAGGCACCAAGCTGGGTAGATACTCATCGTCTAGTAGCTTCGCCTCAATCTGTTGTACAGGCTTCAACGAGGCACCAACCGAAAAGTAAATTACAGGCTTGGGTAGCCTCGAGCGTGGGTGTCCTTGTACAGTTAGCGCAAAGCTTACAAAGAAGCATGATAGGAGCATACCAAGGAAGACTTCGGCCTTCCACGCGACGAAGGTGTACTGTAGCTGTCCTCCCCTCTCACGTTCAACTGTCTTTTGAAAAAACAGCTCGGGAGTTGCAGGGTTTTCGATAGTGACGGCATGCAAAAGCTCCTTTAATGGAGGCGCGTGGGGCGGATGACCCGGGCCTTGGTGAGATACAGGAACAGTCGTCGTAGCATAAGCTTCAAGAGTAAGTGCCAGCCTAGTGAGATAAGATCTCAAAGTGCTTTCGTCGATAAAAGGCGCTCGTAGCACGATGTATACGGGAACAAGTTCATCTACATTCCTAGCAATGAGTAAGAAGTCTAATTCAGATCGCTCACCCTTACGAAATGCATACCAAAGAACATGAATTGCCTTTGCGGAACAAATGGCAGAATAGACGGGCTCTGTTCGTTTCTAGAGCCATCCCACGCGTCCAATAGCTGGTTGATATCAACCGATGAGGCTGCAGGTACGATTGTCTCGACCAGCGAACTCTCGGAGAAATCACCGCTGGTAATCCTGGCATGACCAGGAAAATTTGTCGTTGCCATACTTGCTATCCCAAATGTCGCCTCATGAATAGTGGTACATCCTTTACTGCAGGTCGTGCAAGGCCAACATAGGAGATTTGCGCTGCAGCAGTTGGGCGGATTCCTCTCCCTCAGTTGCTGCTGGTTCAAGAGAGCTGGAAACTGAAAAAGAAAACAGGCTGGGGGAGTATTCTAGGGGGGCGACCTAATGGAGCATGTGATAGAGGGACTTGAAGCGAAGGTCATCGGGGCAGCCGTCAAAGGAGGCTCCCCAGCGTTGACCCGAGCCCTAGCACCGCTTGGGCCACTGCCAATTTGCCAAGGCCGGAGGTCGATCTGCTGTCCGCCGCCGCCGCGCCCCAAAACTTCCACCGCGCTGTCGGACCTGCACAGCTCCATATCGCCAGCAACGCGCTCGTTCGCGTAACTCCATCATTTTGCGGATCGCGCATCGGACCGCTTGCGAACATGAACGGTCTTCCACCAGTGCCGGGCCTGTGGCAGGAGGCGCGTACCCCCGATGGACGCGCCTACTACTACAACACTCAAACAAAGGTCACCCAATGGACCAAACCTGAAGAGTTGTTGACTCCGGCCGAGGTAGGCATTTGCTGTTCTCGCTTCTCTCACTTGGACAGCTTCATCTGACTCGGGTTGTAGCGCGCTCTCAAGGACCAACCATGGAAAGAATACACCGCCGAAGGAGGACGGAAGTATTGGTACAACACTGAGACTAAGCAGAGCTCATGGGAGATGCCAGACGTCTACAGGAATGCTATTGCCCAGACTCAGCCGCCTGCACGGCCTGCCGCCCCGTAAGTAACCTGTCCCAATTTTTCACAACTTGTATTTTTCTGACATTGAGGAAAGAGCACAGACGTTTGTCGCTGGCGGTACTTCAAACTTCGCATCACAGTCACATCACAGAGATCGTGATGACTTTCATGAGCGCTTGGGCCCGGATCGCCAAATTGGTTGGGGCCAGTCGGAAACAAGAGAAACCACGCGCATCCCTCTGAACTCACAGACTGATCCAGAGTACTCGTCTTTCGATGAAGCGCAAGCAGCTTTCAAGAAGCTTCTAAAGCGCGCCGGTGTCCAGCTCGATTGGTCCTGGGAGCAGACCATGCGCGCTACCATCAAGGACCCGCAATACCGCGCCATCAAAGACCCCAAGGACCGCAAAGCTGCATTTGAGCAATATGTGGTAGATATGCGTGTGCAAGAAAAGGAAGAGGAAAAGAAGAGAGTCGAACAACTTCGCGAGCGATTTGGCCAGATGCTGAGAAGTCATCCAGAGATCAAGCATTTCACACGATGGAAAACGGCCAAGCCGATCCTTGAGGGCGAGGCCATATTCAACAGGGCCAAAACCGAAGATGAGGCAAGACAGCTTTTCGAAGAATACATCGTCGAGCTGAACAAAACTCATGCTGAAGAGGAAGTCAAGAAGCGCACCCAAGCCGCTGATGAGCTTGCCTCGATCCTCAATGATCTTCAACTCGAGCCGTACACGCGATGGTCTGAGGCTCAGGAAATCATTCGGGAAAGTGAGCGGTTCAAGGGAGATGAGAAGTTCGAGTCGCTCAGTCAGTTAGACATCTTGAAGGCTTTCGAAAACCACATCAAATCACTTGAACGCAGCTTTAACGATGCTCGCCAGAAGCAGAAAAGCCTCAAGGCGAGGCGCGAACGCCAAAACCGCGACCAGTTTATTGCTTTGCTGAGAGAGGTCCGTGCCGATGGGAAAATCAAAGCTGGCACTAAGTGGAAAGAAATCCACCCGCTCGTCGTGGACGATGCCCGGTATGTTGCTATGCTCGGTCAACCTGGATCTACACCCCTAGATCTATTCTGGGATATGGTCGAAGAAGAGGAGCGCGTTTTGCGCGGCAAGCGACATGATGTTCTTGATGTCCTAGACGTAAGTTCTCTAAGGCAAACCTCGAATTGTGGTTTCATAATAACACTCAAAACAAGGACCGGCGCTTCGAAATTACCCAGAAAACTACGTTGGAGGAATTCATGTCTATCATGCAAGCTGACCGCCGTACGGCAAACATTGACCAGCACTCACTTACACTGCTCTTCCAGCGGTTGCTTGAGAAGGTTCACCAGCGCAATGAAGAGGACAAACACCACGCCGAGCGTTCTCAACGCCGGGCCGTGGATACTCTGCGCTCACGCATCAAGCACTTAGAGCCACCAGTCATTCTGGGAGATACATGGGAGCAGGTACGTCCTCGCCTCGAAAAGTTTGAGGAATATCGTGCCCTTGATTCGGATGAGGTTCGTCGGTCCGCCTTTGACAAGTACATGCGACGCCTGAAGGAGAAGGAAGAAGACCGTGAGAGAGAGCGCAGCAGACGCGACCATCGTGATCGCGAGCGCGGCGATCGTTACCGCGACGATCGTAACGGCTACGCGCCGAGCCGGCGTCACCGCACCCGCACCCCGGAGCCCGACGCCTACGAGGCGGATCGGCGCAAGGCGCAGGCTGATCGTGAGCGTTCCTACCGCAAGGCCAGCCTGACAGGCCTGTCCCCTCGTCGCGATAGGGACTACCGCGACCGTGATGACAGGGGAAGCAGGCCTATGGACCACTACGATCGCGAGCGCAGGGTGCGCGAGGTCGAACGTGAACGTTCTTATATCAGCCGTGCGGATCCTCGCGACAAGGGCAGCGAGCTCGACTACGGCGAGAGCAGGGCTGGCAGCATGAGGCGCCGGCGTGACAGTGATGGCGGCAGCCCGGAGAGCAAGCGTGATGTCAAGGTTCGTTTCTCTCATCTCACTTCCTTTCATACACATTACTGATATTTTGTCTTCAGAGGACCCGTCGTGACAGATCATCTCGTGAGCGCACCTTTTCCCCTCGGCCTCACAGATCTAGGACTCCGGCAAAGGAAGCACCCCCTCCGAAGGAGGATGTGGCTCTTCGCTCAGGCAGCGAAGAAGGCGAGATCGAGGAGGACTAAGCTTTTCCTCCTGGTACAGCTTCGTCAGTCCAATCTCTAATTGGTAGCTGCTTAACCACTTGCACGTCGTAACTTGGCGGCCGGCGACAGGACCAAACCAGTGCAAAACTCACCACGAGACACCCGAAGATTCCTGGTATCGACAAGGGACAATTCAATAATCTCGGTATGTTGAAGCGTTTGGTCCGCTGTTTTGTTTTTCCTATCTACTCTGCAAGTTTGGACAAGCCAGCTGCACGTCTGCGTCTCCAACGAAAAAAAGCGAAAACAATCCTTTTGCGCCGTGCTGTACATGGCACGACAAACACTAGTATGATTGTGTAGATAGCATAGCGTAGCTTGCAATGCAAATCTACTCTACCCATAACTTTTTGCACCTGAAGCGTGGAGTCATTATTAGAGCAGTGATCACCTAGCTTGACCCGTCTGTAGCCTGGACCCTGAGTGGGTGTACAGGTGAGACAGGAGGCAGATCACTGCGGCCGGTGGATGCCGTCCTCATCATCGTCATCGTTGACAGATTCCTCCTCTGCCAAAAGTCCACGCCCACCCTTACTCCGCTTCATGCTCGCCTTTTTTGCTGCCGATGCCCCTAGAACGCCAGAAACCGAAGGGATATCATGACGAGGCGGATATTCCTGTTTTGGAACGCCCTTTCAAGATTCTTCTTCCAAGAAGAAGTAGTTGCCAGCCAACTTCTGCTCCTGGTCCATCTGGGAGTTGTACTTGTTGATACGCGGGCGGTACGAGTTAGGATCGCGACGGAAGGTGACATCCAGACTCTTCAGGAACTTGTTGCAGCCCGTCAGCAGCGACTCGGGAGTCTCCGCGAGCGCGTCTTTGGACGGTTGACCGCCAAAGACAATGACACGGTCAGCAAGGTAGGTGGCCATGATGAAATCGTGCTCGACGATGAAAGCAGTCTTCTTCGAGTGCATGATGAAACGCTTAATGACGCGAGATGCCACAATACGTTGCTCGGAGTCGAGGTAACTATGTTACCGTCAGCAAAGTCACGTGCAGCGGTATCAGAAAAGGAATGTACTTACGCGCTAGGCTCGTCGATGAGATAGATGTCGGCAGGGATACCAAGAGCCAAGCAAATGGCGACACGCTGCAATTCACCACCAGACAGGTTCTGGACTTCCTGGTCGATGAAGTCATCCATCTTGAGCGGCTTGTAGACATCGGTCTGGAACTGCGGGTTGAGGAAAGCAGCCTTGATCTTCTTGAAGAAGAGCTGGCGGACAGTACCCTGGAACTTGGGAGTGATCGTCTGGGGCTTCATAGAGATGTTCATCTGAGGGACACTCTTGCCACTGTCGGGCTTCAGAGCACCTGCCAGCATCTTACAGAACGTCGTCTTGCCGGTACCGTTCTCACCCATCATGACGATGATCTCAGAGTCGGTGAACTTGCCGGATTCGATCGCCAGGTGGAAGTTGCCCATTGTCTTCTCCATAGCAGGGTAGCTGTAGGCGCGGGTCTTGTCGTTGGTAAGATCGTCGCTGGCATCGCCGATACGGAACTGAAGGGACTCTTCACGGAAACGAAGGTTTTCCGAGGGAATGTGACCGTCAAGGAAGATGTTGATACCTTCCCTAACTGAGGACGGGAGGGTAACAACACCGTAGACCGCGGGCTTGCCGTACAAAAGACAAATGAAGTCGGACAGGTAGTCGAGGACAGACAAATCGTGCTCGACAACAATGACGTAGTCATCAGGGCGCAGGAGGTTCCGGATCATCTTACCGGCCTGCAGACGTTGCTTGACATCGAGGAAAGAAGAGGGTTCATCGAACATGTACACGTCCGCCTTCTGGACGCAAACGGAACCGATGGCGAAACGCTGCATCTCACCACCGGAGAGAAGCTGAACCTCGCGATCATAGACCTGCCTCAGCTCCAACTCATCAAGGATCTCGTCGAGGTTGTCGTTCTGCGCACGGCCTGAAATGAGCGTACCGACCCTCTTGTCGGCGGCCTTGATAGCCTTAGGGATCTGGTCGACATATTGAGGCTTGATAACCGCTTTCAAGTCATCCTCCAAAACTTTGGTGAAGTAGTCTACGTCCGGTCAGTACTGTCCTTTCGCGTGTTCTTTTTGCATTGTCTTGTGGCTTACTCTGAAGCTCAGAACCGCGGAAGTACTTCAAGATCTCCTCCCAGTCTGGCGGGTTGTCATAGCGTCCCAAGTTCGGCTTGAGTTTGCCGCTGAGAATCTTGAGCGCCGTACTCTTGCCGATACCGTTCGTACCAACCAGACCCAGAACCTGGCCCGGACGCGGCATGGGCAGTCTGTGCAGCTTGAAGCTGTTCGCCGAGTATCTGTGGGTGACCTGCGTCTCGAGGTTGGTGGGCAGGTTGATAATGTTGATGGCGTCGAAGGGACATTTCTTCGGGCAGATACCGCAACCTATACAAAGGCGCTCGGAGATGAAAGCGATTTTGGAGGTGGGCTCGACTTCAATGCAGAGCTTGCCCGTCCTGACGACAGGACAGGACTTTTTGCATTCTTGCCTGCATTTCTACGCTGACTTAGCTTGAGTCGAGTCCAGGGGTGGATTGCAAACCTACCTTGGGTTTGCACTGCACGCGACAACGGCTGATGTTAGTCGAAACTTCAAATTTTGCTCACCGCGGGGTCTGGCGGGGCTGTTTCAGCGCGGGCGCACCTTGTCGCTGTTGACAATCGCAATTCTGTCGAGAGACGGTCAGTTGAATGCACGAGAGGAGTGGCACTGGAGGGTCGGCGCATACCTGGTAAGCTTGTCCGTCATGGTGAAGAGGTGGTGTGAAGGACTCGACGACGCAGGTGGCAGGCAAAAGCTGGAGGCGGCCGGCGAGAAAGAACTTCAGGCCGGGGAGAGGCGCGCACGCGAGTCGGGGGGATGTCTGGCCTGCGGAGACGTGCTTCTGGGAAGCGACGCTGCGTCGATCTGGACGGGGGATCTTTGACGACTGTGTCGGTCGGTGAAAGTGTGCGGAAGCAAAGGTGTATTATCAAGGCGGCAGCGATTGGTTGGAGGCCTCGGCCTTGTTCAGAGGGGGTCCCCGTTTCGGCCTAGCGCGCTGAGTTGCGGCAGGACTCTCTCAACTCAGGCTGCGTGCCTCCATCAACCCTCTTCATCCGACACACTGACCATACGACCACCACCCACCATACCCTCGCACACGACCCTGTCCGTACTCTATAGGTAGCTTGAGCCATGGCCTGTGAGTCTATCGATTTTTCCTCCGCGCTGTTCCCCGTTCGCTGCGTCGACGCCCCGCCACAGCCTGCCAATTCACGCCTCGGCGAAGCCCATCAACCTCCACCATATACACCCCGCCCCCATCGCCTACCTCACTTTGTTCGAGCAAACTCCTGCGGACCTTTGTCCCTGGGCTGTTTTGTGCTCGGGGAAGGCTCTTTGGACCTCCTCCTGAGCCATTGACTCCCTCACTCCACATTCATCGCTGTTATCCCCATGTCATCACGAGCTCGAATCTACGGTCGGACCTTGGTCATTCACCGCAGTTCGGCTTTCTTCTGTCGCTCCCTATTGTTTCTTGGTCGCGTAAACTCGCCGATTGCAATTCACTTTGTTTCACTTCACCCGACCGCCTCTTCATCGAAATATCGAGCTGACCATCATTCCACCTAGCCGGGTCCATCCTCATGCACTCTCCCCCGAATCCGACTACCTCCTTGCCCTTTGTTAACGGCCACTCCTCACCTCTTGCGCATAACATGGTCAGCGCAGACGACATGACCGCCCGTAGTGAAAGCGAACTATCCGACTCCGCCAACACTCGCGCCGCCGCTCTCGAGTCCACAAGTGACGGTCGGAGTCCCGCACAGGACGACCAGAACGATGATGAGGCGATGTCGGAGTCTTCTCAGAGCGAGGACGCCGAGGGATCAGAAGACGCAGACTACGAGTCCGAATCCCCTCCACCCGCCGAGGAGGACGAGCAATCCTCGTCGGAGGAGTCGGCGAGACCCCGGAAGCGGAAGGCTAGTGTTGAAGATGAGGACTACATCATGAAGGATCCGGAGCTATATGGCCTCCGGCGAAGCGTTCGTCCCCCTCTCGCTCCCTGCCCCGGAAGTATCACTAACACCTCCAGGGCCGCGCTCGATCGAACCGCCGCTTGGTAAATCGCTCTTGAGTTGCGCAACTGGACTCTCCGTCAGCTGACAAGACACTCACAGATCGAGAGCAGTTCGGAAGAGGACGACTCGGACTCTGACCCAGTCAACCCCCGGAGTCGGAAGAAGCGCAGGACTGCCGCGCCCGCCAGAGGTATGCCGTTGCCTGTGGTCCCAAATAGTTGTCTTTACTGACAAGTACCTCGATTGCTTAGCCTCGCGTCGTGCCTCTCCTGACCCTCCCTCGTCTCCTGCGAGCGAATCCGACTCGGACGATGCCTACGTTGGCAGCCGCCGGAACGCTCCCACGAAGAAGCAACGGCAGCGTCAGCTGCTTGTCGCGGCGGGGCGGGCCCCACCTTCACAAGCTGAAGTCCGCTTCTCGACGCGAGCTGCCGCAAAGGTCACAAGCTATAATGAAGATGACGATGATGATATGTTCAGCGAGGAGGAATCCGACGAGGCGACACCAAACTATTACTATGTCGCTGAAGAAGATGATACCCCCATTATCGACAAAGTTATCCTCCATCGGCGCAAAGAAGGCATCGGTCAGTACACTCATCGTCCTCGTCCAAGCTTTCTCTGACATAGCATAGATGAGGACATGTCAAATCTTACCAAGCATGATTTTGAATACCTAGTAAGTCAACCCAACCCTTCGGCCTTGGCAATTCAAGCTTACTGATGGTGTCCATTAGATCAAATGGCAGGGCAAGGCCCCTTTCCATGCCACATACGAGAGCTTCTCCTCCTTATCTTCTTACAAAGGGTTCCGTAAAGTCGAGAACTATTATCGAAAGATTGTTCTAGAGGAGGTTAGCATTATGGGTGATCCCGACGTCCCGTCGGAAGAGAAGGAGAAGTGGAACCTCGACCGGGAGAAGGTGGAAGACCTTTACGCAGACTCTCGGCAAGTTGAGCGTGTCATTGGTCAGCAAGAGGGCGAGGAGGAAACCGAATACTACGTCAAGTGGAAAGCGCTTCCCTACGAGGAGTGTACCTGGGAGCCTGCCTCACTGGTCAGCCAGCTGTCGCAAAATGAAATCGACCGCTATCTGGACAGGTCATCGAAACTTCCGGTCACTGACAAGCGCGAGTCGAACCCCCAGACTCGTCGCAAGTACGTCGCCATCCGGGAACAGCCTGATTACATCAAGTTTGGTCAGCTCCGAGATTTCCAGCTCCGCGGTGTCAGCTTTCTTGCGTTCCACTGGTGCAAAGGGGACAATGCCATCCTCGCCGACGAGATGGGTCTGGGCAAGACTGTTCAGACGGTATCCTTCATGAACTGGCTACGTCATGATCGTGGCCAGCAGGGGCCTTTCGTCGTCGTCGTGCCGCTGTCGACTATGCCTGCTTGGGCAGAGACGTTCGACAACTGGGCGCCTGATATGAACTATGTTGTCTACAACGGAAACGAGCCCTCGCGTAAGATCATTCGGGAGTACGAGATGCTCGTGGACGGCAATGTTAAGAAGACCAAGTTTCATGTCCTCCTTACCACGTACGAGTATGTTCTTGCGGACTCGTCTTTCTTGTCTCAGATCAAGTGGCAGTTCATGGCTGTTGACGAGGCACATCGCCTCAAAAACCGCGAATCGCAGTTGTATGCCAAGTTGATGGATTTTGGAGCGCCCAGTAGGCTCTTGATTACGGGTACCCCGATGCAAAATACATTGGGCGAACTGTCCGCCCTGATGGATTTCATCATGCCTGGCAAGATCGAAGTCGACGAGGACATTGACCTGCAGTCTGAGTCGGCTAGTCAAAAGATCGCCGAGCTCACCTCTGCTATCAGTCCCTACATGATCCGCCGAACGAAGCAGAAGGTTGAGAATGATCTGCCGCCCAAGACAGAGAAAATTATCCGCGTCGAACTTTCTGATATCCAATTGGAGTACTACAAGAACATTTTGACCAGGAACTACGCTGCTCTGAATGCCGCTGGCAAAGGGCCGAAGCAGTCTTTACTCAACATTATGATGGAGCTGAAGAAGGCCAGTAATCATCCTTACATGTTCCCCGGTGCCGAGGAGCGTCTTCTTGCCGGTGGCGAGAGAAGGGAAGATCAGCTCAGGGCTCTTGTCACTAGCAGTGGCAAGATGATGCTCATTGATCAGCTCCTCACCAAGCTCAAAAAAGACAACCACCGCGTCCTCATTTTCAGTCAAATGGTCAAGATGCTTGATATCCTTGGGGACTACCTTCAGCTACGTGGTTATCAGTTTCAGAGACTGGACGGCACCATCACGTCCGGTGCACGACGACAGGCTATTGACCACTTCAACGCCCCAGAGAGTGCCGATTTCTGCTTCTTGCTTTCTACCAGAGCCGGTGGTCTGGGCATTAACCTGATGACTGCAGACACCGTAATCCTGTTCGACTCCGACTGGAACCCTCAAGCTGACCTGCAGGCCATGGCGCGTGCGCACCGTATTGGACAGAAAAATCCGGTTACTGTCTACCGACTTGTCTCCAAAGACACTGTAGAGGAGGAAGTACTGGAGCGAGCCCGGAACAAGCTCATGCTCGAGTACATCACCATTCAACGTGCTGTCACAGATAATGGTGACAAGGAGGCTTTCGACCGGATCAAGGCGGCTGTGGCAGAGCCTACCTCATCGGAAGACATCAACCGCATTCTCAAGAAACGTGGCCAAAAGATGTTTGAGCAAAGCGGCAACCAAAAGAAACTTGAAGAGCTCGACATCGATGCGGTCCTTGAAAATGCCGAAGAACACAAGACCGAGCAACCAGAGGGGATCACTACCGACGGTGGCGAGGAATTCCTCAAAAGTTTCGAGTACACCGATGTCAAGCTTGACTTGGAATGGGACGACATCATTCCCAAGGACCAGTTGGATGAACTCAAGGCCGACGAGGAGAAGAAGAAGGAAGCCGAATATCTGGCCTCAGTCATTGAGCAAAATGCTCCGAGGAAGCGGAAAGCACCCAACGAAGAAAGGGAACAGAGAGCGGCAAAGAAGAGGGCCCGTCAAGCTGCACAGGAAGCTGCTGAAGCAAACCAATCTGGAGACGAGTCCTCTCCGGACGATGACCCCAAGCGTCCCTTGTCTGAAAAGGAGATCCGCAACCTCATTCGAGCTCATGAGAAATACGGCTCTATCGATGAACGTGGCCAAGACATGGTTCGGGATGCCAAGCTCACAGGTCGTGATATGGCTGTTGTCAAATCAACCCTGAACGACGTTATCGAGCATTGCCATAGCTTACTCAAAGAAGAGCAAGCTAAGGCCGAAGCGGCTGCTCGTGAGAACAACAAAATCTTGACCAAGAAAGACAAGAAGGCAATTCTCTTTGACTACAAGGGCGTCAAGCGGCTCAACGCGGAAACGATCCTAGAGAGGCCCGTTGAGATGCGGTTAATCAAGGAAGCTGTCAACTCGGTCAATGATTGGCACACGTTCAGAGTCAACGGCGCAACCAAACCGGCCCATTACACTTGTGACTGGGGTGCTCGCGAAGATGGGATGCTCATGGTTGGCATCTCGAAGCATGGTTATGGTGCGTGGGTGGCTATTCGAGATGATGCAGAACTTGGAATGACTGGCAAACTTTTCCTCGAAGAACACCGTGTGGACAAGAAAGAGGAGCGCAGCAAAACCGAGGAGAAGAACGCGAAGTCACCAGGAGCAGTGCATCTTGTCCGCCGAGCCAACTATCTCATAAGTGTCCTCAAAGACAAGGTCAACGACAAAACGGAAGCGTCCTCGAAGAGGGCCGTCGACAACCGTAATAAGAGACTAGGTACATCCCACCGGCGCCAAGAGAAGGCCGGCAGCGGCTCTGCAAGCCCGGGACCTGCAAACCTGCGCAAGATAAGCCGAGAACAGGAGAGGGCTCGTCACCGCGGACACAGCCAGAGTGAACACCGCCACAGTGTGGACCGTCGCTTGCAAGTTGAACGAAACGGTACGCCAGAGATTCGCCGTAAGACAAGCGGAGATCTCGATGAAAGACACAAGCACCGCAAGTCAGAGGACCGGTCTCACGGCCACAGCCACAGTCATAGTCACGGCCATTCTCACTCTCATTCCCACTCGCACTCTCACTCACATGGCCATACTCACAGCCAGAGCCAGCTTCGGCGGAGTGATTCTAACACTGTCAACGGGCACACTGGCAACGAAGATCCTCTGGCTAAGCTTCTTAAACCGATTCAGGCGAGCTTGGTGTCATTGAAAGGATGCACTGCCTCAGCATACCCTGATAAAGTGGAGAGATCTTCCAAGATGAAGAAGGAATTCATGACTGTTGGAAACTTCATCACTCGTGAACTGCGGGAGAAGACAAGTCCGACTCAACGAGCACGTTTGTGGTAAGTAATGTCTCGTTTTGCAATTCCTCTTTCTCTATTGACAGTTTCTAGGGACGTTGTTGCCAAGAACCACTGGCCTGGTGCGGCTGTAGATGGCGCAAAACTCAACGACCTGCACGGAAAATACGTGGCTCAGCAGAAGAAATCAACTTCCCAAGACAAGCCTGCGAAGCCAGCAGAGGGGACGACGAACGGGGAGGCACCAAAAGCCGACACGGCATAACACATCATTGGGCGGCGCATGAGACATGGCAACGGCGTTATACATCAGCTAGGGAGAGCATCGATCCTGGTCATCGACCATGTGCATTTTTTCGGCATAGCAAGGAGTTTGGGATGTGGGGATGTGGTTTCTTTTTCCTCAAGGTACAGGCCGATTATGGCATTTCAGAGTGCGGCGGCATGTGGTGCTTATTCTTCGTATGGCTTCACGACTGCAACGTCCTGGCATTGGGCGGGCGCTCGACTAACCAGATGGACCAGAGAGGTCCTTGCATATGTTCCGGATCGGGAGGTAGATAAGTTGTGGATGTTGGCCGACTTTCCGTTCGGAGTGGTTAGGATAACGGTGGGTGAGTGAGTGTATGGAGTGTCATCGGACACGTAAAATTCAACAAGGCCAAGATACCCCAAGCAGCGTGACGTGTAAATAGCGCTATACATCTGTGTTTGACCGCTCGCATGCTTTGCCGACGTGTCTTGTTCCCTTTTGAGATTAGCAAAGAAAGAAAAAAATAGACTGCTGTCTCAACTGACCGGCGTCTTCTGACCAGCGTGGCTGGCATGCATCGGACCTCCGTTCTGCCGTGACATCATGGTAACGAGAAACTGAAACCAGTCGGCGACCTTTCCGCAGAACGTGCACGTTGTGGCAGCCATGGCCTTAAAGACGACCATACCTATGCCGTAGCGCGGGATCACCTTTCTTTCCTAACGATTAGTTTTTTTTTTTTTTTTTCCTTTCTCTCGCCGCACACGATGCTCGCCTCGTCGACGACGTCGCTGCTGCTCCCGCTCCTGCTGGGCGGTGGCCAGTTTTGCAGCGCCCTCCCGCCGCTCAATCCAGCGCCAGCCGTAAATTCCGTCCGCAGGCCGCTTACAGGGCGCTTTCTACACATTACCGGTATTCCTACCCTCTACTGTCTTCAGGTGCTCCTAAGTCCCTTCTCACACAGCACAGATATCCACCCTGACCCCTTCTACAAGTTCGGGTCTGCCACCGATGCGCAAGGGGCCTGCCACCACGGCTCTGGGCCTGCCGGTTATTATGGTGCAGAAACTTCCGACTGTGACGCGCCCATCACTCTGGTGAACGCGACCTTCGACTGGATTAGGGACAACATTAGGGATGACATTGATTTCATCCTTTGGACTGGTGACTCGGTGCGCCATGACAACGACGAGAAGATCCCGCGGCATGAAGACCAAGTCTTGGAACAAAACGAGCTTATCGCCGACAAATTCCGCGAAGTGTTTGGTAGGGACGATGACGATGACAGCGACCCAACAAACGACTTTGTTATTCCGATCGTACCTAACTTCGGAAACAATGACATCCTACCCCACAACATCTTTACTCCGGGCCCAAACAGGTGGACGTCAAAATACTTGGATATTTGGAAAAGCTTCATCCCGGAGGAGCAGAGGCATCAGTTCCAGAGGGGAGGTTGGTTTTCCGTCGAGGCAATTCCAAACAAGCTAAGTGTTCTTAGCCTGAACACACTGTAAGTGGCATTGGGAGACAGTGAACCTTGATCTAGGCAATCGCTGATATACAACAGGTTCTTCTTCAGTAAAAACGCCGGTGTCGACGGTTGCGCAATGAAGTCCGAACCTGGATACGAACACTTTGAATGGCTACGCGTTCAGCTTCAAATCCTCCGCGAACGGGGCATGAAAGCCATCTTGATAGGGCACGTGCCGCCCGCCCGCACCGAGAACAAACAGCTTTGGGATGAGACTTGCTGGCAAAAGTACACCTTATGGACACGGCAATATCGTGATGTTATTGTCTCGAGCATGTTCGGTCACATGAATATCGATCATTTTTTGTTACAGGATTTCGAAAGTCTTGCGGATAGTACCCTGAAAGGTAAAATGCCAGGCTCAATGAAAGCCAAAATCCTGGAATCCGAGGACAAAGAATTCTCCGCGACCGGCGCGTCGGATTATCTGGTTGACTTGAGGAAGGCATGGGCGACCCTGCCAAGCCCGAAACATCACGACAATGCGGTAGAGAAGAAGTTTTCTGTCGCCGAAGAGATTCAGGATTTCATTGGCTGGAAAAAGGGCAAGAAGGGACATGGAGACAATGAGAACTATCTGGATGACATCGGTGGTGTGTGGGGAGAAAGATACAGTATCTCACAAGTTGGTGCCAGTGTGGTACCAAACTTTTTCCCGACGTTGAGGATCTTCGAGTATAACACTACCGGCCTTGAAAACCAAGCATATACACACGCTATCGACAGACGAGTTCCCGTGGACCGTCAGCTTGAAGAAGCTGTGGAGGATCTTGAGAATTATGACAAGGACGAAGGCAGTGGTGTTGACACCACAAAGAAGAAAAAGAAGAAGGACAAGAAGCACCACTCCAAGAAGTACAAGTTCACTGTTCCGGACTCACCTTCAAAGTCATCCCCTCCTGGTCCTGCCTACTCGCCACAGACTCTTACGCTTCTCGGCTACACTCAGTATTTTGCCAACTTGACTCACATAAACAACGACTATGCCAACGAAAGCGTCCATGAGTTTGGCCATTACAGACAGTTTGAAAACGCGTCTGCCTACGATGATGCTGAATTTGATGCGCAGAAGTGGAGGCATGGGAAACACCACGGCAAAAACAAACCCAAGCACCCTGACCAGCATCTGAATGAATTCAAGTACGAGGTTGAGTACCAAACTCTCAACGACTCTGATCCATTCAAGTTGAAGGATCTTACAGTGAGGAGTTACATAGATCTGGCCAGAAGGATTGGAGATTTCAAGAAGAGCAAGACGAGCAAGAACGCACTTGGATGGGCAAGCGGAGACGTAGACGAATTCGAGGCGATGGAAATGACGAATCGGGATAGAGAAGTCGAAGAAGTCGACTACAGTCTCGATGACGAGGACATGGAAGTCGAGGAGGTCGACTACAGCAACGATGGCTTGGGTCAAGACGGAGAGTCCGAGGAGAACGAATTCGAGGTTGAAAAGAAGAAGATGCACAAAAAGAAGAAGCACCACAAGGGACCTAAGAACCACGTGTGGTACACGTTTGTCAAGCGAGCTTTCGTTGGCACCATGGACCTCGAGGACATCCACTCCGAGTTCGGCGTCATGGATGTATCGGAGGCGATGGATGACAACCCAGCGATGATTCAGAGCGAGCCCTCGCTGCCAGTAGAGGACGCAGAATCAGAGCTGTTGGGAGACGGAGAGCTGTAGTTATGAAACTAAAGCACATGGTTCTTTCAATCGCATCGCAATTCTCGGCTTCCTGGGCATTGATTATTTATAAAGCATAGTTCAGGCAGGACATTGGCGTTATGAGTACTTTGACGCTTTTCGGTGGCATTGAAGCATGAGTTTCGGTTCGGCTTGTGGTCTGGAAAGGCTATGATAGACCGGCATAAGATAGGGTTAAATGTTCCTTTATTTCTAGTTTATACTTACGAGTTTGATGTTGCATTGCAAAGTGGTTTTGGGATGAAAGTCTGAGTTGATGGGATTGAATTATTGGGCGGACAGAAACGTTGATTCTTTCCTCAGAGCATGCTTTTGTATGGTTTATGACGTCCGATTCAACACAACAAAATATTCTCAAATGGCGGGTACTTCTTTGAAGAAAAATACGGTACAGTGTACAGGTGTAAGCTTCTAGGATGTCCGTGTATACGCTCTGCAATGGTTAGGCTGGTAGGGATGTGCTCTGGAGATGGTTAAGAGGTATTTGTACGCAACTGATTTAGCACGTTTGCATAAACTGTACATATGATCGACAGACTGCGCACACTGTTATTGCCTAAAAGGAATGTCGTGATTAGGTGGGATGTACGTAGACGGATGCACAAACATTCCGTAGCTTATCAATGTTGAGCTTATTGTGATCAGCCTCGACACGGAGGCACAGAAGACTGAGTCGTCTAGTTGTATGTCAGGTGTGGAAGAACCCTCAGTGATCTCCCTCTCTCTCATACCGAAAGACGCTACATTGAGTAACAAACAAAAATACGTTAAATGCTGTCTATTTGCATATTAGACTATTCATGTCTTTTGTGCAGGGTAACAGTAGCTTCTTTATATCGTGTCTTAGTTATAAGTGTCAGTCTATCGAGTTACCACTTGCTGCGCCTCAAAAGATACCTAGATAGAAGTAATAAATATGTGTGGTTTGTTGTCTGCTTTTTTATTGCCTCGGCAAACTAGCACTGAACATGAGTGAGAGAGAACAGCCTTGAAAGAGAGACGCCCTTAGGTATTGATTTAACGCTAATTTATCACTCTAAGACAATAATAATTCGCCGGTTGTTCCGGTTCAGGTGGCACCTAGAGAGCCCTCTTCGCCCATGGCTGCCAGTCAGCGAAGTTTTTGAACGTGGGAACGAGCCAGACGTCGCCACCCTTCCATCCACCTAGGTTACCAGATCCGTTGATGCTGATTCCAGCCTCTTCAACAAGCTTCTGGAGCTCAGATTTCTTCTCATCTGAGATTGGCATATCTCCGCTGCAGAACATGTGGTTAGCAGGCGGGATCCAAGCGTTGTTGAAGAGTGTGTAGTTGCGGACGTACTAGACGAGACTGTTGTGTGGTCCGTAAGAGTTCTTGACCCACTCCTCCGCATTATGCGGGGCTCCTCCCTTCTCCACGCCATACATCCTGGCCCTGAAAGCCAGCTCTTTCACTCCACCCTTCTCGACGCGCAGCGTCAGCTTCTTCACGAAAGCCTCGCCGACGTCTAAAGCTTGGAACTTGACGACCACATCTCCGCCCTTGGGTATGTTGGGCAATTGATCGATCCAAGCCTGTGCATCCGATTTCTGCTGGGATTCGTCGAGGGCGGGCGAGAAGACCGAAGGGGCTATGTCCGAGGTAAGGGTCACGTGAGGAACAAAGGTGGGCGGGGAAGCGTCAGGGAAGTGCTTGGGGAGGATCTCGGAAATCAGGGTTGAGAGGGTGGTGCTGATTGCAGAGCCCTCTGGCGGGACGAGCCACAGAGAACAGCCTGAATGATGGTCAGGATGGCCGGATGGGGAGGCTGAGGTGAGCGCGGGAAAGTCAGCAGCTCACCTGGCATGTGGACAGGACGAGGGCACGATGGGAAAACGCTGCAGACGGATGAGGCGGAGAGGAGCAAGATATGGAACAGCTGCCAAAGGCGGCTACTGCATTCTGACGGGGCGTTGACGCGCAGGCAAACAGGCAGGGTCCAGCGCGCCTTCCCGTGCAAGCGTGACGTTTTGGGGTTGGGCCGTGTGACAACAATAATTGTTAATCCACTCCACAGCTGCTGCTCCCCACAAAACAGTCCAACAGGGCTCCCTCGAGCAATGCGTCATCATCCATCTCCCTCATCATGGCCCACCAAGAAAAAATAGGCCAGCTTACCCAGCAGGCCTCGACAGACATCGCCTCGGGCAATCTGTCCCACGCTGCCGAGCTTCTCCGAGAAGCTTCGGCCATCCAGCCTGATAGCCCCCACATCAAAGAATTGTGGCAGACGCTGCAGCTGGCAGAGAGCAGAGGGCCTATTGTGAGGCTCTGCAAGAGCTATGTCGACTCCAGATCCGAACCCGACGGCAACGAAGCTGTCCGTTACATCCAAAATACCCAGATCGGTCGGGATGTCGCCGCTGAAGTCGTGCAAATCCTCATGGACTTCACTGGCGAGGATGCGATAGCAGACAAAATTACCGGTGCGCTTTTCAAGGCCCAACCGACCGCCCGATCATGCCTAGCCTCGCATCTCAAGGATCAGCCGCATTCTACCTTTGAACGGCTCTTTGAACGAGGTGATGAAAGTATCGATGGTCTTTTTGCTGTTCTCCTTGATCCCTCTGCTTGGGTGTTAGGGGAAGAAAAGCGAATCGCTGCTCTGCGAGACATCTTCATGCTCTCTCTTGCTCAGATGATGGAAGCCGGCCTGGAGCACCCCGAACGAGTCATGAAAGCAATCGCGAGGGCCTTGGTGGCAGAAGCATCCCATCTCAACGGCATCATAGATGCCGACGGTTTCGATGTTATCCTTGCTTCCCTCGACATCAGGCAGCCTGTGTCGCTCAGAAGCCAGGCTACGCTGGCAACAGCAAAGCTTCTAGAGTTGTCTCCCGACAACTCAACCAAGCTAATCACTCGATTTGTCACCCAGAGTGTCGCCCAGCCAACAACTGATGGCCTTATCACCGCATTTTCCGCGGCAGCTGCTATTTTCCCAATAGCTACTGCATCTGCTGCACACCTTTTCTTGACCGAAGGGTTCCTCGAGAACTTCGGCCATCTCGTTGCGTCCCGTGGAAGTCAGCGGTTGGAACAGGCAGCGCTCGAGTTAGTGAGCGCAGCGTGTATCGACAAAAATTGCCGTGATGCCATCAATAAGAATTGCAGAGACTGGCTCCTGGGCATTTCCAGGTCCAGTGCGGACAAGAACAAGGCGAACAAAGCTGCGCTTATTCTCGTAAAATTGCACCAGGTCAATTTGGAGGAGGAAAGCGCCATGACATCAGAATCCGATGACAACGAACAAGATGATTTGGTCCATCGATTCAAGAGAGTGATCCTGGATTCGGCAGTCATTGCCAAGCAGGAATCGATGGAAGGCTTAGCTTACTCCTCACTCCAACCAAAGGTCAAAGAGGAGTTGGCGAATGACAAACAATTCCTGAGGGAGCTTATCAACGTTCTTAGTAACCCCTCGGTCCCAAAACCACTCATGTTCGGCGGCCTTACTATCATCAGCAACCTGACCACCTATCGTCCTACCCGAACGGAGGAGCAAAAGAAGATGCAGCAGCTCAAGGCTTATGCTAACACAAAGAAGCCCGTCCCAGAAGATCCACTGGATGATGACAAGTACGTGACGGCTCGTTGCGGAAAGTTGATAGACGCCGGTGTAGTGCCTTTGCTGGTCGTGGAATGCAAGAGGGCATCACCAAGCGTCCTTGCTCAGATCCTTCAGACCTTCCTTTCCCTATCCAGGGAGCAAAAACACCGGGGAACGATGGCACAACAGGGTGCAATCAAGACCTTGCTGCAAGCTTCGGAAATCGCTACAAGCCACCACCAGCACACGCAAACATCTTATGGTCAGGCATCCGCACGTACAGCAGCTCATGCCCTAGCCCGAATCCTCATATCCGTTAATCCAAACCACATCTTCTCTGCTTCAAGTGCTCTGCCAATCACCTCGGCGATAAGATCCCTGATTACTCTCCTCGAGGACGACCCAACACAAGAGCAGCGTGATCTGCTCCCTATCTTCGAATCTCTGCTCGCTCTTACTAACCTTGCTTCGACCGGAGAAGATGCCGCCAACACTATTATCCGACTTACGTGGTCAAGACTGGAGGATCTCATGCTGGCAAACAACACCATGGTCCAACGTGCTGCAGTGGAACTGGTGTGCAATCTCATGGCCTCGCCTCAAGGAGTCTTCAAATTTGCGGATGGCTCGCCTCAAGCGAGCAACCGTCTACATGTTCTGCTTGCGTTGTCAGACGTCGACGACTTTGCAACGCGCTGTGCAGCTGGTGGTGCATTGGCAATGCTCACAGAATGGGATGCTGCAGTTGAGGCTGTCTTGAAGCGTGATAGGGGCGTGGAAATCCTTTTCGGGCTCTGTGAGGATGATAGCCAGGACTTGCAGCACCGCGGCGTTGTCTGTATCAAGAACATTGTCTCTGCTCCAGGCGAAGCTGGTGCCAATGGGAGAGAGAAGGTCAAGGCACTGAACGGTGTGGAGAAGTTGAAGGATGTCTTGAAGAAGAGCCGGAATCCTGAGGTGCTGAGTGAAGGTGTGGCAGCCCTGAAGGCATTGGTTTGATCACGAGTCTCAAGTGCAGATTGCACGAAATAGTTTAGCGATGCGAGTTGGGAGCAAGGTTCTTATGCTTTTAGGATCAATTGTCTGGGTGGTCTTGAATACGATAGTCATGATACACAGGTCACTATTCTTACTTTACATCGCCTGGTCTATGTTTCGGTCCAATTTCAAATATAGCCATGATTGGCTTGAAAGTTTCAGTACGTTAGCCCGAGCATGCGTGTCTTGACTGTCAATCATTGTCAAGCGAGATTCACTGCCTAACGAGATAACGATATTTGTACATTGACTGAAAGTAGAGCCACAACACTTTATACACGCGTTCGCACGTGAGAACGCGTCTCGCGGCCGAGCTCGCGTCGCGTCATTGAACCCTGACGAACGGAAGCCACCAAACCCACCGAACCCACTTCTTTCAAACAACATGCATCTAGGTCATGCCGCGCATCATTGAGGACTCCGATGATGAAGGAGACTTCGGCAGCCTTTCGCCAGTGTCTCAAGATGCTCCGTTGCCTCCATCAGGCAACCAGCCTAGCAAGAATGCATTGATGGCGCATGAGGAGGAGCTATCGGTGCCGAGTGCTAGCTTCACGGGTGCGTCAGCTAGATCAACGCCACTGGTGGCCACCATCCGTGGCTTAGCTAATATGCGGCAGACATCACGCATCGGAACGTCACTCAAGAAGACCCCGCTCCCAATGGAGAACCCGGCAGTGTGGATGCTGTCCCCGGTCGCTTGAAGTCGCCTGCGATATCGCGCAAGCGTAGGCTGTCGATGTCGAGCTCCGGTTATGGCCAATCACCTCCAAAAATGATCGAGCGGAGAAAGACAGTCCGGACGTACGGGTCTTCGTCTCAGCGCAAGCACGACCTCTTCGACGAACAGAACAGTGCCTTTGAGGCTATGAGAGAACAAGAGCAGACTACGCACAGCAGCAGTGAAAAGCCATCAAACGACCTGGCGGGACAAGTGGAGAGAGCGGACAAGCCTGGGAATGGAGAGGACGTGGCAGAGCCTGCACCGACTTGGCGTATGCCAGAGGCGATGGCGGACGACTTCGCACAACACGAGCCTCAGATGTTCGCAGATTTCTTGAGCACTGTTCCAGACGCGACGATGACGCAGCAACGCTTGGTGGAAGCTGCGCTGGCTGAGAGAGACATGAACGAGCAAGATGAAGCTCTCGTAAGGCAGCGCATGATGGAAAGACCTAGTGATAATCCTTCTGTAGCCTGGTCTGATTGGTTACACAGTTCTGAGGTAACTGGATGGTCTACTGTCGTTGATTGGGTCTATTTACTGACTGTTTACTAGATAAGGGGGCATCCCGAAGAGCAATCAATAGAACAACCTCCCACTCACGCCTCAGAGTCCCTAAGCGTGTCTCATGCCTACCGATCCACTCCCCCAGAGAGTTCACATCGGGCCAAATCTACAGAGTATCAGCCGACGGGCTCAGAAGTAATTACCACGCAGTCAAAAGGATTGCGGCGTTCGAAAACCACGAATAGTGCAAGTCCATTGCATTCAAGCCGCCGTGATGATTCGGCTGATGAGCTATCGCTTCCTACTCATGAACCGACAAAGAAGCAGAAGAAAAAGATGTCAGCAATTAAATCAAATAACATCCCGAGCGAAAGTAATGACACAGGTTCAACAAAACGGAGCCGAAGCCGACCTATTGTTATAGATGATGACTCAGACAGCGATGATGTCACACTAGAAATGTCCAGACACCCGGATCAAAGGAGAGAAAATCTTACTGAAACTCAGCAGGCTGTTGAGGAGTCAGTGAAAGAATTCATCCGGGTTGTGGGAACCCACAAGAAACCAAAAGCCAAGGAGAACCCTAGCAGCGACGCTCCTAATTCCGACGACATCGCCATCGGTCTACCAAAAGAGCGGTACAAACCAAGACCAAGTCGATCACGCTCCAGTCGTCTTGCGCTAGAGGAAATCGTGGACCATTTGGTCAAGCCCGAAAAAGTAGCCAAAGAACGCGCGAAGCGACGAAAAACAACAGACGGGGCAATTGCTGGTCGATCCGGGTTATCCTTGAATGACAAAGTCGAGAGGATGGTGGAAATGGGCTTCAGCCCCACAAAGTCTAAAGACGTACTGCAGTGTCACAACGAGGACCTTGACGTTGCCACCGAAGCCCTACTATCCCCTGTAGATGGAGTTCGCACGCGAGGGGAGAAGGGTTTTCAGCTAGCGCATACGCCGGCAGATGCCCCGACAGCACCGACGCCTTCGAAACTAGTCCGGGTTGAGATCCCCTTGCCTAGGTCTACTGTCGACGAGCCGCCTATCGAACCGCCTCAGCCCAAGCGTAAGAGAGGTCGCCCTCCAAAAAATAAGCATGCAGCAGACACGGAAGTCGCGGAACAGATGCATGATGGAGCCCAAAAACTTTCTCGGTCATCAGATCTAACATCTCATGATAAAGTAGATGAGCTACAAGTACACACGCCACAAGAGTACAGATTCCTTGGCGTGGAGTCGGTCCCAGCCAAAGCTGAAGAGACAGAAGAAAAATATCCCGAGGAACCCTGTCTCGGTAGTGGATCGCCTACCACTAAATCACATCTGGCGGATTCTCAGCAATTCCAGAAAAGCAGTGAAGCCGAGCAACGAGCGGAGCCGGCTGAGCAACCCCGACACGAGTCAAAGCCCAAGAAACGAGGCCGTGGCAGACCACGCTCAACTCAGAAGATTAGTGAGCAAGATGCGTATGTAGGATCAGCGACTATCAATTCATCTGCGCCTGGCCACGCAGAGAAGTCCCAGAAAGCTACGGAGGATAAAGCAATAGTGGATGTCAGCACGAATACGAAGGATGGAGAACAGCAGGAAGGACTGCCGCTTGGCACCCCGCCTAACCTTCTGACCACAAAGGCTGATGACCCGAGATCGTCGGGGCGGCACGATGCAAGCGATAAGGCACGGACGCCTGAGAAGCCTATTGAAACGGGAGGTCGCACCCAGCATTCCCCGCTCGGCAAAGGCAAGGTACCCTACCGCGTTGGACTAAGCAGAAAGGCCAGGATTGCGCCTCTGTTGCGCATCGTGAGAAAGTGAAGAGGCGGGCGAGGTGGCGTGGTTGCACTCACGGCTCAGGTGGCGTTGTTGGGAAGGATGTAAGGTGACGTAGATAGGTATCTTACGGCGAGGGGATGTGAGTGGAGTGGAGAGGGGTGCGGTGCGGAGTAGCTCTTGGCTCTTGGAAGCGGAGAATGGTCCATCAGGCAACGGTCATACTCGTACCCTACCTACGTAGCTGCTGTCGAGGCAACCGTGGCTGCTGGCTATACGAATAACAGGATGGAATGAGTATATGATAGATGGTGAAGCTTTGCCAATGCTCGTAGGGCTCGTCGAGTGGTGACACGGCATCTCGCGTGCGCAAGTGCAACGCGACAATTGGACGGGTGATGGAGTGCATTGGGGCCTGGGTCACATGGCGCAGATTGCGGTTCCACGGAATAGAGAAGGGGGCATCTACATACAGAATGTTGCAACGCGCAGCTCTCAATACTTTTGGTTGCCGTGGGTGTTCCCGGGCATCGGGCGCACGGTGCCAGGATCGGAGCAGCGCGACGCCAAAGCATCCCTTTGAGGTCATCGGGGCGAGGGTTTGGAATTAGTTACACGTTGCGGCTCGGCGCTCATGGCCAGCCACGGGCTCACGGAGGGCTTTTTGTGGCCGCGGCCGCTAACTAGGAACTAGGTACCGCACGGCATGGCCTGCCGAGGGGAAGTGACCGCGCCAAGGATGCTCGAGACCAGGGGCATTCGAATGGCGTCGTCGCGTCGTTGCGCACACGGTCGGGAACACTGCAGACTCCGGGTGGAGAGGAAGGGCCAGGCGCTGATCGAGTCGAGCAGGAGGGGGGGAGGAGCGTGGAGACGAGGCAGATCGTGCGCGCGCGCCAATCGCTGCGCCGCGCCGCATCTAACACGAACGTCAGCCGCCGCCGACCACCGACCACCTTTTTTTCTGCCTTTGGTGCCTCGACCTGCGACGCCAAGCCCGCAAAAATAGCCTTCGAGATTTAATTGCAGGCATGACCGTGGCAGTAGTCCAAACGGGCATGCCGAGCTCGTGGTCGGGGAAACAAAAAAAAAAGTGTCTGAGATCAATTTCCACCTGGCAGGGCTTCCGGCTTGCCACGAGTTTCCTGATATCGTATATGCGTGCGAGTCCTGTTCATGCGCAGGCTCGGCAGCATGGGTAAGCCCTCTAATCCGTACGAGTAGCCAGAGCCGCGGCCGAGAGATGGCTGGCCCCAGCCCGCCGGCGCGTCCCCCGGTCCCAGACGCAAATCATGGACGTCAAGTCGTTTTGGCTTCTTCTTACAGCTGGAGCCTAGGCGGTTACCGCTTCGGGCTCTTGGGCCGCTACTGCTGTGAATGCTTACCAGCGTCCATTCACCCCCTCTAGTCTCTCATACCCCCGTTTCCAGTATTTAGCCTGCCTGCACGCCCGTCGATCATCAACCCCGTGCCTGACCCTCTTTTCTTCGACCATCAGGCATATATCCCACCCAGCTCGTGGAATTATTCTTCTTCCCGTGCGGTCGTCACTCGTTTCCTCCCCCAAATCTTGTATTCGATTGACCCCAGTCTAATCCTATCCTCGGGCCCACTCCATCCTCCTACAATGCGCCTCGATTCCTTCGCCGCGGCCACTGCCGCCGCTACTCTTGTTGCCGCCCACGGCGACGACATTCCCGGCGCTCCCAAGATCTTCGGCCGCAGCCCCTTCGCATTGAAGGCTAGGAACGTCTTTGACAACAGCCACGAGCACACCGTGGCTACTGTCGAGAACCGCCTGCAGAAGCGTCAGACTGGTGGCACCGACGGTCAGTGTGGCGCCAACGTTGGTACCTGCGCTGCTGGCTACTGCTGCTCCGCCTCTGGCTGGTGCGGCACCGGCAAGGACTACTGTGCTGCCCCCGACTGTCAGTTCAACTATGGCCCCGGTTGCGATACCAACGCCACTCCTCCTGGAGACAGCACTGCTGGCGTCACTCGCAACCTCGTCGGAGATGTCGAGTACGGTGGTGTCGGTATCTACAGCTGCGAGATTGCTGGCACCGTCGCTTTGACTTACGATGATGGCCCGGGCCAGTACACTACTGATGTTCTTAACATCCTCTCGAGCTACAACGCCAAGGCCACCTTCTTCATCACTGGTAACAACAACGGCAAGGGCGAGATTGACAACGAGGCCTATGCTTGGCCTGGCATCATCAGGCGCATGGCGTCCGACGGCCACCAGATTGCCTCTCACACCTGGAGCCACCAGGACTTGAGTGCCATCACCTCCGATCAGCGTAAGGACCAGATGGTCAAGAACGAAATGGCGTTGAGGAACATTCTCGGCAAGTTCCCGACCTACATGCGCCCGCCTTACTCCAGCTGCACCGCGGAGTCTGGCTGCGAGGACGACTTGAGAGCTCTTGGTTACCACGTCACCTACTTCGATGTTGACACCGATGACTATGATAACGACAGCCCGTCGTTGATCCAAAACTCCAAGGACAGGTTCACCTCTGCTCTCACCGGCGGCAGCGCCAGCACTAATGACTACCTCGTCATTGGCCACGACATCCATGAGCAGACGGTCCACAACCTCACCGCCTTCATGCTTGACGCACTCCAGGCGCAGGGATACAGGGCTGTTACCGTCGGCGAATGTCTTGGTGACCCCGAGGCCAACTGGTACCGCTCCTCTAGTGGCAGCGTCTTCACTTCCACCGCGGCATCGAACCCTACTACCCCCGCTACCTCCACCAGCGCGGGCCCCACTGCCTCCCCTACCGGTGTCTCCACTGACGGCACCTGCGGTACCAATGGCGCGACTTGCTTGAACTCCGAGTTTGGTAACTGCTGCTCTCAGCATGGTTGGTGGTATGTATGACCTCTCACGAACTCAGACCCCGCTAACCGTTATTAGTGGCTCGACTAATGACCACTGCGGCACGGGCTGTCAGGCGGGCTTTGGAAACTGTGGCGTTGCGAGTGGTTCAGTAAGCGCGAATTCCGCTTCTAAATCTCTTTCTTCTATTTCCTCGGTCTCTATCTCTTCGGTCTCTCCTTCTTCGGTCTCTCCTTCTTCGGTCTCTCCTTCTTCGGTCCCTATTTCTTCTGCTTCTAAGAGTGCCACTTTGCCAACTGCGAGCAAGGTTTCCACCGACGGTTCCTGTGGTACAGCCTCCGGCTATACCTGCCAGGGCTCCGCCTTCGGCAACTGCTGCTCTCAGTACGGTTGGTGGTATGTGTGATAATGTCCTTTTGTGTTCTTTATGCTGACTTTCGGTTTAGCGGCTCTGATTCCGACCACTGCAGTAACAACTGCCAAGCTGGATTTGGAACTTGCGGAACTCAAGTAACCAACGCCGATGGTGCTACGACGCTGGGAACGTCGTCGCTGACTACTTCCACAGTAAGTGCTGCTTCGGCGGCTAAAGCTCCGACGTCTACTACGACTTCGACTTCGACTACGACCTCGACCACGACTACTTCCAAGGTTAGCACCAACGGCAAGTGCGGTTCCCAGAACGGTGGCATGACCTGTGCCGGCAGTCAGGGATGCTGCAACCGCTTGGGCTACTGCGGAAGCGGCATTGCGTACTGCGGCATTCTCGTTGGTGGCTGCCAGAAGGGGTACAGCAGCGGATGCTGGAACTTTTAAACGACGACCGACCTAATAGCTAATGCTCCAACGATGTACATCATCGAAAGGGTACGACAAAAGTCAACTTTGCATATTCTCTTGTACCTATTTTTCCGTCGGTCCTTCGGCAACTTTTCTTTCCTTTTTCCTTTATTCGTTGGGGGTGGAAACGGCAGATGCGGATAGCAATGATCGGTGAGGATGGCTAAGTTGTACTCACCTATTGTCGATAATGATGGACCTATAATGCGGTACGCGCCGTTAATGTAGTATGTGGATGGCTGCACGACATTTCGAGCAGACGAATGGAATTTTATGTCTCAAAACCAACAATAGCTCGTGTGCCCTTGTGCTTGTTTGTTTCTGTGAGCCGCGATGCTGGAAAACAGTGCGTTTGTATAACTCCTCATGTGACACCTCCGGCGATGAGCGCATTGCTGGCCAGGGGTCGGCGCCAACGTGGATGAAAGTTGGGGAAGGAAAGGGTTACGCACAGGCTTCATGTGGGCAACGCCGGCCGCGGGGGTAGAGGGGTATACTACATAACAGCGGATGCACGCGTGAGGGCATCACCAGACGCACTTGTTTGTCAGGCGGCGCACATCAAAGGGGGTGGCTTCACGACTGCGAGTAGGCCAGATGCCAGCCACACGAAGCAACTGAGGTGTGGGAACAAGCACGACAAGGTACGCGGGCCGATAAGGCTGATAAGGCGCATCCCCGTCCCCAGAATTCGTCACAGTCGCCCACAGCTTTGCGACAGCCGGATGCGCGGTTTACTCAACGTTAACAGCGGAACTTGATCCGGTGAGCACACACAACCCTCTCAAACCCCCCTTTTTTGCCTGGGCGACTGACATAAGCTTTGTTCTCACTGTGCAGTTCGTCATCTTTTGCGGCGCGCAAGGAAAGGACATTCCCCGGACCAAGCGCGTGAGCCAACGAGCGGCTGCCATTAGAGCCCGTGGAGACGGCCTTGCTTGTCCCTACCCACACACCAACCACACAAACACGAGCCAGCTTGCTCGTCGCGCCGTGCTGAAATACCCGCTGCCGCCCTTCCACGGCCGATCCTCCTGACAGAAGCGTCGAATGGCTCTGGCAAGCCGACTCTCTCCCCAGGACTTTAACATCAACCTCTTCCCTCCTTACTCCTCCTCGCGCGTCCGCCTCCGCTCCCACCGCTAACCCCTCCATCGGCGGGAGCCACTTCACCTTTGCAAGAGCACAGCAACCATGAAATTCGGACAGAACCTGCCGCGCAACCAGGTGCCCGAATGGGCATCCAACTACATCAACTACAAGGGCTTGAAGAAGCTGGTCAAGTCGGCCGCCGAAGACGCCCAGAAGAAGGGGGGCGAGGCTGATTTGGCTGGTACGTACCCCTCACCACCTTGTTTGCGCCTTGGCTAGACCCTTGCGGGCGGCGGACGTGTCCCAGTTGAACGGTAGCTCATTCCAGCGTTGCGCAGAGTTTTTCTACTCCCTCGATCGCAACCTCGAAGACGTCGACGTGTTCTACAACAAAAAGTACACCGAATCTGCGCGCCGGCTGAGACTCCTACACGACCGTTTCGGTCAAGCATCGGCCTTCCCAGAAGGCATAGACAGGGATGAATTGGAGGATCTTATTGGCGCCTTGCTTGAGCTGCGCGGGCAGCTGCGGAAGCTACAATGGTATGGCGAGGTGAACCGGAGAGGGTTCGCAAAGATCACAAAGAAGCTGGACAAGAAGGTCGCGCATGCTGGCACTCAGCAGCGCTATATGGCGTCCAAGGTTGATACCAGGCCATTCGCCACCAACTTCAAGCTACAGCAGGATATGAAGGCCATCAATGACTGGCTGTCCGGTCTTGGTGACGCCAACACCTTCGACGATGCTAGCTCTGTGCACTCTGCGGCTTCATTGAAGAGAGTGTCTTCTAGAGCCATTCTCAACCTCCCATCTGGCCTTCTGGACACGGTCGACCAAGCGATTCGCAATGACGATGCCTCCATTTTGGAGGAGCTTCTTTTGGAGGCCAACACTGGTGATGACATGGGAAGCACCGGTTTCCAGAAGCTGCTGCTCAACCTGCTGCAGCGGTCGATTTCGAACAAGTCTAGGAAGTGCATTGACAAGTTGCTCTCTCAGATCAACGTGCTCGATGATGAAGACGACTTGAACAAGCGTAACTGCATTCACCGTCTTGTCATCACAATTGGTCGTTCGAAGTCGAACGAAGCGCAGGGCAACGGAACAACCGCTTTCCTGCAGGTTGCCAATAGTGCTTCGAATTACATCTCACCGGCGGAGGCACCCATTGCTTTGCCGCCCCAGAATACTAGGACCGAGCAGGAGTCCACGCAGCTTCTAGGCGCAAACGATGAGTCCATCCGCTTGCTTTCATTCTTGTTGGACCGCTTAAAACCTCATCAGCGCTCTGCTCTCTCTTCGAAGGATTCGTATGGCCGTATGCCCCTGCATTATGCCGCTCAGTATGGCTTTGTTGTCATTTGCCAGGTTGTCATACAGCACATGCAACAGTGGGACCAATTCGACGTTTCCCATGGCATTGACTCGCCGGTTTGGCAAGACCTGGAGGGCTATGCTCCTCTTCATCTCAGCGTTATCGGAGGACATGCCTTGACCACGAAGGTACTCCTGGACTGCGAGAACTGGGAGGGTGATGCTGGTGAGAAGGTCAGCACCAGGAAGACGGTTACCAAGTCTGGAGCCGTTTTGGCACTCGCTACGAAGTCTAACTTTGTCCCGATTGTGAAACTCTTAGTTGAGGCGGGAGTGGACATTAACTACCAGGACGAACAGGGCGAGTCTGCGTTGCACGTGGCTGCTCGTTTCGGCCATACCGAGTGTGCCAGAGCTTTGATTGACGGCACCCCGGATCAGAAGGCGAATCTCAACGTCACGGAGAAGACATTTGCTTGGACACCCTTGTTCATTGCCTGCGTTGACGGACACTTGCCGGTTGCCCAACTTCTCGTCGAAGCCGGAGCGGAGCTGGAACGACCGGATCTTTCCGGGTGGACAGCCAAGGAGCATGCTGCGCTGAGAGGCCATTTGGACATCGCGAAGCTGTTGGCAGACATCACTCCTCCGCCGTCGTCTGCGCCTAATGAGGGTGAAGTAAATCGAGCGGGCTCGCCGCCACCGTCTTCTATCGAAGATAGACGGTCAAACGGAACATCGAAAGAACCCCGTGTTCCAGAACCGGTCAAGACTTTCGGACATCGCTACTTGAACAAAGAAACGATGGTTCTGGTTAGTCTCGGTAGCATGGACATGAGGAAGAACGTCGATCCGGTAAAGCTTGATGACATCCCTCTAGCCGATGCTCATGCCACTCAGCTTGACACGGCGCTTTCTGTGGTGGTTTCGGCTAGTGGAGCTACCGGCGAACCTACCGTCGTTGACCTTCCTGTGCAAGAAAACATCAGCACTGATCCCATCACATTCACGACCCACGATGCCTCGAAGGTCAAGTTACTGTTTGACATTGTACCAACTTACGCAGGATCAAAGGAACGCGTGGTAGGCCGCGGTGTTGCCTTGCTTTCCAGCATCAAGCCCAGCATTGGCTCCAAGAGGATCACTCTTCAGGGAGATGTCAGCGTCCCAATTATCGCTGCCAACACTTTGGACGTCATCGGCGCGGTCAACTTCAACTTCCTTATCATCACGCCCTTCTCACACCCTAACCTGTCGATTACGGAGGACCATACTTATTGGAAGAGTATGGCATCGACCATGGTTATCGGCCACAGAGGTGAATTTGGACATTTAAACATTCCTTATGTTGGTTTTAGTGCTAACTTGTGTGTGAAGGTCTGGGCAAGAACATGACTGCTCGTAAATCGTTGCAGCTTGGCGAGAACACTCTTCAGGTGAGGCTATCTTGGATCTCTGGTTATGGATGGCACTAATTGATTTCTCAGTCGTTCATCGCTGCTGCAAACTTGGGAGCGTCTTATGTCGAGGTAAGTTTTTCACCGTTCTCGATGCTGAAAAGCTTTACTAACATGTTGCAGTTCGGTAAGATGGAGCAGAAGCTAGTTGTCTTGGATGATACTGATAGCTCTCAGATGTGCAATTGACCAAGGACCACGTCCCGGTCATTTACCACGATTTCCTTGTCAGCGAGACGGGTATTGATGCGCCCGTGCACACCCTTACGTTGGAACAGGTATATTTTGCACTGCCCGCTTGAAATTTTCGTGATTTCTGACTGCTACTGTAGTTCCTCCATGTCAGCGAGCACCAAACTCCGCGCACTTCTAGGCCTACTTCACCAACTGAAGCCAAGGCAGAGAATAAGGAACACTCAAGGCTTAAGGGAAGGCGTCCGCGTTCCTACTCCGTGGATGTCAGCGCTGAAGGCGGCGCTGCGGAGCTCAACGAGCGCATGAAGCACACTCGTGATTTCAAGATGAAAGGTTACAAAGGCAACAGCCGAGGAAACTTCATCCAAGCGCCCTTCACTACTCTGGAAGAGATGTTCAGGAAGTTGCCGGAGTCGATTGGTTTCAACATTGAGATGAGTAAGTGTCGGCACCTACTCCATAACTGGATAACTGGAGCTGGAGCTGATTTCATCTAGAATATCCCATGTTGCACGAGTCCGAGGAGCATGACATGGATACATACGCCGTGGAGCTCAACTCTTTTGTTGACACCGTTTTGACCAAGGTTTACGACCTCGGCACGCAGCGCAACATCATCTTCTCCTCTTTCCATCCCGACATCTGCCTTCTGCTTTCGTTCAAGCAGCCCTCGATTCCAATTCTCTTCCTCAGCGACGCGGGCACTTCTCCAGTCGGCGACATCCGTGCCAGCAGCGTGCAGGAAGCTATCCGCTTCGCGTCTCGCTGGAACTTGCTGGGCGTCGTCACGGCAGCTGAGCCACTGGTTATGTGCCCGCGTCTGGTCAAGGTCGTCAAGGAGTCGGGCCTAGTGTGCGTCAGCTACGGCACGCTGAATAACGACCCGGCGAATGTGCAGCTGCAGGTCAAGGAAGGCATTGATGCCGTCATCGTCGACAGTGTTTTGGCTATCCGAAAGGGTCTCACAAACGCCCAGGAAGACCAAGCCAAGGCTGCCAGTGCGGCGGCTCAAGCGGCGAGTTCTATGGACGCCACCAAAGAGACGACTGCGAGCGACGTTGATGACAAGAAGACGATTCCGGAGATTGCGCGCATCGTGGACACGGTCAACGGCGTGCCTATCTACGCTAATGGTACCGCGGAGAATGGAACAAACGGAGCTAATGGTGTTAATGGAGCGGTGTTTTCGGCATAGACGCGAAGACGTGATGGGATGGGTTACCTAGCATGGAAGCAAGCAGGCAAGGTAAGGAATGGAAGAACTTCTCCGAGTCTTTAAGCCGTGGGAGGCTGGGCAATAATTTTCTTCTTCTTTTTCTTCTACTTCTCCTTAATCATGGATTTCGGGATTACGATTCCGCGCTTCAACACGCGGGCGGGTGGGGCTGGAGCGAGAGCCTGAGCGGAGGTGGTGATGTTGTGCGCCCGTGACATTACGAAGCAAGTAAGCAAGCCTAGATATGGGTCAGGTCATAGCCTGGGTCACTTTTTTTTTCGGCAGGATTGTCACTGTCTCTCTCCTACCTGGTCGCGCAGAATCGAGCCCATGTCCGCTTTTGCGCCGGTTGGCCCGGCAGTTTTTGAAGGCACGTTGTTTTTCTGATTGCTTACATATTTGGGTGGATGAGTGGGGGTTGTAAGGGGGCTTGTTTGTGTGCGTGCTCGTGCACGATGTCTAGTAGATAGATAGGTATGGGGCGTGGGTAGGTAAGTGATTGTGGCGTTGTTGTGGCGTTGATAGAGATGGGGAATTATGAAGGTAAGGTGTTGGATTGTTTTGGTACATTAACCACGTACTCTACAGGAGTCGACAGAGAGTTGGAGGAGATGAAGAGATTGGTATAAAGGAGATAATGAGCGTGCATTTGATATAGATTAGGTAGTTAGAAGACACCATGCCAGAACGCCAGTAGAATCCAAATGGGTACTCTCCTCGCACGACGGACGAATCAAGCGAAGTCTGTTTACTGTAGCTCGGCCGTCAACATGACATGACACTGGGTACCTGCGTCAGCAGGTGCAGCACCGACCTACATGTCCATAGCTAACGCCAATAAAACTTGTGGATGCTGTCGTGGCGCTGGCGGGCGGGGACGACGGTGAATTTGCGGCGCCGCTGCGCTCGTCGGTACTTGCATTTGAGATGCGCGACTATTCCGGGAAGCGAGCTGTACTTTTTCTGCTGCTGCTCCTGTTGTTGTTGTTGTTGTTGTTGTTGTTGTTGTTGTTGTTGTTGTTGTTGTTGTTGTTGTTGTTGTTGTTGTTGTTGTTGTTGTTGTTGTTGTTG